TTCTGGCCCCCCATTGCTCGCATCCACTTAGGGTAACTAAGGTAGTGTATTCGACTTCTATCCACTAAGGGATACTCAGGTAAGTATTCAGATTTGGTTACGTACCTCATATGTTCACACCCCAGATTGTTTCTGTATTACATCTGAACTAATTCAGTTATTCTTTATATGAGATTTTTACATCTTTGTATTTTAGTTAGCATCACAGGTTGCTGATATATAATTAGTTCTAGTGCTAGACGTTGCATGATTGACAATCTACTAGTCACACCATAATTTCGAAGTCTCTTCTCTTTTAGTGTGAAGCTGTTTTTTGTCTTCTTTACAACATCTTCGAGTGCTTGATCTACTGGATCGGTTACATTTCGTTTACATGGTTGACTACGTTTTTCTGAAGAATTTTCTCGTTTCTGGTTTACATGGTTGACATCACACTCCAGCTGCATCAAGAAGGAGTTGAGAGGAGTCTCATAGCCATATATTATTGACTAGATGATTCTTATTGGTTGTTCCTTTTTGTTCAATTGTTTAACTATTTCTTTGCTGCTGGGAGAATTCAGTAAAGGAAGTTAAGCAAATATTCGCCTCCTGTCTTTAATAAAATTTAGATTATTCATTCACTGAAACTAGAATAATCCCTAATAAGTTCCTAACCCTAATTTTCTTTTTTGGATTTTAACCGTTTTAAAACCGTTTAACCGTTAACCTCACTCAATTATTATTCTAACCCTAACTCTAAGAAATAAAATAAGTATTGGAGGGCAGATAACAGAAAAGGTCCTGTTTTCACAAACATACTTTTGTGACGTATATAAAAATAAGACCAAAAACAACATACCTTTTCTTTGACCCATGCCAAGATTTAATGCACATTAATATAATGCCAACTTTCTTACTAGGAACACCAATGTTGAAGTTATACACGAAGCTCTGAATGTGCCCATGTATTTTAAGGTTAGATGACTGGATTGCACTTTGCCTAAATTTTTGCAGATAAATAAATTAATTAAAGGATCACTATAGTGTCAGGAAAACAAAAACAAATACAAGACAGCGAGAGCAGACCCAAGCACCATATCCTAATAAGCTCGCGTTCCTATGTACCGTAGGGAGACTCCAGGGGTCTCCAGGGGGTTAACCCCAATATAGGTAATAAACGAAAAGGAGTAGATGCTAATAGTCTCAATGTAGGTCAAGACATGAGACCATACGCATCACCTGGATATAAACATAGCCAAGTAGAAAAAAAATATATTAATAAAGGCTAAATTAACCTAAAACAAAATTGAGACCATGAAATAAGTGAAAAAATAAAGTATATACAAATATAACTAATGCCACTATGCATTCAAGGTAGAAGCAGGTAGAGGTCCTATATGATATTAAACGAGGCCCAGTGCCCATAATAAAGAAAAAGAAAAGAACGCCCGACGCGCGTTTCGGTGCTTCTATGCTGCACCTTCGTCAGGGGCCAACAGAATAATATTCAGGACTCTCTTAAGTATAATGGGCGCCAAAGAAACTGAGTACCTGTAGCCAATGATGTCCATGCGAGAAGTCTCACCCAGGTGTGGCTGCTCTCGGCACTCACGCTGTCTTTTACTGCCAATCAGCTTACACATAGGTACCCCACGTGATCAGAGTTGGGAGGTATCTTACTAACTCTGTTTAGAAATCCAAATGTAAAGTCATTTTGATTTAAGCACTTTACATTTTGATTTAAGCACTTTTAAACTTAAATATGATTTGAGTATATTTCTCTACTCTATCTCTTTGCTACTATGCCTGTCTAGATAGCTATACAGGGAGAGAGGCTTTATAAATCATACTGTCAGTTTATTTGAAACTGACTTTTTCATTTCATACTATTTACTCTCTCTCTGTTCTATCTGCAAGTATTTCTACTCTGGATACTATTGTGCAGCAATCCTACATTGTTTGCTTGCTCTCTTTGTGACCACGATCAACAGCCCTATACTGTCTTTTACTTTAGGGACCTGATCCTTTATTGCTAAGTTAGCTAATTTGGATGGCTCCACATTGGGTCTTTGTGTACCCTGGACAGTTAGGGCTCGAAATCTATAGGAGATAGCACCCAGATGTTTACAAGGGTTAGATCAGACATAGGGGTCACAGTTGGGATTGATATTTTCATTTAAGCTAGCCTTCTAATAAAGCTTTATCTCAGTATTTTATATCATATCCCTTTATTTATTTGGAAGTGACCTCTACTTGCTTCTACCTTGAATGCATAGTGGCATTAGCTATATTTGTATATACTTTATTTTTTTCACTTATTTCATGGTCTCAATTTTGTTTTGGGTTAATTTAGCCATTATTAATATATTTTTTTCCTACTTGGCTATGTTTATATAGAGGTGATGCATATGGTCTCATGTCTTGACCTACATTGTGACTATTAGCATCTACTCCTTTTCATTTATTGTCAGGAAAACAAACCCATTTCCTGACACTATAGTGCCATAAGGGGTCCCCCTCCCTTGGCACTGAAGGTGCCATAAGGGGTCCCCCTCCCTTGGCACTGAAGGTGCCATAAGGGGTCCCCCTCCCTTGGCGCTGAAGCCACTTACCTTAATCCAGCGCCAGGCTCCCTCGGCGCTGGTGACCTCTCCTCCCCCGTTGACGTCAGCTATCGAGTGAAGTGGAATGCGCATGCACGGCAAGTGCCACGCACGCATTTAAACAGTCCATAGGAAAGCATTTCTCCATGCTTTCCTATGGACGTTCTGCACGCTGGTTGTGAATTTCGCATCCAGCGTTGCAGATGCGCTTCTAGCGGCTGTCAGGAAGACAGCCACTAGAGGTTGGATTTACCCTGCTATGTAAACATAGCGGTTTCTCTGAAACCGCTATGTTTACATCTGAAGGGTTAAAACCTGAGGGACCTGGCACCCAGACCACTTCATTGTGCTGAAGTGGTCTGGGTGACTATAGTGGTCCTTTACGTTTCCTGCTGTGGAAACATAAACAGGGTTATTCCTTAATGTGTGAATTCAAAGTGGAGTTCAAACTTGAAACATTCTCTATGTTAGCTATTCTTTCAGTCTGGCCTTAAATTTGGTATTCATTTTTTATTGTCACTTTACTATATAACCCTATAAATCAGGGGTGCCCAAAAGGTAGATCCCTAGATGTTTTAAAGCTACAGCTTACTACTTATAATGCTTTGCTATTCTAAAAGCATTCCAAAGGTACGCAAAGAATCATGGAAGTTGTTATACAATATCTAGGGATCTACTTTTTGGCCACCCCTGGTATAAGTGAATAAAAACTAAATAAAACGTAATGGCAGTCCACTAGATTTTTAAAACTCAAATGTGTAACAGTGCAATGCCCACATTCCCTTAGACCATGAGATTTGGATTCAATATGAAAGGATAATAAAATGTACCTAAAGAGGAATGAGATACTTTTATTAACCCTCACATTTCTGTGGTGGGAAAAAAACAAGAGAGAGGGTTGAAACTCACCATGCCCATTCCATTTAATAGGGGTGGACCAGGGGTTTACTTTTATTCTCCTATTGGCTTTATTTTTTAATTAATTTTTTAAAATTCCAAACAAGTTATGGGTTCAATTCCTGAGCTCATCAGTACTTAAGTAAATGAAATATTCGCCTTGGAGTTGCCCAGTCTTCTTAGGAGGGTGTTAGTGAAAGAAATAAAGAAAAAATGGCATTCAAATTCATCCCCCTTCTAATATTTGCTGGCAGACTTCCCACTCAAATACATAAATGTACATTTTAAGAAACAATGTTGAAACCAAATATATAAAATTCTTATCTTCCTTTAGTCTCCCACATGTGGGTATAACATTTATTCGGCAACATGCAGAATACAGGGGTGACGATTCATCGATGTTGCAGCAGTCTACACGTTTCATACCTCTGAAAATACAGTGTTTACTGCAAAAAGCCTGAAGGGAATGATTCTACTCACCAGAACAAATACAATAAGCTGTAGTTCTGGTGACAATAGTGTCCCTTTAACAAGACTCAATGAGCTGATTAGTACAATCTCAGAAAAGGGTTTCTAGAGATCCACCATATTTGGCTTGATGGATATTACTCCATGCCAGTGGGGAGCTCTTTTTACAGACTGTCCCAAATCCGAGCTCCTGTCCTGCTGTCTTTGGTTGGTCCTCCAGTGACCACAGCCCACACACAGTGCATTTACCTAACTTTAAATTAAACACACTAAAGTAAACCGTGCTTGATCTATTTAGATGCTATATAAATCCTTATCTAAATGACAGATGGTGCAAAAATGTTCCTCCCTCTCATAATTTATTAGAATTTTAATGCTGCTTATTAGTTTCCTGTATAAATGCTGGGGTTTGTGCACAGTATTAGTACCCTAATCTTCCTCGTTATTATTTGTGCAAGTTATGATGGCTCTATAGTGTGACTTTAATAAATATAGTGTCATTAGCAGGGTTATTTATCAAACTGAGAAATAACCAGAGAATAGAACGTTTAGGCCACAAAAAAAACACACTTGGAAAAAAAAAAAAACTCAGTTATTTTTTCATCTCTGTAATGTTGGCCTAAAATGTGCTATTCCATTACAGTTCTCAATTCAGCACATTGATCTCTCATATCGTTACTCACTGTATTATGAATTGTAAAATCCAAATGGCAATATATATATATTAAACTACTTCAGTAACACTTTATAAAAAAAAAAAAAAAAAAAAATACTATAATTATTTATTGCAAAATGTAGGCTTATATAGGCTAGAAGTGACCTTAGCTGATTTTGGTAATGTCCCAAATCTGCTATATTAGTTTAAACTTTGCCATGAGACTTTCATGTCACTACAATTCGTTATTTAGTGAATAAACCCCTGTGTGCTTTGCTGTTGGCAAGCTATTGGTTCTATGACCATTGAAATTCTGATGTCTCCACCATGTAGAACCTTTTATAACGTGGTTCATCTTTTTTCATAAAGAACGAAACCAATAGGCAATCCCTATCCATGGAAAGTCTTTATTCACTGAGAACCCTGTGACTAGCAGTGCTCCTGATAGCACATCGACTCGGCGGCATTCGGTTACCTCTGTCTGTGTATGGCTATGCAATAGAGCGGTATGGCGGGTCAGCCTCCTCCTCCTAAACCATGGGAGACCCGGCGGGTCATGGGGGGTCTCCCCTCCACCTCCTATCAGTGAGTGTATACAGTGAGGGGCAGCAAGGTGCTGGGGTGACATGAGAAGAGGCTGTTAGGCCAGAGGTACCTAATCCAGACATAGCAGGAAGTGCCCCAGGCTGGGGTCCAAAGAGCAGCTCTGTGGCCTGCCTTGCACGTAGACAGACAGAACTAATTATTATTAATGATAAATAAAGCACAAAGGGGGATCATTTATTAACGCAAAGGAGGTGCTATTCAAGGGCAATGAGGAGCAGTGGTCATGGTGCAGAATAGAATGCTTCAGAACATTTAGAACTCTGCCCAGAATAGCACCTGTCTTGTACTGTGATAAACTGATGGCATTGGTGTTTTTTTTTTTTTTTTGTATGTTCTATTTTTTTATTTTATTAATAAGCAGTAAACATTTCTTGAATACCCAGGCATAATGAACGTTTAATTTTTAATGAACAAAACAAAATGTGAATGTACATGGCATTTTTTAATAATATTATAAAATGTTGTTAAACATCACAATCTTTTAAAAACAAAAACAAACACAATGTCGAACTCTTATTTACTGTACTGATTACTAAGTGATGATCTTAATATTCACAAGATAATGAGCTAACTCATGCTGCCTCAAAAAGGATTTATTAAGTAAACAACATATTGTGGCAAACTGAAATGCAAATGGAGAAATGTAGGCAAAAATAGTGAAGCTTGAAATTGAGATGGGGCTCTGAACTCCTCTGCTGGCCTCAGTCCTTGGCCATCACGTCCCACTTTTGCTTAGTTTGCCCAATGGCCAGTCTGAGCCAGACCATAACCACTACAGCCCACTGAAGTGGTTATGGTTGAACAAAATTGTGGTCCGGGCACTCAAGGATCAGTGAAACAGCAGGTTTATTTGGAAAAGTGCTCTCAACCAGTGAGCAGGCTCTGTGCTGCTGGGCTTAGTACAGGGGGACAATCAGAAACTCCCTGCAGGAGCTTGAAGCCTCCAGAGGAAAAAGGTAACTGGTTCTTTGCAGATAGTTTCTCAAACCATTCACAAAGAGCTTGACTACTTACAATGGGTGTGCTCCAGGGCACTCCTGTTTCCATAACCACTACAGTCGAAACCCCAACATTATGAATAAATATATTCATTGTATTAGAGTTGTCCTTTAAAGGTGGTTTGCTGTGACTGAATTATTCCACCAGGTATGGAGGTTAATTTGCTGCTATTGGTGGACAGTAAAGAAAGGGTTAAGAAATATGAGCCTCAGTGTCTTGACATAAAATTTTCTTTTTTGTGCCTTAAAATATTTAATTGTATTTCTCTTTCTTAATCTAGATCAGCCGACTTAAGGGCTAATATCTTGACCAGACCTGGACAGCCAACTCTTAGCAGGGTACCACCTCCAGTACTTCCAAGACCAACTCAACAGACAAGAAGTAGTACTATCAGCCAGTACCGGCCTGCATACAGCTCGTTCTCACCTGGCTTTGGCAACTCCTATGGCAGTTCATTTTATGGTAGCTATAGCCCCTATGGCTATGGGGGTGGGTTAGGCTATAATCGGTTTCAAGCAGATGACGTGCCTCCAAGTAGGTTTGTTAGACAGGCTGAAGAAAGCAGCAGGGGTGCATTCCAGTCCATCGAAAGCATTGTCCATGCATTTGCCTCTGTCAGTATGATGATGGATGCCACTTTTTCTGCTGTTTATAACAGCTTTAGAGCAGTTCTCGATGTGGCAAATCACTTTTCCAGGATGAAGATACATTTCACGAATGTGTTTTCAGCTTTTGCACTAGTCCGGACAATCCGCTTCCTTTACAGGCGTTTGCAGAGACTTTTGGGTCTCCGGAAAAATTCAGAAACAGAAGATTTATGGACTGAGAGTGCAGGAACTGTGGCACTGAGTGGCTCTGAGAAAAATGTCACAGACTCTGCAAAGTCCTGGCCTATTTTTTTGTTTTTTGCAGTCATCCTTGGAGGCCCCTACCTCATTTGGAAACTTTTGTCCAACTGCAATGAAGTTACTGAAAATGGTAAGTAAAGGGAAATGAGCAGAGCATCACTCTTAACCACTCATATTCTTTTCTATTATCGTGACATTTATAGTTTAGAGCGGGCATCTCACCGCCACCCCCAAGTGTTGCTGAACTACAGGTCCCATTATTCCATGGCCATCGTAGATGTTTGGGACTTGGGGATCCTCAATTATATTGTCAAACTACTTGAAAACTGTATGAGATATAAAAGGATGGAGGGACTGTACCAGTAGTATCCTTGTGCCCCATGGATTCATGTTGCAGTGAATGAATTGAGAGGAAAACGACTTGTAGTTTTAAGGTGAAAGTGCTATGATCGCAAAAGTGGTGCAGACTTGAAAAGGTAAGGCACTCGGCAAGAAAAACAGCAGGCACGTTTTTGCCTTTGGATTCCACACAACTTTTTCAACTTTGCAACACTTTTTAGAACAAACCAAACTTTTACTGCACAGTTTTTTTTTTTTTTTATTGGTTTTTTTTTTTATATGCTGCCAGACTTCAGCTGTTAAAGGACCACTATAGTGCCAGGAAAACATACTCGTTTTCCTGGCACTATAGTGCCCTGAGGGTGCCCCCACCCTCAGGGCCCCTCTTCTGCCAGGCTGGATGGAGAGGAAGGGGTTAAACACTTACCTTTCTCCAGCGCCGGGCTCCCTCAGTGCTGGAGACTCTCCTCCTCCTTTTCCATTCATCGGCTGAATGCGCCTGCGCGGCAAGAGCCATGCGCGCTCTCAGCCAGTCTCATAGGAAGGCATTCTCAATGCTTTCCTATGGACGTGAAAAGCACAGTGAGAATCACGGAAGCGCCTCTAGTGGCTGGATTAACCCTAAGGTAAACATAGCAGTTTCTCTGAAACTGCTATGTTTACAGCAGAAAGGGTTAATCCTAGGTGGACCTGGCACTCAGACCACTTCAGTAAGCGGAAGTGGTCCTTTAACTTCAGCCTGAAACCAAAAATAGAAGTCAGCCTACAATACTTACCGTACTTAATGTTACCCCATTGCTTCACATGAAAATGTCTGTCTCAAGAGTCCTTTACTTTATATTCTTTCGTTTTCATGTAGAATCAATCATCTTACTGCAGAAACAGTGTAAGAAACTCAGTTCACTTAAAGCTTCTCACCTGATCAGCTAAAGGTGATATCAGTATCTTAAAGGGACACCGTTGGACTATAGTCCTTACATCTCATTAAATTGGTTATAGTATCTGCAGTCCTCTGGAGCCGTCCCTCCATTCAGTGTTAAATCATTTCTAGCAGTTTAACACCGAATGAGGATCCCTGGCCACCCACTGCCTGGGCCTCTGCTGGGGGTATGGTTAAGGCAAGGATTACACATTTCCTTCTAGCAACACAGAGTTATACTTGCAATGAGCATTGTGATAGGTTGAAATTTGTCAGCTGACATCCTGAACCAATCACAGACACCCACTGCAGCTCAGGCTTATGCTTCCTCATTAGCCCAAGCAGTAGAGAGGGGATGGACCGTTGGACACTATTGTTTAGCATTAAACCATTATTAATGGTTTAATGCTAAATGGAATAATGGTGCCAGGGGACTACAGACCCTTAACCCCTTACGGACACATGACATGTGTGACATGTCATGATTCCCTTCTATTCCAGAAGTTTGGTCCTTAAGGGGTTAAACCACTTCAATGAGGTGAAACTTTATTAAATAAGGTACCAGTAGGGATGCACCAAAATTTTCACCTGAAAAATGGGCCTATCCCAGTTTCGAATGCCACCCAATTAGACAAGTCCAAACGATAAAATAAGTATATAATAAAAACAAGGTAGACTTGTGCAGCTGGTTTATCATAGATTACCTTAAAGAATGTGTCAACAGGTGGCAAGACATCCCAATGTTTCTGCTTTGGCCTTTCACAAAAGATAAATTATGTATCTGGTTTATTATATCCTGTGTTTTTGTTTCCAATTTTCTATGTAGTGATTGTAAGTTGCTCTAAGTTTTTACTACTATTGGTCTATGTACGTTTTTCATCTTTTCAATTGTCTTGTGCTATAATATTGGGATTGGGATAACCCCCAGGAGTCCGACTGGGGCAGTGTTCTAGAGTGAACAGCTGGCTCTCCTAACTGTGCTCTCCAGTAATCCAAAAGGTAAATGTCAGAAGAGCAGATATTTTATTTTACTTTTGAACTAGTGGCATTAGGCAAACGTCCTTTCCAAAGTTGGGTGATAATGGTGAAATTTTTATTTTTATCTATAGTTTTTGGCCTCCTTAAATGGAGCATCTAGTCATCTAGGCACATTTGGTTTTCAAGTTTCTTGTGGTGAAGTTATCATAATACTGCTAACTAAGGTTCAGAGTTCAGAATCTCACTCAGTGCTATTCCAAGAATGAGATCACTTTAAAAGTGGCTATTGCGTAGTTACTGTAATTACACTTTGATGCTATTTGGAAAGCATCAACATGATCCAGGTACAATACAGTGATATTTCTTTACACTGCTTCCTTTGAAAAATATGTGACCGGGAGAAAAGCAAGACAAACATGAATTGATTTTACGACAAGGTACTTGAACTCAATAGAATACCTATTTATACATTAGGCAATATGTTTAAAAAGCAAATGTAGGGCAAAGTGCTATATGTACAGTAATCATTCCATTGCATTTGTTTCCATAGCTCTAGTTTAGCTGTCATGTGGATCTTAAAAAAAAAAAACAAACAAACACCTTTTACAGAAATATTCTTACATTGCCTGGAGTGGATGGAAGCTGTCAAATAACTTCTTCAGAATTACAGGCTTTTTAATCCATCTTTTAAGGAATGTCTATAAACTTGCCAACTGTGCAAGGTCACGATTTTTAGCAATTATTACATAGAACCGTCAATTCAAATATGATTTGAGGGAGAAAAAAAACTCAGGGCCAGAAAATGTGGAAAATTGATAAGCAACCGTATTTGAGTTGAAGCGATTGGCAAGGTGAATATTTGCTCCGTTTTAGCATTTTTTTTCTTCTACAATTTTCATCTAATTGTGACAGTTTTCCACAATTCCCTCTTTAGTTAAAACACCTTATAGGCCATTGCTTTTCATTTGAGAATCTTGTCAGTATGAGTCTCTTCATATAGATTTATGTTGCATGTGCATCATATTTGACTCCTGTACTTGGAAGGTCATCCTTTGTTCTTACTTTACATTTCGAACGTTTTGTTCTTTTTTGTTTGTTTGTTTTTTTTTTTAACAATAATCTCTCGGATATTAGAAGTTGTATGCTTCTTTTTAAAAGGAATCTCATCTTGTTAATTAAAGTTTTGTTTTTTTTCTTATTCTTTGTGTAGAAAATGTTAATTGGGCCAGTGGAGAAGACGACCACGTTGTGGGAAGGGCAGAGTATGACTTCACTGCAACTTCTGATGAAGAGCTCTCTTTCCATGCTGGAGATCTTCTTAATTTGGCTCCTAAAGGTATGTTTGCTTGTTTTTTTTACTTAAAGGAACACTCCATTAGATGTAAATACATTTATTTCTCACACTGGAATATTTTGGATTTAGGGCACCACCCCTTAAAAAAACAAGTTGCTAACCTCTAAACAGAGGTCAGACTGTCTTCTTGCTCTGCTCCGTCTCACGGGATCATCAATTTTGATGTTCTCCAAGCCCAACCAATGCTTCTTGTAGAGAAGTATTGGAACATGGCTCATACACAGCAAATGCTGCAATGCACCTGTAAGATTTTTCTATGAGAAGTCCTTAGTCCAGCTTTGAGAGGGCACTCAAAGCAAGCAACCATGGCAACCTTTCTGGTTTTCTGGTTGACAGCTGGGAGCTGTTGCCAAGGGTCTTTATAAAAGTGCAGATAAGTGCTGCATCTCTGGATAGCAGATTTTATGATAGAATTCAAATGGTTCCTTGACAATCCCAGCAACCTAGACAGAGTCCTGCCCAAATGGCTATAGAATAGAATGTCAGGCTGAAATAGAACCAGATCCTAATTTTGTTGCCTAAATTCAATCAAGCAGAACATTTTATTTTTAAAGAACTAAATTCAAACACCGCTACAGCTAAATTACACTTTCTCCAACAACCATGACCACTTCTACTTTTAGAAGTGATCATGGTGGTAGGAATCTGGATGTGTAGTGTTTCAGCTTGAGTTATTGGCAATTGTGTTGTGGAGGCAAGTTGTAACCCCCCCTCGCACATAATCACTTTATTTATGCAGCCCTAGTGACACCTCCCTGCATGTGGCTTACACAGCCTTCATAAACACTTTCTGTATAGAGTCATCTAATGTTTACACTTCTTTTATTGCAAATTGTTTCATTTCGAATTTCTTATCTCCTGCTCTGATAATAGCTTGCTAGTGTCAGCCCTCTTACACTTACCTTGGCGGTCCGCGGATCTGCCGATGCCGGGATCCGGGGGACTGCTTTTTCCACAAGGCCTGAGGCTCCACTCTGCCTCAGAGATGCCGGCCGCTGTGCACTCACCCCTTTTTATGACACGGCGCATGCATGCCAGCGTCATGACGTCAGAAGAGCTCTATGCAAAAGAGTTCAGCCCACACATACCTTTTGGAGGCGTGGCTATGCTTATCACGCCCCCAACCATATAAAAAAAAAAAAAGTCTGCCCAAATCACAGTGCCCTGTTGTGGTTCCTAGTGTTCCTTGTGTCACTAGTGTCCTTATAGCGCGTTTCGGTATCCTTTGTGGTATATATTTGGTTTTGACCCACCTTCCTTTCAACTATTCTGTTTTCTGGTTCCCTTGACTCTGCTTTGTTTCTCATACTTGTGTATTTCTGGCTTCCCTTGACCTTGTCTGATGTTCCTTAAAGTTTATTCTTTATTCCGGCCATTCTAAGGACCGGCTTAGGGATCTTCTTTCTGTCTCTGATGTCTCCTGGTGGGTTTTCACTCTGCGTGTTGGGTTGTACGTTACAGCTAGACCCTGCAGGAGTCTCCTGTGTGTGATAAAAGTTCAATTTACAGAGAAGGAGATAAAAACTTTTAAACTAAGTTACATCAGATTGATAATGAAACCATTTTCTTCATGCAGGTTGTGTCAGTCACAGCCAGGGGAGGTGTGGCTAGGGATGCATAAACCGCAACAAAAAGTGATTTAACTCATAAATGGCAGAGAATTGAGCTGTGAAACTTCAGAGGCATGATCTATACACTAAAACTGCTTCATTAAGCTAAAGTTGTTTTGGTGACTATGGTGTCCCTTTAAGCAGCAACATTGTATCTGTGTAGGATACCCAATTGACACTTTTTTAACCATATATCTTTCCTCAAATGTTTTAATGCCTTGTTCAATCCTAGCATTCTGTATGCCAAGAAAATCTTTCTTGCATATCTGGTGCAATTTTCACTAAAGTATTCCATGCCCTTTCGTGATATTAGATATTAATCCAGTGGTACAGACTGCATATAGACAGCAATGGCTACCAATTGCTCCTGCAGATGTTTCTTTACTACCTTTCCCATAATGCTCAACCAAGCTTAAGGACTGGTTGGGTGTCATGGGTAATGTAGTTCAGAAACATCTGGTGTGCTGATGTTCACATTAAGGGTTCAAAGACTAGATTGTGCATTTATTTTTAAAGGAACAAGTGGTGAATGAGGGACAAGTATAATTATTAATTTTTTTTTTTTATTATTCACTTTTTATTTGAATTTTAAGTTGTCAAAGGAAATATTAGGGTACAGAAAATAAAAGTGGGTGGAAGGGTACAAGTCAGGTAATGCGACAGGTTGCATACTTTGTACAGTACAATCAAACAGCGGCTCTTACCTATCCTATAGGGCATGGATAGGCAACCTTCGGCACTCCAGATGTTGTGGACTACATCCCCCATAATGCTCTTACACCCATAATGCTGACAAAGCTTCATGGGAGGTGTAGTCCAAAATATCTGGAGTGCCTAAGGTTGCCTATGCCTGCTATAGGGACAGGTGGGGGTACAGAAGTGAAAACAGGGGACGATGAAGGGGGACTGGTTCACATTTTACACTTCTGTTGAACAACAATGTTACATATGAGAACATAAGAGAAGGGACAAGCATAATTTTTAACGCTGATTTTTACCAAATGGGCTTAACTGCAAGAGGCTTTAGTTACTTTGACTCAAACACTGGATAGGTTACACGATAAAAAGACAAACTATCTGTAAACGGTCTATTACTGCTATTCGAAAACATTATTGATGAGGTTTTTTTTTTTTTTGTTATTTTTAGAACAACAGCCTAAAATAAGAGGTTGGCTTCTGGGTAGTCTGGATGGACAGACAACTGGATTTGTACCGACCAATTACGTCAAAATCCTTGGAAAAAGGAAAGGTAGAAAATACACAGAGCCTGAAAAGAGTCAGGAGCCCCAGACCTTCTTGAACACTTCATCGACTCAGGGAGCCACTGCAATGGCAACATTAGAAGAGCAAGAGGCTGCCTTGGAATCTGTTTTTGTAGAAACCAACAAGCCAGCACATGAATTCAACACAAATGGAGCTCGTGGGGAAATATATGATCTATAAGTTCTTTTACTGTCTGTAGACCAGAAATACGTTGCAAAGCAGTGCTTTACTTGTTTTTTGGCAGCAAATATTCTAGTAATTTTAATATTTTTCTTGTTTTTCTGCCTATTAACTCCTTCAGTGCAAAGGTTTAGGAAAATGCTAAAGCGTGACAGTTTGGTTATGTTATCTGTCTTGAAGGGGTTAGTGATTTAACTGCTTACAGGGACACTCCGGATACCATAACACCATCACCTGATTAAGTTGCTATGGTGCAAGGAGATCCTTGGACGCCGTCTGTTCTTTGGATATAAAATATTAATTAATAGCTTAACCTCCTAAGTCTTGAAGACAGCACCTGATTGCCCTGTACCTCTGCTTACTCTGAAGGTCCAAGGCTTCAATCAGAAAGCCTCACTCACTTTTCTGAATGGGGAGCTAGTGATAGGCTGAGAGCTATTAGCGGAACCTGGTACGAGTCTTTTTGATTAAAGCCTCGGAAATTCAGAGGAAGTTGATCACCAGAGCAATCAAGCGCCGTCTTCTAGACTTTTGGGTTAAACCGTTCGTTAACGCTTTAACCCCTTAAGATAAGACAGCATCCGAGACCACCTCACACCTTAACAACTTCATTGTAATTATGTTGTTATGGTGCCCAGAGTGGTCCTTTAAACGGTGCATGTGTAGATTAAAAAATATAAAGTTGACCTGTTACCTCTGAACTTGTGAGATCACGTATGCAAATTAGCTGCTGCACTGAATCATTTGCATATATGGTTTAGTTTATGTTATTGTTGGGATGGGGGCAATCACCTTTAAAACCCATTCTCCTCTTATTTTGCTACTACAATGTATAGATTTATACTAAAAAAAACACTGGTTGATTGGCTGTTGCACATCTTACCTGTAAGTTTAATTAAACTGATAAAGGAAAACATCATATTTTTTTTTCTTTTTTTCTTTCAGTGGTACATAAGATAACATGTAAGTGGCTTTGCTAAAAATGTGTTTACCTTGAGGCATCTGTCAGTGGGGAAGACCTCTGAGAGTAAACATTAATAAGTAGAATCATTTAGACTAGAGACCCTTACTTTTGTCCACTGTTGTCCATTGTAGTGGCGATGGTCGTAGCAGACTCCTGACACAATTTTTTCACGCGATTTGACACAAACTGGGCTAAGCCCCTGAATCACCATAGTGCTAATGCAGAAGTTACACTTCCACACTAGCATAATTGGTTTAAGTCATATTTGGACAACATTGATTGGGCGAGTGTGTATATCCATACTGTGTACAGCTTGTATCTTTGTTCATTATGTTTCCTTTCTTAGTCTTAAATACTTCCAAAAAAACAACAAAAAAAGTCCTATCCTTTAATTTTACAAGCACTTTAGCATGATTGCAGTGCAAACCACTGTTGTAGAGGAAGAGGCTAATCTGCAGCATGAAACGGATTGCATTTTTAAAAAAATTTTAAAAAAAATTAAATTAACTTTACGACTTCCTATGTAAAACAAATGCTTCTTCATGGTTAATGTACTCGGTGTTTTGGGTTTTCAGAACTCAGATTTAGTAATCCCTGCTTTGGCTGGGTTTCTATTTCAAGCACGCATCTAAGCAATGAAGCAGTCAAGAAGAATTAATTAACCAAATAATGTTGTGATTGGAATCTTACTAAATGTTAGATTTTAAAGATTGCATTCTGAAATGAGAAGTTATGGAAGTAACCCAAATTCAAAGTGATTTTAAATTTCTTCGGTCCAAACAGTCAAATTCTAAATATGCTCAAAGTCAGCTGTTATCACTTCAAATTATTTTGGCCGTGAATTTGACATTTACTTTGTAGTTCAGACAAATTACACTTTAGTGAAAAATCTATTCATTTACGATTAGCAGGGCTTTTTCTTAACCTGTCAGTGCTGAAAACAACATCTATTCTGTACTAGCATAAGGATTTTACAGACCAGATTGTGAAGAAAAATTAAATTGGTCATAATCGGGTTAAAATGCCCGAATATAACAGAATAGTAGATATCCAGTGCAATTTGGCTGAAGAGTTTTCTGGCAAATCCTGTATTTCGAAATTTACCTTTTTAAGATTGAGGTAAACTGAAATAAATATTGCATGCATCTTTTTATGTAAATACAGTAAGTAGTAAGACATTGAGCAATAAGGGTTTATTAAGTGGCTGAAATGAAATTAGTTTTTGTTGGAGTGAAAACTCACCCAGGTTTAATGCTTAGGCAATCCCCCTCGAATGTTAATTGTCTGATCTGTGCAATGAAAAACCATATTACGAAGGGCCTGAATAGCCATAAATAGCATGTTAACATTTTGTAAAATTTGTCTCTAAAGTCTTTCAACTTCATCATGATTTATAAATAAAAGTCCATTTTAATAAGCCTGGACCTATAATATAAGGTTTATTCTAAAGATGTCAAAAGGTTCCAATAAAAATATACATTATTAGTGACAACCAGGAGATTGTCTTTTTTGCCTTTTTAGAATAAGTAAGGCAATAGTGATTAACAGGAGACCTAAAATCATGCATAATCTCACCAGATAACACCAGCCATTTCTATCCAGCTTTCTTTTAAATTAAACAGTTTGTTATGATGTACTCTCTGTGTGGCGTTTGCTTGCTAGACTTTAATATTTAACAATATGAATAATTTCAAACTATCAGAAATAATTTTTTTAAATATTCAGGGTTCAAAATTTCTACTAGCCACTGGTGAATGAAAATGTAGCCGTCAAGTAGAAATATACCGCTGTTGTGTATGCTTTGGCTTACAGATGCGAGTAAATTAAGGCATGGCTAGAAGCCCAATACTTAAAATGTTAAGCCTTGTTCAGCACAATCTACAGAAGTTCATCGGATTATGATTCTAGAGTTTTTAAAGGGACACTATAGCCACCAGAACAACTACAGCTTATTGTATTTGTTCTGGTGAGTAGAATCATTCCCTTCAGGCTTTTTCCAGTAAACACTCTCTTTTCAGAGAAAATGCAGTGTTTACATTACAGCCTAGGGATACCACCACTGGCCACTCCTCAGATGGCTGCTAGAGGTGCTTCCTAGATCAGTGCTGCACAGTGTCTCTGCCCTCTGCATGGAGACACTGAACATTCCTCATAGAGATGCATTGAGTTAATGCATCTCTATGAGGAGATGCTGTTAGGCCAGGGTTGAGTTTGGCTTGTGCTGGTTCTGCCCCTGATCTGCCTCCTTGACAAGCTCAGACAATCCAATGCTTTCCTATGTGAAGGCATTGTGATTGGCTCAGAACACTACTTCTGATGATGTCAGCCAAGCAGGTAGATCAGGGGCAGAGCCAGCAGCAGACTGGAATAAAGGTAAGATGTTGCAATATTTAGGAGGGCAAGGGGAGGCCAGATGAGCTAGCTGGTGGTTTTAACACTATAGGGTCAGGAATACATGTTTGTGTTCCTGACCCTATAGTGGTCCTTTAAAGATTCATTATAACATTGCCATGCTGATACGGAGGAGACACTGAATTTTATTTATTTTCTGATAATGTGGATAGAAATGTCTCACTGCATTTTCTACGTGTTAAGAAGAAATACAAAATGCTGTTTTTTTCTTAATTCTAATTTTATTTTGAAATTGCATGTGTCATGCTAGAGTCTGGCTCATGTGTCATTGGGATCCACTATCTTCTGAACCAAAGCATGGTGGGAGTTATATGAATTTAGGAGGTTACATTTAATAAGAGTAACAGAGTTGCTCTCTAAACACGTGGTATCTAAACGACAAAATATAAGCTACATACGTTTTTTATCTCTGCTTGCCTTGAAGGGACACAACAGTCACACAGACCACTTCATGAAGTGGTCTGGGTGCCAGGTCCCTCAGGTTTTAACCCTTCAGATGCAAACATAGTAGTTTCAGAGAAATTGCTATGTTTACAATTGGGGTTAAGCCAACCTCTAGTGGCTGTCTTCCGGACAGCCACTAGAGGCACATCTGCGATGCTGGAGGCATATTATGCCTCCATCATGCAGAGCGTCCATAGGAAAATCATTGAGAAATGCTTTCCTATGGACACTTTGAATGTGCGCGCGGCACTTGCCGCGCATTCGCATTCGGCTCCGCTGACGTCAGACGGGGGAGAAGAGGTCACGGGCGCTGGATTAAAGTAAGTGGCTGAAGGGGTTTTAACCCCTTCAGCGTCACGGGTGGGGGCACCCTCAGGGCACTATAGTGTCAGGAAAACCGCTTTGTTTTCCTGACACTATAGTGACCCTTTAATTTTCAATACTAATTTCAGATTGCTACAGTCTGTAATTTATTGAATAAGCCTGAGCGTGTTTAATTTATTTTAGCACAGACTGTAGGGTGAATGTATACTAAGATTCCTTTCTGGTCTAAGTATCTATTAAAGGAACACTACAGACCACTGTTGTGGTTAGAGTGCTAGGAATGCCCTGGCTCCATCCCACAGAAAAATATAAAAAATTATGGCCTGATTTGACATTACCTAGGTAACCAAGTCACATCTACCTTGCCTGGTCTTCTCCAGCAGGAGTAGCCAATTATCACTAGAGCAGGTATGAGCAATCAGTAGATGCTCAGATGCTGTAGGACATTCTGAAGGCTGGCATAGCATCATGGCAGTTGTAGTTCTACAACACTTGGGGATCTATATTTATACCCTGCATTACAGAAAACAGGACCATAATCTGTGTGGTCCTCCTTTGCTCTAAAGTGATATCCAGCTTCTTCTACTGGAGTAGAATGGATGCAGTGTGGACACTTGGTTTGACCCATGTAAGTTGTCAAACAGTGATCGTGGCCAGGCCACTCTTGACACCATAACCGCTACAGTGGGTTGTTCTTACTAACCTTATGGGACCATGGAACACAGGGGGAACATAGATGGGTAGATGTTCCTGTGATGAAGTGTAAGGATGTTTTATACAGCCCCACCCATCAAATGTTCTATGTAGCTCATCTCTGCTCCAAAGCAGTTGTCTTCTCCCCATATCTGGACCTCTTCTGTCTAGGTGTGTGTAGACATGGTACTGCATGACGTTCATTAACATGAACCTATCATCAATCACCTAACCTTCAATCCAGCGCTGCTATGTCCTTATCAGAGGTCCACCTGCACCAGTGTTAATTTTGTTGACTAACAATTTTAGTCTCCTAAAATATTTGAGATTTAGTCGACTATAACTAAAACAATTAAGATGACTAAAATACGACTAAAACTAAAATGGCTTTTTAGTCAAAAGACTATGACTAAAACTAAATTGAAATTTGCCGCCAAAATTAACACTGCTTGGGAACATTTTCTCAAGTAGGGCAAACTTCTTCTGTGACGTTAACACGCTTGCTTCATTGCTTGTCTGAATAGAGTGACATCAATTGCTGTGTTCCAATACTCCCTAGCCAGCGCTAACCATGCCAAATAATTGATTGACAGATGAGAGAAAGACCTATTTTTTTTAAATTAATTTATTTTCCCCATCTATCCATGTGTTTGCTTACAAAATGTTTGCATAGATGGAATGTTTTGTTCTTTAAAAGGAGCATAAGTCATAATTGACCTGACAGGTACTCTTTAAGACCTCATAGATTGTATGTCTAATGGAAATTTCACTTTACCTTCAAAGAATGTTCTATTGTGCTAAATTAGATAACCTTGCAAAATATGGCAGAGGGTTCTGCAGTATCTGTAATGCATTTTCAACATAAAATGGTTTATTATTAATCTGTAAAATCACAAGATGATTAAGTATGACATGTTAAGGGAAGCTATTGTTTTGCTCAGTATGATTTGGGGTTTTTTTGTCATGGGGAAAAAAAAGCATAACTGATCAAACTGTACAGATTTTGTCTTGGTATGTATTATGTTGTTCTGTTGAAATTTGTTTTAATTTTCAAGGAGCCATAAAATAATTTAAATACTTGTTTTGTATGTAATGTACTTTACTATAATTTAGACATTGTAAATATAATCTAAAATCCAAAAATAATTCTAAACACACAAGCTAAATTAATGTTCTATTTTATGTGTTTGCATTAAGGACAAAATAAATACGCTCAAATACTGTGATGTCTGAATGTTTTTCCAACTTTACAATTTGCCTGTCATGGTTAAAATGTATCATCCACAATATTTGGAACCAGACTGTTTGTCATACTTTATGTATTTGGGGACAGAGGGTTTAGTTTAAAGGACCACTATAGTGCCAGGAAAACATACTCGTTTTCCTGGCACTATAGTGCCCTGAGGGAGCCCCCACCCTCAGGATCCCCCTCCCGCCGGGCTGGATGGAGAAGAAAGGGTTAAATCTGAACATTTTTCCAGCGCCGGGCGGGGAGCTCTCCTCCTCCTCTCCTCCCTCTTCTCCTCCTCTTCGGCTGAATGCGCATGCGTGGCAGGAGCTGCGCGCGCATTCAGCCAGTCCATAGGAAAGCATTCACAATGCGCTGATTTTCACAGTGAGAAGCACGCAAGCGCCTCTAGCAGCTGTCAAGAGACAGCCACTGGAGGCTGGATTAACCCTAACTTAAACATAGCAGTTTCTCTGAAACTGCTATGTTTATAAAAAAAAAAAAGGGTTAACCCTAGCTGGACCTGGCACACAGACCACTTCATTAAGCTGAAGTGGTCTGGGTGCCTATAGTGGTCCTTTAACATTATCCCTAAGACACGTTGCTGCAACCAGTCAAATTTTCACTCATTAAATTTAAGCCGTTATCCAGCTACGCTTGTAAAGAAAAGGGGGGTATTGGAAAGAGGATGAAGGGGTTGCTGTGGGAGAAGAAGGTAAGGAGGCACGTTTTATAGAGTATGGACCAATGTGAAGAATGGATCAGGCACTAGCCTATAGCAGTAGGCAAAGCTCTATGGGAGGGAAATGTTGCCACTGACAGGGTTTTCTCCTTAAGAGGGAATTGTCAGGAAGGTAAAGTGAATTTTAAATGTTAAAGCAAAGTATCTGAACTGGAAGCCTAACTGATTTGGAGATTTTTTTTTTTCCAATTCAGCTATTTTGCCCTAAATTTTAAAATCACTTTGCATTCCTGACAATTATCACTTTAATAAATAGCTCCGATTAGGTATAGAAGATGGCTGTGCAATTATATGCAAAAGGGAAAAGCCTTGTCCTGAAAAAATGTGATAGGTCTCCCAATCATCTCACCCACAGATGATTGGAAGATGAAAAATGTAATGCAAGTACAGTCCTTAAATGAACATTTCAAGTAACATAACCACTAAGCCCAATATAGTGGTTATGGTGCCAGGAGTACTCTGGCACACTTCTAGAGTAATGTGTTGAACCATTTTAGAACAGTCTGACAACTCACCTGAGTCCCATAGGCGTCTATTCTGCATCTGGTCTTCTCTTGTAGGAGAAGACAGATGTCTTCACTGAGCTAAGCCTGGCTAGTCTAAGATTGCTCTCAATAGTTACAAGTGGTCAACCTTGCTTAACTCAGTGGAGCTGACCAGTTTATTCTGCATGGATAATAAAGAAGCAGGCCCTGTAATGGTGGCACCCACTCACACACCTCTATTATTCAAGAACTGTTTCTAATTTTATTGTTATGCCAATGGCACAGTTGTAATGTATGCAACAGTAACAAAAATGACATTTAAACTATACAAAAGTTGGAAATGTTTTTAGCATAATGTATGAAATGTTATTCCCTATGAAGTGGCAACGTGTGTTTTGATGACCCATGCACCCTAATAATGATATTTTAGAAATCATTACTACAATAAACATATATACATTTTTTAAATAATTCTTTATTTTGGAAATTTTAGGAACAATACGTAAAAAATAGCTATGAAAAATAAAATAGAAATGACATTTTCAACTAAAGACATTGCATATGTGAGAACACAGTAGGATAAACTATACATATTTATATAAAAATTAGTAACATAAGTTGTAAAAATGTCAGGGAGCCAAGCATGTGATAAGGGTACAAGGTATCATGGCCGGACCGCCATGCTGGCTGGTCGCAAGTCTGATGAGCTCCAGCCTGTTCTCACCTAATCAGCTCTCTATAAGTGGAAAATCTGCTTAATTTCTCCAGAAAAACTGCGAGTTGTCACACAACAACTCACTGCTTAACCTGCAGACCTCAGGCCTGGATGCTGTGAAGCCCTGCTGGAAAATTGTACACCTGGAGCTTGCAGCCTACTGTAGCGAGGGGTGAGGTGGACGGCACCTCATCTACTTACCGATCGCCGATCGATGGTGCAGCTTCCGATGGACTGTCTCACTGGCCCTGTTACCCCCTCTCCTCTGGACCGGTGGGGGTTATCCCAGTCCCCGATGGCCTCACACGAGCACCTCCGTGGCCCCCGGTAGCCCAATACAGCCCCTCCACCTCACTCTGAGTCACTAACAAGATGGCGGTTGGGCCTATACCCAGGGGCGGGCTGTGGCAGGGAGGCAATTGCCCCCCAGGCCGCCCCAAATAATTTTTAAACCGGCCGCTGCAGGGCCGGTCCTAATGCTGCAGCCATCTGAGCGCTCTGTGAAGAGCAGGGGGGATTAAGAAGAACAGGGGGAATGGAGGATTAAGAAGAACAGGGGATTAACCCCTTAAAGACACATGACGGAAATATTCCTTCATGATTCCCTTTTATTCCAGAAGTTGTGTCCTTTATTTATTTATTTATTTATTTATTTTTACCAGGAAAGATACAGAGGGGTTAAGAAGAACAGAGGGAGGTGGGGATTAAGAAGAACGGGGTGGGGATTAAGAAGAACAGGGGAGGGATTACAAGCAACAGGGGGTGGGGGGGGATTAAGAAGAACAGGGGGGTTGGGGGATTAAGAAGAACAGGGGGAGGGGATTAAGAAGAACAGGGGGATTAAGAAGAACGGGGGGAGTAAGAAGAAGGGGGGAGTAAGAAGAACAGGGGTAAGGAGAACACAGGGAGGGGGAGTAAGAAGAACACAGGGAGGAGGGGGGAGAGTAAGAAGAACAGGGAGGAGGGAGGAGAAGGGGAGATGAGGAGAACACAGGAGGGGGGAGGTGAGAAGAACACAGGTGGGGGAGTGAGAAGAACACAGGGAGGGTGGAGGGTGAGGAGAACACGGGGTGAGGAGAACACGGGGAGTGAGGAGAACACATGGGGAGTGAGGAGAATACATGGAGGGGAGGTGAGGAGAACACGGGGGGGTGAGGAGAACACATGGAGGGGGGGAGTGAGAAGAACACAGGGAGGGGGGGGTGGGTGTGAGAAGAGACCGCTAGGGGAGGGGGGGAGAGGAGAGACCACTAGGGGGCAGGGGCGAGCTCTAAGGGACAGAAGGGAGAGCTCTATAGGACAGGGAGCTCTTTCACACTACGTGCACACACACACACAATGCATCCCCCTACACACACAGAAACACAACATGCTTCCCTTACACACAGAGAAACACACAATGCATCCTTTGCACACATACACAGAAACACACAATGCAAACCCTTACACACACATGCAAACACACACACTGCTTCTCTTACATATACACAGAAACACAATGCATTTCTTGCATCCCTTATGCATACAAACACAGATTCACACAATGCATCCTTTACACACAACCAGAAACACACAATGCATCCCTTATACACAAACACACACTGCATCACCTACACAAACTGTGAGCAAAATGTTGTATCTGTCCGCCTACTCGCATGGCGTTAGAATCTTTTTGCTCTGTCAGTCTTGAAGTCTTTGTTTGTGTCAAACTTAGGATCTTTCGTTGACAAAAAAAAATGTGTTTTTCTTGATACCCCCTGCGGTCCATGTATTGGAAGTTCTTGTATATGGGCTTACAAGAATACTTCCTGTCCTGAGGGAGAGCTTTTTTGGTTTCTGGCTACAGATGTCAGGCCCATGACACGAGCAGAAGGTTTAATCACCTCTGTGATAATCTAGGTTGTAGCTGTAAGCCCACCTGGGACCGTATGAAGCTAATGTAAGTGAAGGCCTAGTGAGATCTGTGTGTCAAGGTATAGAAGTAGAAGGCCAAGAGAGCTTATAGCGATTCATGAGTAGCATGGCAGTATGAGAATTAGCGCGTGTATGAAGTGATATGATGTGGGTTGGTTAACGGTTGTTGAGCTGTAGAACAGTTGAAATTTTACACATAGTGAGGCAATATGGCAGATCTGCTCCATATCATAACATGTATATAACCAACTTGACCCGTGAGAGGCCTGTACTGGTAGGACTGTTAATTAGAGATGATAATGAGGAGACACTTGAGTAACATGGCACTGATTGTAGTAGGTTGCCCACTGAGGGCCATATGAAGCATATGCTTTTATTTCATATATGTTTTATTTTGTACTGGGTGAAGGGAAAATGTATCATTTTACATGTGTTTTCATAATATTTATAGGAACACTCCAAGCACTATAAGTGGTTATGGTGCCAGCAGTGACCTGTGGAATTAAGAGTGTGTGTGAAGTGTTCCTTTAAATATTACAGCCTTCTTTTTGGACATCTGGCAGATAGCCTACAATTTATAATCTAGTTATACACAGAATTACCAATATAATAAAAAAAATATATATTTAGTTGAGCAGAATATATAATTTATTTAATAATCAAACATCAAAATTAAAATATAAATACAACCATACAGGGAGTGCAGAATTATTAGGCAAATGAGTATTTTGACCACATCATCCTCTTTATGCATGTTGTCTTACTGCAAGCTGTATAGGCTCGAAAGCCTACTACCAATTAAGCATATTAGGTGATGTGCATCTCTGTAATGAGAAGGGGTGTGGTCTAATGACATCAACACCCTATATCAGGTGTGCATAATTATTAGGCAACTTCCTTTCCTTTGGCAAAATGGGTCAAAAGAAGGACTTGACAGGCTCAGAAAAGTCAAAAATAGTGAGATATCTTGCAGAGGGATGCAGCACTCTTAAAATTGCAAAGCTTCTGAAGCGTGATCATCGAACAATCAAGCGTTTCATTCAAAATAGTCAACAGGGTCGCAAGAAGCGTGTGGAAAAACCAAGGCGCAAAATAACTGCCCATGAACTGAGAAAAGTCAAGCGTGCAGCTGCCACGATGCCACTTGCCACCAGTTTGGCCATATTTCAGAGCTGCAACATCACTGGAGTGCCCAAAAGCACAAGGTGTGCAATACTCAGAGACATGGCCAAGGTAAGAAAGGCTGAAAGACGACCACCACTGAACAAGACACACAAGCTGAAACGTCAAGACTGGGCCAAGAAATATCTCAAGACTGATTTTTCTAAGGTTTTATGGACTGATGAAATGAGAGTGAGTCTTGATGGGCCAGATGGATGGGCCCGTGGCTGGATTGGTAAAGGGCAGAGAGCTCCAGTCCGACTCAGACGCCAGCAAGGTGGAGGTGGAGTACTGGTTTGGGCTGGTATCATCAAAGATGAGCTTGTGGGGCCTTTTCGGGTTGAGGATGGAGTCAAGCTCAACTCCCAGTCCTACTGCCAGTTCCTGGAAGACACCTTCTTCATGCAGTGGTACAGGAAGAAGTCTGCATCCTTCAAGAAAAACATGATTTTCATGCAGGACAATGCTCCATCACACGCGTCCAAGTACTCCACAGCGTGGCTGGCAAGAAAGGGTATAAAAGAAGAAAATCTAATGACATGGCCTCCTTGTTCACCTGATCTGAACCCCATTGAGAACCTGTGGTCCATCATCAAATGTGAGATTTACAAGGAGGGAAAACAGTACACCTCTCTGAACAGTGTCTGGGAGGCTGTGGTTGTCAATCATAGCCAGGAGAGGTGTGGCTAGGGCTGCATAAACAGAAACAAAGTGATTTAACTCCTAAATGACAATGAATTCAGCAGTGAAATTGCAGGGGAATGATCTATACACTAAAACTGCTTTATTTAACTAAAGTAATTTAGGTGACTATAGTGTTCCTTTAATTTGCTCAAATTTTAGAGTTTTATGAATAACCCTGTTGAGTTTTTGGTTGTTGTAGTGCAGCTGTTAATTATATAGTGCAAAGTTTACAACCGAACTACATCTACCACATATTACTCACAATGTTGTGTAGGGTTTCATGGTTATGAGGAGGGAGCTTCCTGGTCTAGACAGAGGTTGGTGGTAAAGTTGCAGGCTTGGGGATTTACAGCAACTTAATATCTTTATTATGTATTATTTTTTATTTATGATTTTGCATATTTTTGAGACATATTTATATAATACAGGAGTGGCCAAAAGATTTCATACCCGCACTACATCTATCCATTCTTTTCCAGGCTTTATGGCCACCCCTAATGGAAAACATGAAGTGTCCCTTTAAAAAAAAAGTGTGAAATCAAACTTACAATGTTAAAAAATATGGAAACATCCATTGAAATATATTTGCTGAATATGTCATGCTTAAGCAGCATGTGGCTTAATCACACCATGAAAAACAAACAAGAAGAAGTATATGTCAACACAAAATAAATGCTATAATTAAAATTGAGTGAAAACATAATAAATAGATAAGCTTGAGAGGTTAACCTTTTCAAATCTAACAAATCTGGGTAGCAATAATTATTCCAATTATAACATTTCCAAATTATATAAAAAAACACAGTAATCGGAAGTCTTATGTATACCCTAAATAATATAAGTACCCGTTGGGGATGGATGGACGACCTCTGATATTTCATTTGGCTGTTTTTTCAATAAAGGAAAGTTTTTTTTCAGTAATGTCAACACATGCAAAGTGATCAAGATTCATTGCGATCATGCATTCATTGATTACTTTGTGAATAAGGTGTTTCGATTTTCAGTGGAAATTACACAGATTGAGGATCATTTCTGATGAATGCAGGGATCATGTCTTTCTTTGCTTTTTTGTCACAAGCAAATTCTGTAGCTTTTCCTTAAGACAAAACAAACCAATTTTACTTTTATAAATTTTTTTGTCAGAATTGATAAGTTGGTGTTAAAATAACCACCTCTCTAGATAAATATCTATAGAATCTTAATCAGTGTCAAACTAAAAAGGACAAACATTGATTGCTGTTTCTGGTGCATATGTCCTGGCTTTTATCACTAAGTTATGCAAATAATATTATAAACATACATGTGCACAGTCATCCAGTCAGACGTACAGGTACACAATTATACACTCACAGCTGCATACTCAGGCTCGCACACAGATGCAGGGAGGTGGAATGGAACCCTTTAATCTGTTTTCTCATTTATTTCATCTTCTACGATGACCTTTTCCTAAAGGTAAGCGGAAGCTGTAAAAAAATGGGACAAGGTGCAAAAGTAGGGATAAAGACAGAAGCTGGCTTTGGAAGTAAGATGGCACACAGGAGCCTTATGTGTAATCTGGCCCCCTTCCCGCCACTTCCAACTTACCCTTGCTCAATTGCTATCAAGCGAGAAATGTGCTGGGTGCCTGGGTGTCCACTGTTCCTTTCTAATAAGTGAAGTACACCAATGAGGATTAATCAGCCCAGCTTTAGCTGCCGATCTTATGGCTCTGAGCTGGATTTTTTGCGTACATCTATTGGGCCAAGCTAGCCATATTAGTACTGCCCCAGGACTCCAAATGCAGTGTGAGAGTAGTTAATCATGTGCCCACACTCCTGAGTCTTTCTAACACAGTTTGGCAAGGGTTGTGTGAATGGCTATTTATGCATTTTGGTAAATATGCGTTTAATAATTTTTGTATATAGGCATGCTATATACTATACTTAACATGTATAGCTTGGAGGAAAGATGAGACAGGGGGGATATGATAGAAACATTTAAATACATAAAGGGAATCAACACAGTAAAGGAGGAGACTATATTTAAAATAAGAAAAACTACCACAACAAGAGGACATAGTCTTAAACTAGAGGGACAAAGGTTTAAAAATAATATCAGGAAGTATTACTTTACTGAGAGGGTAGTGGATGCATAGAATAGCCTTCCAGCTGAAGTGGTAGAGGTTAACACAGTAAAGGAGTTTAAGCATGCGTGGGATAGGCATAAGGCTATCCTAACTATAAGATAAGGCCAGGGACTAACGAAAGTATTTAGAAAATTGGGCAGACTAGATGGGCCGATTGGTTCTTATCTGCCATCACATTCTATGTTTCTATACTGTGCTTTTGACGATTTGTTTATGTAAGCATGTATGCCATGTTTGTGTGTTGGGCAGTTTCTGTAAATATGTATAGGGCTAATTTGCTGTGTAATTAGCTAATAAAAGGGACACTATAGACACACAGACCACTCCCTCACATAGTTTTATCCATGCAAGTGAATATTGTCACTAGACTCTTAATACTTTTTCTATGGGAAAGCTTTGCATTAGCTAATATCATTGAGGCAGGACAGCAGTGCGGAGCATGGTAAAGTAAGGCAGAAAAGGTAAGTAAACTAATTTTTTACTCCCACAGGTGGGGGCTACGGACTTAAACAGCTACCAGAGCACTATAGCGCTAGGAATACAAATTTGTATTCCTAACGCTATAGTGTTCCTGTAAGTGTCTTGTCAAGTATACGTGGGTGAGAGCGGCTGATTTTGTATAGGTGAGCGTGATAGGTAGTGCAGTAAATTATAAGGTTTCAAATTGTCAGGGCCTAGCACAACCTAAAATCTAAATATATTACTGGATCCAGCTCACGGATGTCTCCTATGCATTGTATAAATTTGGAAAGAAAATTTTTTAAAAGGAACTCTCAAAAGACCATTATACTCCAACATGTCCTTACTTGGCCCTTGCAGATGCTGCTTACTATTAAATAGGTATCTGTAGCGGATGGCACTGGGCTGTCCTGGGAATTGTATAGGTTTTAACTGCATTCGTGTAAATGGCAAGTTATATGTGTAGAAATGTATTGTATTGGTCTGATTGTTCGGTAGAATCAATCTAACAAGTAAGGGAATGAAACTACCAAACAGTCAGACCTCAGGGGTGGGGGCCAGGGGGGAGGACATTAGGTCCCCCCCTTATTAGTATTTAGGGCCCCCACCCACCTCTCAGGGGTGGGGGCCAGGGGGGAGGACATTAGGTGCCCCCCTTATTCCAATTTAGGGCCCCCACCCGCCGCTCAAGGGTGGGGGTCAGGGGGGAGGACATTAGGTCCCCCCCCTTTTAGTATTTAGGGCCCCCACCCACCGCTCAGGGGTGGGGGCCAGAGGGGAGGACATTAGGTCCCCCCCTTATTAGTATTTAGGGCCCCCACCCACCGCTCAGGGGTGGGGGCCAGGGGAGAGGAACATTAGGTCCCCCCCTTATTTTACTGTAGTGCCCCCACCCACTGCTCAGGGGTGGGGGCCAGGGGGGAGGACATTAGGTCCCCCCCCTTATTTTACTGTAGGGCCCCCACCGTTCAGGGGTGGGGGCCGGGGGGGAGGACCTTAGTATTTTAGTATTTAGGGCCCCCACCCGCCGCTCAGGGGTGGGGGCCGGGGGGGAGGACCTTAGGTCCCCCCCCTTTTAGTATTTAGGGCCCCCACCCGCCGCTCAGGGGAGGGGGCCAGGGGGGACCTACACGCTGTGTAATTTGACTCATAACACTCTGATTGGTTACTTTCAATCCACCAATCAGAGTGTTGTTATGAGTCAAATTACACAGCGTGGGAAAATTCCAAAGAACTTTCCCACGCTGTGTAAAATGACACAGAGCACTCTGATTGGTGGATTTAAAACCAACCAATCAGAGTGATGTGACAGGTAAATGTAGAGACTTACCTGTCAGTCTCTTCATTTACCTGTCAGAGCACTCTGATTGGATGGCTTAAACCCACCAATCAGAGTGCTCTGAGCCTAATTGCAGGGCGGGGCAAGGCTTTATAAGCCTTCCCCAGCCCTGCAGAGCTCAGTCTGGGCGGAGCCCTCGCCTTGTGAAGATGGATAATTTTTTTTGTGCTCGTTTTTTTTTTTTTTTTTAATTGCGTCGGTTATTATGGTTTTTTATTTGGCCTTTTTTGGGGCTGAAAAAAGAAGATTTAGAAGAAAGAAAACATCGAATGGTAAGTTTTTTTGTTTTTTTTTTACAGGTACTTAGTTAACGGTCCCCCCCTCATTATTTTTAGGGTGAGGGGGGTAGGTAGGGGGTTAATTTTTTTTTGGGGGGGGAGGGGGTGACTAGGGGTTTGGGGACACATTTTTTAGGGCGCCCACCCGCCGCTCAGGGGTGGGGGCCGGGGGGGAGGACATTAGGTCGTCCCCCCTTTTTAGTATTTAGGGCCCCCACCCGCCGCTCAGGGGTGGGGGCCGGGGGGGAGGACATTAGGTCCCCCCCTTTTTAGTATTTAGGGCCCCCACCCGCCGCTCAGGGGTGGGGGCCGGAGGGGAGGACCTTAGGTCCCCCCCCTTTTAGTATTTAGGGCCCCCACCCGCCGCTCAGGGGTGGGGGCCGGGGGGGAGGACCTTAGGTCCCCCCCCTTTTAGTATTTAGGGCCCCCACCCGCCGCTCAGGGGAGGGGGCCAGGGGGGGAGGACCTTAGGTCCCCCCCCCCTTTTTAGTATTTAGGGCTCCCACCTGCCGCTCAGGGGTGGGGGCCAGGGTGGAGGACCTTAGGTCCCCCCCATTGTGATTTATTTGCCCCCACCCACCGCGCAGGGGTGGGGGCCGGGGGGGGAGGACAGTAGGTCCCCCCCTCATTATTTTTATGGCCCCCACCCACCGCGCAGGGGATGGGGTGGGGGGGGAGGACAGTAGGCCCCCCCCTCATTATCTTTATGGCCCCCACCCGCCGCCCAGGGGTGGGGGCCGGGGGGAGGACAGTAGGTGTCCCCCCCTCATTATCTTTATGGCCCCCACCCGCCGCCCAGGGGTGGGGGCCGGGGGGGAGGACATTAGGTCCTCCCCCCATTGTAATTTATGGCCCCCACCCGTCGCACAGGGGTGGGGGCAATAGGTTTTTTTGTTTTGTTTTTTACAGTGAGCAGCCACTGGCTGCTCACTGCTTACTAGACGGGGCAGAATTTACTAATACTAAGTAATCTTTACTTAGTATTAGTAAATGTGGCTGAAAGACCAATTTAGGTCTTTCAGCCTTTTAGTAGATAGCTCTCTAATACCGTGGGAATTAGGGAGTTATCTACTAAGCGGCTGCAAGATGCAGCTGCGGATCGGAGTTTGCATGCCACAGTCCAGGTGTTAGTCCCCTTGAAACAACTTTTCCATCACTATTGTGGCCAGAAAGAGTCCCTGTGTGTTTTAAAATTCGCCTGCCTATTGAAGCCTATGGCGGTTCGCAGGTTCGCGAACATTTGCCGAAATTCGCGTTCGCCGTTCGCGAACCGAAAATTTCATGTTCGCGACATCACTACTTAGTATTAATAAATTTGGCTGAAAGACCAATTTAGATTTTTCAGCCTTTTAGTAGATAGCTCCCTAAAACTGTGGGAATTATGCAGTTATCTACTTATTCATTCCTGTCATTACATTGACTGGCCAAGTAACTTACATTTTATATGAATGTATGTTACTTGATTGTTGTAAGTGTTGCAAATGCTTACAGCTGAATCCTGGCTATGTTTGTATACTTTTTATTTAAAATTGTATACAGTGTAACATTCTTCATTCTTCCACTGGGTAAGTATATTAGTTCTTAGGCAATACTGTGCTTCGGAACTTTGGCACTTCGACACTTCGGAACTTCAGCAACTTCGGCACTTCAGAACTTCGGCACTTCGACACTCCGCAAATTCAGTAATTTCGTAATTTCGGTACTTCAACCATTCGGCAATTCATCTATTCGGACATTCGGAAGTACCCCAATGTCCGAATTGCCCGAAATCCGTCCGAATTCACATTCAGACCGAAACTAATTGCACATGTTTAGTGCTTAGTAGAATAAGTTAATTATTCAATGAAAAGCAGCTTGATCCTACACCATCGACCCAGGACAGTCCAAACATGGCCCTCTAGCTGTTGTTCTTGGAATTAAAGGAAATGTGGCACACAGCAGCTAAATGATCAAGGTTCCCTGTTCTTGCTTAACTAGTCATCAATGTGCGACACACCAATATCCTTTGTATTACATCATTTTCTTGTAATTTACTAGTTTATAACCTAAAAAGTTGGTGTATTAAATCATATCACATTGCACGGGGGTGGAATATCGGTTATTAGACTATGACAGCTGTATCTCTTGCTGCTGCATTCAATGTGACGTGGCAGTGGCACCTGCTTGGAGTTTGTGCCCTGTGCCATTGCACAAGTTGCACACCCCTAAGGCCAGTGATACGCCTTAAAAGGAGAACTTATATATATAAAAAAAAAATATTAAAAATGACATACTTGGGGGGCGGAGCTAAACCGCTGAAGCAATCGGTCGCATGTCCCTGAAGCTCCAAGCTATATGCCACAAAAAGCCTAATTTCAGCCATCAAAACCACCACTAACTGACCCTGGAGAGTAGTATAGTAGTATAGGCACCATGGGGCGCAAATCAAAAAAAACTAAACCAGATAAACCGACCATGGGAATGGATATCGGAGAACTATGGAAGCAGGCGCAGGGAGCGTACGGGCCTAAAATGGCCGCTCTCACTGGGGGCTGTTCGGATTTTTCCGACGAGCTATCCATGGACGGGGAAGATGACATCCTACCTGCCACCCCAAAACCAAAACCAGGCTTGACTACTCCGGATGCAGCTCCGGTCACCACGGCCGTCCTAAAGGAGCTGCTGGACAACCTGAAAACTGCACTGCAGGCAGACATAGCCACGATCCGCAGTGGCCTGCAGGGCCTCACGGGCCGCATCGGAGTGCTGGAGGAAGCCTCGCGCACAAGCTCACAAAGCATGGAAACACTACAACAAGAGGTCAGAGACTTGCAAAAACAGAACCAACTGTATGACCGCCGCTTTGCGGCACAAGAAGACGCCCGACGCCGGAATAACCTGAAAGTTAGAGGTATCCCGGAGGACATACCTGAGTTAACACATCTAATGCGGAGACTTATAGCCGCACTACTTCCCCCACGGCAGGCTAAAGCTATACAACTGGACGGCCTATTCCGAACCCCCAAACCGGCCAAGGCTCCAGCAACATTCCAACGGGACCTGGTGGTCCAATTCAAATCGGGAATAGACAAAGCAGCAGTTCTTACGGCCCTCAAAGGAACGTCCTCATACCAAATGGAAGGCATGTCGCTGGCCTTCTACCAGGACCTTTCAAACAGCACCCTGGCTTGGCGGAGGTCCCTCAGGCCTCTCACCGCCCTCCTCCAGAAAAAGAATATACGCTACCGTTGGCGTATGTCTCGCACGCTCATGGTAACACACGGAGATTCCACGCATCTCCTCCAAGACATCCACGAAGCAACACCACTATTACAAGCCCTGGGCCTCCCCCAAGACAGTCTGAGCAATAAAGGACCCACCACCGATCCTGGTCCCCCACACGCTTGGAATCCAGCAAAGATCACCCCATTCATCCCACGGGGTGCCCTGCCGGACTCATATGCAGCAACAACATCCTGAGGACAGTCCTACACTCAGCCCTACCTTGCAGGGATATGTTTAATTTTCAAATGTTTTGTTCTCCACTCTGTTTGACTCCTCCGATAATGTGACATTTATTTTACACTATGTTACACTTGTCACACATGATGGTATAACAAGGCAGCCATGACACATATGTTTAATACCCCGCCCTCCCCGCCTCCGGACACTGTGACAGAGTTCCACTAATGTCCTAGACAAAGAAGGCGTTGCAAGCTACACCTCACACTTAAGATTTCACATACATACTAAACTGACAATAGGTCTGCAACAGTCAGAGGTGCATATGAGTCAGCCTCACATAATAAGCACACTACTTAACTGATTCAACACATCAAGCTTGTCGTTAAGACAACCACGTTACGGATTGCTCAAAATTGTCAAACTATTGGTACCCTACGGTTAACTAAGCATTTATAAAGAATTAAAACTGAGATAGGTAATTTACTGCTGCCTATTCAGTGATACCGGTATCATACACGTATGTTATGCCAGCTTCTGCCTCTACGTAAACGACTTTAAACTAACCATGCATGATATTATCATATGTTTTATTTTACTAAAGATATGAATGTCTCTGTTAAGGGTGCCCGCCCAACTTACGACAAGAATACTGATTCCACTGTTACGTTAATTTTAGTATCTGATGCCTACATCTCAATCTCAACCAGATTGCATGACAATTGACCTCTAGCTGTACCAGATTACTTTTTTCTGTAGCTAGCATACATTTGTTAAGCCTGCACACCAAAACAAAAAAAAAATGTGCAATTATCTATGCCACTGTTGAGCCTGTTTATTTATACGTGTACGCTGTTGTGGCGTTTGTCACTGTTTTTGTACTCACCTGCGCAACAAAAATAAAGAATAAAAAAAAATTTAAAAAAATGACATACTTGTTCCTTGAGTTGTTTTTCAAATCTTTGGCATATAGAGTGCAGCTCCTCTATAGTCCTATTCTTCAGTTTAAGCTTAAGATTTCTGTCCTCCAGGACTGATAGTAAGGATTTGCATTGCTCACATTCCTAAAAGTGCAAAATGGAATTTACATCTTCTGATACAAATAAAATGAGTTTTAGCTACATGATCACAGTAGTTGATGGCAGTGGTAGAATTTTTTTTTAAAATAATTAAAAAAAATATATATATTATTTATAAATATATTTATTCACTAAAATCAAAGTTTCACAAATATATTTTAGTTTAAAGGTTCAGTGAGCTATGTTATATATTTTTTGCCTTGCTTTGCTAAAAAAGAGGTCCAGGTTGTTAATGAACTTCATCCCAACAAAGTGTAACTCAACAATTGTCATGTTTTATTTGTTAATTTTGTTTTTCAATGTTAAAAAGGTTAATGATTTTCCCCAAGTTACATCTAATCAGTATTTTTTGCCTTTAAGAATTATTTGCAGTAGTGCTATTACCGGAGACTTTTTCAAGGAGATTTATTGTCCATTTATAAGGTTTGATTTGATGGATGCTGCCCTAAAAAGAGAAAGCATTGGATTGGCTGAAATCAGCAAGGAGGCTGGATGGGCATGGGACCAAACCCTGTTTTTGGCCAATCAGCACCTCCTAATACAGATGCATTGAATCAAGGCATCTCTATGAGGAAAATTCAGCATCTCCATGCAGAGCAGGGAGACACTAAACAGCCACACTACCACAGGAAGCACCTCCAGTGGCCATCTGAGGAGTGACCACAGGAGGTATCCCTAAGGTGCAATGTAAACACTGCCTTTTCTCTAAAAATGCAGTGTTTGCATGAAAATGCCTGAAGGGAACTATTATACTCTCCAGAACAACTACATTAAGCTGTAGTTGTTCTGGTGACTAAAATGTCCCTTTAATGTACTTCACTAGCGCTGTGCATCCAATGTAGGCATGGGGTGGAATGTAGAGTAATGAGGTAGAAATGGAGCAATTTAAAAGTCTATAGCATTAAGCACACCTTCAAATGTAAACTAGCCCAGTTTGCACTCATTCTGGTGCCAATAGTGATTATGCTGCTTGAGGCCCTGCTTCACTAGCTTTACCTAGTGTATGGAGAATTAGAAACTAACAGATGGCAAAAAGGAGGGCATTTCCATTGCTTACAGCTGTGGATGCTATAGTAAGACGAAACAAGAGGAAAGATCTGTAGATCCCCAGATCAGAGTGAACTGGCAGAAGAACTCCTTACTATGAGATCGCACCCACTAATTAGACTCCGTCCGTGTATATTCCTGAGTAGACAGTTTTTACTAATTAATAAAAAAACCTCATAGGAGCTATTTATCTCTCTTTCGCACCATCTAGCGGACAGTAACAGACTAAAGCAAGCCATGCCATCTGTGTGCTACTAACAAAATACAATGTAATTAACAATTTCCTTATTTGATGTGTTTTAACAATAATAGAAAATAAATATTGGTATGCAAGACAGTGAAAATATCCAAAAGTACAGTTATTTTTCATGATGTCCAATATTCCAGTATTGCAGAACACATAAAAATGTAATTACCAATATAATAGTGCAGTATTTTTATATACTAGGAATGGGCATAGAATTCACAGGACAGGAAACACACTTACAAGATAAGATCGGAATGAGGGCTGTACCCAGGGCCAGATTAAGAGCCCAGTGGGCCTGGTGCTGACAATTATGATGGGCCTAATTACATAATGTATCGACCAAAAACACTAAAACTGTCATACCTCTCAAGCATCATGTATCTGATGGAGTTGGTGTTGGAGGGAAACTCAAAGGATGCAGCTATAAGAAAACACATACTCTATGCTAATCTATCTCTAATTTATGTTTTCATCTTTCAAGTAAATCCATACCCCCTTACAGCAGTGTCCAGTGAAGCAGGAAGTCAACGGGTGGGGTAAAAGGGTGGGCCACTGACGCGAATCACGTGACCATAACTGCCAAAAGGGGCGAACATGCCCAAAAAGGGGGAATGTCTGTCCAAAGAATTGGAAGGCAAGCCCGGCGTCAGTGTCCCTATGTATCACAGTGTCAGTGTCCCCATATCACCCAGTCCCCTAGTCTCCCAGTGTCTGTGTCCCCATTTCTCCCAGTGTCCCTATGTCTCAGTGTGTCCCATGTCACAAGGATACTAGGGGACACTGAGAGACATGGGGACAAAGTGAGACATGTGCACACTGAGAAACTCAGGGACACTGAGACACTTGGGGATGCTGGGAGACATTGGAGAACTGAGACACTTGGGGACACTAGGAGACATTGGGGCACTTGTGGATACAGACATGGGGACACTGGGAGACTTGGAGACACTGGGAGACATGGGGACACTGAGACATTTGGCAACACTGGGAGAAATGAGGTCACAGACACTAGGGACACAGAGACATGGGGACACAGACACTGAGAGACATGGGAACACAGACACTGGGAGGCTAGGGGACACTGGGAGACATAGGGACACTGAGACACTAGGGACACTGGCTGGGAGGCATGGGGACACAAACACTTGGAGACACTGGGAGACATGGGGGCACTTGTGGACATAGACATGGGGACACAGGGAGACATGGGGACACTAGAGACACGGAGACATAGGGACACAGACACTGGGAGACATGGGGACACTGAGACACTAGGGACACTGACTGGGAGATATGGGGACACAGACATTTGGGGACACTGGGGGACACTAGGAGACTAGGGGACACTGGGATATTAGGGGACACTGGCTGGGAAGAATGGAGATACTGTGTCCCTAGTGTCTCCCTATGTCTCACAGTGCCCCAATGTGTCTCAGCTGTCTGGACTTAAAATACCAGTCAGGTGACAAACCTAAGAGCAGTGTGCAAAAAAAAAAACAAAAAACTTTTTTTTTTTTTTAAATGGGCCTATTCAATGGGCCTGAGCCTGGGCCTGGAGCTGCAGCTTCATCAGCCCCTATGTTAATCCTGCCCTGGCTGTACCAGAAACTCTAGTCAGTAACGGGTAATATGACTAATTTGATATTTGTGTCCACCATGTTCATCTGAAACAACAGTCAGTGGCCAATAAATCTCAGTCAGTGGATTTTAACATATGAGATATTCAATTGGAAAATAAAATTCCACCTTGCATAAAAGTGGTTGGGATCAGGTGGCAGTTTTTAGAATGCCTATGTAATCTTACCTTTTTAGGTGTGCTGTGTTTTTTCAACTGTAATCGAAGAAGTTGAATTTCTTCTGTTAATTGAGCTACTTCCTTCTGATAGTCCTCGATCTGCTGCTGATGTTCCCTGATGGACAATGTGGTGAAAAACATTTCTAAATATCTATCTCTATCATCTAACAAGACAATATTCAGTTTGATCAGTATTGAAGACAAATGTAATCTGCCTGAATCTAATCAATGCTTTTGCTAATGACTGGTATTATGGATATGTGGAATATCTTCTTTATTGAATAAATGTCCATGCAGTAAAATCCAAAAACCCATAATAACTTACAGTATTTATGCACAATATATTACTGAAATTACTGAAACTTTTTTGTATCTAAATTATAGAAACAAGGATGTAAGATTGACATGCACCATTGTGACATCACATCCCACTCATGACAGTTGATGACATCACAATAGCTGAGCGGTCCCCTGTGGGTCTTGGGTTTCTGCATTCAGTCTCTCGAAATGTTTGATGTCACCTCCAGTGCACAGCTCTCCTGCTAGACACTATGGACAGCAGTCGATGCTGTGAGCTATATCCCTTCTCTTTATTGGAAGCAGTGGATGACTGCGGGTATCTAGCTACAGTTAGGAGCTTGCCTAGCTGTTATTTCACGCATATCTGCAATATCATTAGCAGTTTGGCAATTGTTTGCACACACTATCACTTCGGGGATAACTGCCAGCTGACCTTTTGTATATATTCCCCTTCCTTTACATGTGTCCTTTTCCCTCCCTTACCCCAAATTGTTTGGTTTGATTTTGTGTTGACCCACTAAGAGCCAGATATAGTCTAGCTCTTTTTTAGTTTTTGATATATTAAAAGTTAATTTTTAAACTTCGTACTAGGCCACTGGACAGTAGTTTTTCTCTTCATTTCGTACTATGTTTTTAAACTATACATCTTTTTGTTTGGGTGTGCCCTGTTGTGCTCTTTTTATAGCTTATAGGATTTATAGGCTTTGAAATGAACCTTTTTGCCTGTCAGTGCCCAATGGCACAAACTGCAGTTAAATAAACTATAGTGGACAAATGTACAGAGATGCATTACACGAAAATCGTAAATATAAAAAACATTAATAATTGATTCATGCATTTGTGACAAATATATAATTTCCCTTTATTTTCTGATGAGCTGTACTAAGAAAACGTTTCTATATATTATAGATTATATGTCATCTGCAGTCTCCTTTTAATGTTTAAATCCCAGCTGGAATGCTACCATATATTTAATGGCTACTGATTCCGGCTGCAGCATTTTCAAAAATTTAGTAATTGCCGACTTGCTTGGCAGACCCCAGAAAATTTAAGTCAGCTGTTCTGCTGCCATCATAGAATAGAATGCCTGCGTGTTAGTCTTGCCAATCAATATTTTTATATAGTATTCCTACTAGTCCCAAGTTTCATTATGTAATGCCAGGGACTCATTACTGAAGATGGTGCATCCATAAGAGGATTTTTGTTATAACAGCAAGTGATATTGTACAATTAATATATAGTTTTAAAATTAACCCTTTAGTCAATTCAAGTGCTATGTTTCACAACCATGCTATGTGCAGATTATATGTTTTAGTGCTTTTAGTTTAAAAGCAAAAATCAGTAGTTGAAAAAGCTGTTAGTAAATGCTGTTAGTAACTTGATATTGTTCCAAAGAGCAAAGAAAAGATGATTAAATAACTACACTGCAATGCAATTAAGCACGTCTTTGGAAGAATGTGTAAGTACATGATGTAATAACTGAAATTGTGCATGTAAATTATATAACGTATTCATGTGTTAAATGTACCATGATTTTTCTTTAAATAGTTCGGAGATCTGATGTTTTAGTTTGCTAATCTTTTCATCCCTGATATATACTTGCTGTTGACTCTCTTCCATTACTGATGTAACTCTCTCTTCATACTGTATTAAAACAAATTTCAAAAGATCCCCCGGTAAATTACAATGTTACAACAAAGCTTAGGGTAACATAAATGGCATGTGTACAAAAACAAATTTCTCATTAGTAAAGAGACAATGGAAAATGCCCCATCATGTTTCTAATTTTTTTTCTGTCTGTCTGTCATTTTTGCTTGTTTTTTTTTTTGTGTAATTTAAAAAAAATAATAATTTTTAATAGTTGCGTTGGGAATTATGGACATTTATTTGGTCTTTTGTGGGCCAACAAATACTAGGTCCTCCCCCCTGAATATTATAATTAAAGCAGAAGTCATATGGGCATTACTAGAGCAGGAAGAAACCACAGCGGAAACTCAGGTAAAAGGGCAAACAGTTACAAATCGTTTTTTCTCCATTATTGGGAAAGGAGCCTGGGGTACTTCTCACATCATAACGACTACAGCAAGCTGTAGCTGTTATGATGCTTGGAGTAACCCGTTAAAGGGACACTATAGTCAACAAAACAACTTTAGTTTAGTGAAGCGGTTTGGTGTATAGATCATGCCCTGTGAGTCTTACTGTCCAATTCTCTGCCATTTAGGAGTTAAATCAATTTGTTTATGCAGCCAATGTCACACCTCCCTGCATGTAGGTTGCACAGCCTTCCTAAACACTTCCTATAATAAGTTTTCCAATGTTTACATTTCCTTTATTGCCTACAGTCTGTTTAATCTAGAATTTCTTATCTCCTGCTCTGTTAAAAAACTTGTTTCACCTTACAGGACCCTCCTGTGTGTGATTAAAGTTCAATTTACAGAGCAGGAGGTAAAAAAAGTCTAAAGCATGTTAACATCTGATTGAAAATGAAACCATATTTTTATTCATAAAGGCTGTGTCAGATGCACATAGTTATACACATACACTGTTAAATACAGCCACATGCACAAAGTTCAAGGCACGTAGTCATTTGCACAGTCACACACACAGTTACAGTCAGACAGTCACACACACAGTTACAAGTAGACAGTTACACACACACACTTACAGGCAGTTACACAGTTACAGGCAGCCACACACAGTTAAAAGCAGACAGTCACACGCACAATCACAGGTACAGGCTGTCACACACACAGTTACAGGCAGTCACAAACAGAGTCACAGACATACACACACATTTACAGGCAGACAGTCACACACAGTCACAGGCATACAGTCACGCACACACATTTACAGACAGACAGTCACGCACACACATTTACAGGCAACCAGCCACACGCAGTTACAGGCAAACAGTTACACACACAGTAACAGGCAGACTGTCACACACATAGTTACAGGCAGACAGTCACACACTCAGTTACAGGCAGACAGTCACACCCCCCCGCAGTTACAGGCAGTCACACACAAAGTTACAGACAGACAGTCACACACACATGCACACAGTTACAGACAGACAGTAACACTCACACAGACAGTCACATATACAGAGTCACAAACAGTTACCTCTTTCCATTATGTGGATTGGAGGGGGGAGGAGGCAGTGCAGTCCCTAGTGTCTAGGTGTTGGGGTAGCAGGGATTCCTTCCTGCTTCCCCCTCAGTGTGCAGCAGCAACCCCGGGCATTTACTAGCATGTCGCACAGCTTGCACACCCATATAGCCAGCTAGGGCTGCATGGACAGAAAAAATAATAATTTAACTCCTGATGGAAAATGAATTGTTTTACCTATGCAATGCTTAGTGAATATTCCCCTTGACATACAGAGCTATATATTTTATGTTAAAGGGTGTCAGTCTCATGTCCTGCTTTCGTCTTCTATATTTCTTATTACATAGCTAAAGTAATACTGTTTATATAGCTTAAGACCAAATGGTCAGTAGGCCTGATTAAAATACATGATAATGGTAGATACAAGACATCACTGGTATGATATTTCTATAGGGTGGTCTTCCTCCGCTAAAGGAGTCTTAAACATAGTACTGTACCCACTAATTGTTGTGATATGTCTTTTCTTTCTTCGTACCTGTTTTAACCTATGGATATATTGCAAAATGAGACGTGGAGTTAGAACACGTATTATTCTGTAACCCACAGATATCTGGACAAGTCTTACTGGATGGCTCCTTTAGTGTGAGATGGCAAGGGAACCTAGATGAATATCTAATTAAAGTCCTACAGGTATAACTAGTATACCTGGATATACCTTGCCTAGAACTCTCACCTGGGGTCCCTAGAAGAGGGGAATTGTCATGGATAAAAGTAAATAAAGGGTTAAAACCTTCGCCCTAGTTAGGTCCTTCCACGTCTGCAGGGGTTAAAAGCTAAATTCTTCACTCATGTTTGTGTCAGCAGTTTCTGCAGCTGCTTCTTCTTCTTTCTCATGAAATGTTACTTTTGCTTTAACCTTGTAGATAAGACTCTCAAGTAAGCAACTGTCCCTTGTTTTCATGTACACATGCGCAGTAGACTAATGCCATTTTATATATACGATGTACGACACATTAAACCTTTAAATACTTATTGATAACCCATCTGATTGATGTTCATTGAGTATTCCCAGTAGCTGATTTTACACAAAGACAAGGAAAGCAGAAACGTGTTCGTAAGCAGAAACATGTTAGTGCATAAGTCCATGGCAGTGTAAGGGTTTATGAGACCCTGTGGTGAATTTTCAGCAGCCTAACAACTCTTAAATTGCAGATAATTGAGGAGTAAGACTTCAAAGGCATGATCTATATACAAAATCTGCTTCATTAAGCTAAAGTTGTTTTGGTGACTGTAGTGACCCTTTAACTTGTCCTATTATGAATATGGTTTCTTTTTTTGTTTGTTTCTCTTCCTTTCACTTACATTCAGTGTTTGACATAACATAAACATATTATACTGTTTTAAACTGCACAGGTCTACAATTAGATTGCTATCCTTCTGTAGAATGTATTTACATCTTTTAGATTGCCTTTTATTTATATTTTTGTCATAGCATTAAGGATTAAAGGTGTAAATCAGGGCATGACCAACAAGGCACACATTAGCTATTCCCTGCAAAAAAATGTTCCCAGAGGACATGGCACCAACCTGATTTGTTAACTCCCGAGTCGCTTTCTCATACTGTATTTTACTTTCTTTTAAAAGCCGTTCCTTCTCTTTCACTAAAGATCGGGCTGTGTCCAGATTCTGTCTTGTTATTTTATGGCCGTTTACTTCACTTTCAATGTCTTTGGCAAACTGCAATGTCTGCAAAGAATCAATATCCATATTTTAACTGTGTGATTGAATGTGCATCTTGGTGTGGAAAAAACAGCATTATAAAATTAATAATGACAGCACAAGCTCATCTTTAAACTATGTTTTTAACTATTACATCACAATCTGTCGGGAAACTATCCTTTTAACAATTACACCACAGTCTGTTACTTGAAGAGGGATTAGCATCATAACAATAAGACCAAAATGTGATCTATAAACAAGAACAATCACTAACCCCTTAAGGACACAGCTTCAAAAGCTTGTCTTACCCTTAAAGGCACAAGCCATTTTTGAATTTTAGCGTGGGTTAATTTTTCCGCTCGTTTGTTCCAGGTGTAGTGGTAATGAGCATTTTTTAATGTATTTTTTTACTTTTTAAAACTTGTTTTTAAACTTTTTTGTTTATTAATTTTTTTAACTTTTTTAAACTTTCTTAAAACTTTTTTGACACTTTTAAAAAAAAATTTAACTTTTTTTTACCGTTAAACCCTAACTAGCAGTAAGCAGCACTAATAGTTAAACTTTCTTAAAACTTTGACACTTTTTTAAAATTTTGTAACTTTTTTTTACTGTTAAACCCTAACTAGCAGTAAGCAGCACTAATAGTAAATTCCCCAATTTTCCATTACACCCACCCACCCCAGCTAGCAAAATATATAATTTTAAAATATTTAATTTATTTTATGAAATAAATTAAACCCTGAGGGTTAAAAAATAAATAAAAGTTAACCCTCAGGGGTTAAAAAAAAAAATCACATCACAGTATAATACTGTGATCTTTATTTTGATCACTGTGGGCAGTGATCAACTGGCTGGGAAGGGGTTAATTTTTATTAGGACTGGGTAAAGGGTGGGGGGTGGGATTTTCTTTACTTCTTAAAACGTTATTAAAACATTTAAAAAAAACTTTTTTAACGTTAACCCCTAGCTAGCCTAATACAAAATTTCCTAATTCCTCACTAACTTCCACCCACTAGGAGGGAGTGCTTCCCTCTTGCCTGTCACTAGAATCTTGCGCACCCAGGGCAGTGAGTGTGTGTGTGGGATGTAGGGTGGGTATGGGAGGCAGTGTCTGTTAGGGGTGCAGTGTGTGAGAGGGGTGTAGTGTGTGCATGGGAGTGCAGTGTATATATGGGGTGCAGTGGGAGCACTGTGTATATGGGGGAGAAGTATGTGTATGGGAGTGCAGTGGGGGCAATGTGTGTATAAGGGTGTATTTTTTGTGTGGGGGAGCACTGTGTGTATGGAGATGCAGCGTGTGTGTGGAGGAGAAGTGTGTGTATGGTGGTACAGTGGGGGAGCAGTGGGTGAATGAGGGAGCAGTGGGTGTATGAGGATGCAGTGGGGGCAGTGTGTGGGGTGCAGTGTGTGTATGGGGGACTGTGGGGGCAGTGTGTGTGTAGTTGGCAGAGGGGGCTGATTAAAACAAATGTTTATTTTTTAATTAAAAGATATTCTTTATATCCGCCCTCCCTTCTTACTTCTTCTTAGAATAGAGCATTGACAAGATCTGTGCTTGAGAGAGGAGACCCGGCAGAGCTGCAAGCTAGAGCTCACGGGTCTCCTCTACCTCCCCTGCTGGCCACCAGCCAAGTGCCTGCGGACCTGTGAGGGAGATCTCTGACCTCCCCTCCGGTCCGTGAAGGCACACAGCAGGGCCGGTGCTTGGATGGCGATTGGATAGCACCGGCCCTGTAGGAGAGAGCATCAGCAAGTGCCCAGCTGCCCCCCCTGTCCAGGATCTGTCACTGTGCACCCCCAGAGCCGGTGCGCTGTAAGGCGCCTGCCTGTTCCGCCTAATGGACGCACCGGCCCTGGATTTAGGTTGGCAATTGCCTCCCTGCCCCCCATACCAGCCCGCCCCTGCTTTGTGACACATGGTGCATCACTGGCATGACACTGTCTAAGCCATTTCCCCTCAGATTTGATCATATACATAGAATTGTTTTTCTGAAAGTGCCAAATAGTATCTCTCTGATGGGCTATTAAAAGGATTATATATTTAGAAGTCACAAGGATCACAAATTTAGAAAATACTTAGGTACATAAATGTGATACAGTTATTTTAATTTATCCCCTTTAAAAAGTGATGACTAGTAGTTAACATCCTTCAGTAAGAACTGTTTTGCTTATAATCTGTTTGTTAGTATTCTATTGTTATGATCTACCGTATTTACTCAACTGAAATGGGTCTGAGTTTGAGTAAATTCAAAGGCAAAATTCAAAATTCGTCAGTGAATTTCGCCCCTGAAAGAGGGCAGTCCTCACTTAACAACTGTCGTAAGAACGGAACTCGGTCATCAAGTGAGGAGCAATTTGCGTTATAAGGAGCTATTCTCAAAAAAATAACAAAAAATAATAATAAAGCACAATGTTGTATAGTAGTATCTTCTTGTACAAATGCGCATTACATTTGCCAACAAAAACATTTTTCAGCTTCCAGGTTTCAAAAATTGAGGTGCGCATTAGATTCGATGGCACATTAGATTCAAGTAATTATGGTATTTGGTATTCATACTTTGGTACACTATTACAGTTCTCTGAAAATGTTTGTTCCATATACTACCTTATTTTGAATTTCGTTATTTAACATAAGTAATGCAGCATCTTTCTCCTTCAGCAGTGCTTTAAGTAAGATGATTTCCTTTTCCAGTGCTTGTAGTTTTGATACTGACAAATTGTCATCTTTACCAGATACCTAAAATGAGGAGGATAACATATTATTAGAAGATATTGTTGGGCCTCCGGGGCAGTTTGCTATTCTCCAGGTTGGAACAAAAAAGATTAAAGGAACACCTTAGGGTCAGGAACACAAACATGTATTCCTGACCTTATAGTGTCAAAAACATAATTTAGGTGGCTTGTCCCACCATTGGACCACTTTGGGTTAAAGCCCTGTCCCTGATCTGCCTCTTTTGCTGACATCAACAGAACTGATGATCTCAGCAAATCCAATGCTTATCCAAAGGGGGATTGCCAAGGAGGCGGGGTAGGTCGGGCCAAATGCTGGCCAGCCCAATCAGCATCTCCTCATAGAGATGCATTGAATCAATGTATATCTATGAGGAAAGTTCAGCATCTCCAGTGGCCACCCTAGGTATTAATGTAAACACTGCCTTTTCACTGAAAAGACAGTGTTTGCATGAAAATGCCAGCCAAGACTATCTATACTCACCGAACAACTACAATGAGCTGTAGTTGTTCTGGTGACTATAGTGTCCATTTAACCTCACAAACAGAAGTTCTCCACCCAATTCAAGGGTAGTTATTGTGATGTATGGGCGTTTGGGTTGTGTATGAGTGTGTGAGTGTATGAGTGTATGTATTGTGATGTATGGGCATTGGACAGTTGGGCTGTTGTTGGCTGTGAATGATGCACTTCCTTTCTTTTGGTTCTTTACTTCCTGTTCCTGTTGGCAGTTGGTGGAATGTTCGAGGCATTTGAAACCCTGTGTAATAAGGTTGCAATATGAAGATACTGTCATATATGTATTAATAAAGTGAGTACTTCGTTATACAGGAATTATTGGCTTATTTGTACAAAACTTTACAGTTATAAACTGGAACTAAGGACCTTTGTCCTTAGTACCATCCATATTTCTCCTGTCACCCAGCAAAAGCCTCAGCAGAGGGAAAAAAGGAAAATGTCATGTGATCAGGGAGACATGGTCACTAGAAAAACACTACTCTGATATGGTCAGCTGGGTCAGAGTACTAGTTATCAGACAAGTTGGATAATGGGACCAGGCTGCACAGAAAAATGGCTTAGGTACGGAAAGACAACAATTTATACTTGGGGTCAATGATGCCATCCAGCAAAATCTGAGTAGTGTTTTCAATGGCAGTGACAACAGTAATACACCTGTCCAGAAAGTGGCCTGGTAACAGTGTGACACTTCAGGCCTCAGGATTCATCCAGGATATTTACTAAAGCGTGAACTGTAATAAATTGAAAAGTTCAAAGTGGGGGGGCGTGGTCTGACTAATGGCGTGGACGGTCGCATGTGAGTAAAGCTCTGTCCTTCACCGGCCTAAATCAGCCACTAACACAACGATCTTGACCAGCAAACCCCCACAATCTTAACCCCACGATGGCCCAATATAAAGGGAAGAAAACAGTTGAGAAAGGGGACAAATCCGGGTTCTTTGCAGCCCGCAATCAGACGCCCAAAACTCAGACCCCAGTAGACGATGAGCAAGATGGCGACGACACGCTACCACTGCAAGACTCCCCAGGTTCCAGAGACCAACCAGTCACACAAGTAATTTTACAAGCATGCCTGGAGGAGATGACAACTAAACTGCTTAAAAGTTTTAACAGATCAATATATGACCTGCGGAAAGATGTCCAAGAGCTCGGAGAACGGACGGCCCGCATGGAACACCGCATGGGAGAATATGCGGAGGCCCATAATGACATGGCGGATCACGTCCAAAAACTAGAGCACACGCTGGAATCCTACCAAACCAAACTTATGGATCTCGAAGACAGATCCAGAAGGCAGAACATACGCCTACGTGGCGTACCTGAAGCGGTGAAACAACCAGAAATTATGGCGTATCTCACTGAGTATTTCAAGGCCCTGGCCCCCGACTTACCCGCAGATGTCCTGCTCATGGACAGGGCACACAGAGTTGCAAAGCCGAAATTTTTACCGGAGGAGGCCCCCAGAGACATCCTCACCCACATGCACTATTTTCATGCTAAAGAGGCTTTGATGAAAGCTTCCAGACAGCGCAAAGACCTCCCCGAGCAATACCAAGCAATACAAATATATGCTGACCTCTCCGCGCTCACCCTACAGAAAAGGAGGGAATTCAAAGAGGTCACAGATGCTCTGCGACATCAAGAGGTACCATACCACTGGGGCCATCCAGTTCGCTTGCTAGTGCACAGAAATGGGGATCTCCACACCATCAATACCCCAGACGAGGGACGGAAAACCCTGAAAAGATGGGGCATCCAAGCGCAGCCACAAGGAAGCAACCAGTCACAACCTGCCAAACTACAACCAGAATTGAAGAAAGCACGCACCTGATCGAGAGGGAAATCCACCCGCGACTGGGAGAAGCTCTACCTTATTACACCCACCTACCCCGACAAAGCACTGGTTGATCTGACTCTTTCCTACACGGACTTCCAGCCGACACAACAATGCGGGACCACAGCACTGACAACGGACTCTAAACGAGGCACCACAACATGCAGAGCCTTTAACATGAGACAAGAAGCCTAACCGCAGTAAGGACTCATGGGGTAAAGTCTCATTCACAATTCACACACAGCTCACACACCTACTCATACTGGCACGCATCACCATTCCTTACACATTCCATGATATGTGGCACTGAAATGTCACCCTAGATGTAACGGACCGTTTTGCACACAAGGGGTAAAATACGTTTAGGCGATCGTCCCCTTTTCAGAGATGCAAGCACAGCTATTGTAGAACACCAAACACATGAACCGCCAATAAGTGAATGCTCCAAACTCCCGAACGGCATCCAATATAGCACTCCAAACACACGAACAGGAACCATACGAATCGCTGCTAGCAGACGAATAGGAAAAGCATCTAAGCGGCTTACACTCCTAGCAATCAGTCTCTATCAGCGTTCAGTAAATCCCCCCAAAGACGAGACAAAGCTCCGTGTTGAGGGTCAAGCAGTGAACAGACAGAGCTGTGGGTTTATTGTGCTTATGTACACATTCTTACACATTAGTACCACCCACAGGGTTTTGGAACACAACCAATAAACACATACAATACACTCAGACACTCCCACACAAATTCCTCCCCTCTACATGTGATTCAATTACCTTACACAATGGGTAATGTAATTTAGCACAAGCAGAGAAATACAATTTTTCCACATTATTCATAACTTGAAAAGTATGCATCACATTCACATACGTCAAAATCATACAAATTGGTCCAGTGGTTCAAAAGATAGATCGTAGTCCTTTGTGACCACAGGAAGCATGGCTTTTCTGCCCAAAACCAGTTCCACAGAGTCTTCTATCCTGGAGATAATTAGAAGTAATCCAATTATTTCCAAAGACAGTGGCAAAACTCCATTGAACACATGGCACCAAAAAGACAGTAAAATACAATAAAATACACAATGTTACATTTATGACATAAAATACAGACATGCAACATATGCCCAGATAGCTTAGGTCTAAGCGCACATTATTACTGAATGGCGCTCAGAGCACACACATACAGTTCAATTGCCATGGAGCCAAAGTCTTTCCCATGGTCTTTCATTATACAAATGGGCTCCATGGCATAGCTATCTGGGGTATCACTGCTCAAACAGGGCAAGCACCAAATGACCCAGCTTTCTTGTCTTTGCAGGGGAAAATCAAGCCTTTTAACATGGGGCCATAATCCCAAGGCAACAGGCTAGCAACCCGGCTTCTCCAATGCAATGTGGCGAGATTGGTCTCGTCACACTAGACTCCACACAAGAGGAACACAAGCAGGAGAGCGAAGCAGCCACCGCAAGAACAACCCCTCTCACAGGCATGCACACACCCATAAAACACTGAGCACCCGAGGTGTCAAGCCCCAACACTTCACATACAACCGCCTTAAGCACATATGCTCCTGTAGATAAAACCGAACTGGCAGTGCCAATGTTAATGTTATTGTTACTTCTTGTTATATACTGTTAATGCTATGCAAGGCTAAAGGTTACACTATGTCGCACAAAATCCACAAACCTCAAACCGATCTTAAGGGACAATAGGTTACATCGGGGTTATGCAACATATCCACCGAGTACGAGGTCATAGCAAAAATAGGCTGATGTATCCATGTTACTTTAACTCTTAAGTACCACGCTCCCACATGGTACCACTGTACAGTTACGCTGCCCAAATCTGGGCTGTATTAAAGTTCTTTTCGCTTACCGTCCACACACGGCACGGTTTCCCCACATCCTCCCCCCCTCCCCTTCTCTGCCCACTCTGGAGGAGAGTGCTTTAACTTGTCAAAACCACAGTGAGACCCCCCTAGGGGGACCAATACTTCTGGAGTATCGTATAACTTGCCTAAGGGAGAACCTACCCTCTGCTAACACCCAGACCCCAAGAGACATAACTGACCTAGACCTTAGGGAGAGACATACAAAAGAACCTACGAAGAAGACCCGAGGAGCACCCACACAAAAGAATACACCCACAACGTTAACAGAAAGCTACCAATAACAACCACAGTATGAAAATACAAAGCCATAATGTCAGGGGACTGAACACCCCATATAAACACTGCTTATTCAGGGACTTTAAATAGGCACAACCAGATGTGCTGTGTCTCCAGGAAACATATATCAAGACAATACCCAAGATCAAGCCGTCACAATTCCCACACCAATATCATGCCACATCAGGGCAGAAAACTAAGGGTGTATCAATACTAGTTAGCAACAAGGTCTCATTCCAATACCATTCCTCGCAAACAGACCCTGAGGGCCGTTACCTCGTGGTAGTATGCACGATCAATAACAACAAATACACGATCGCCAATGTATATGCCCCAAACACAAATCAAAGGAATTTCCTACACAGAATCCTATCTCTTCTACGTCCAATCCAAGAGGGTATACTGATTCTGTGTGGGGACTTAAACCACATCTTAGATCCTAACATGGACACTACGACACAAACCCCTCACACAACACGAACCTGACAACAAACAGCTTGCATAAGTCACCTAAAACTACTAGAAGAGCGTGAGCTATATGATGTGTGGAGAGTCCAACACCCACAAGAAAAGGACTATACATATTTCTCTTCCACCCACAACACGTACACAAGAATAGACAGGTTCCATGTTGAGGGCCGACACTTAGACCAAGTACTAGAATGCTCCATAGGCAACATCTCGTGGTCGGACCACGCCCCACAAACCATAACCCTCAAAGATAGCTATGACTATAAACATAAAAGCCCCTGGAGGCTCAACGAGTCCCTATTATCAGACAACTCCTTCACGGACAACATTACGAAAGCCATAGACGACTTTTTTACTTTGAACAAACCAGAAGACACATCCATTAGCACTACACGGCAGGCACACAAATCTGTAATCAGAGGGCTCCTTATCAAGCAAGCCTCCCACACACAAAGAACAAATGGATGGCCTGGCACAAACAGCTGTCAGACCTCACAAACAAAAACAAAACCCAACCGACAGCAGACACACAAAAAAGAATTAGGGAAATAACAGAAACAATTAAAGCACACGCCTTACAACAAGTCAGATACAATCTCCGCAAACTTAAGGCCACACATTACATCCAGGGCAACAAAGCCAGTAGGATATTAGCGACTAGATTGAAGCGAGTGGAGGCAAACACCAAAATTCCATATGTATATACATCCAATGACACAAAAGTTGTATCCCCCGTAGATATTAGCAATGCATTCGCAAACTACTACGGACAACTCTATAACCTTGCGCACTCTAATCAAATGCAAGTACCAACAGACCAGGAAATCACAACCTACCTCCAAGACACACCACTGCCAACTCTCACCGTAGACCAGGTGTCCACACTACAACACCCAGTCACGACTACAGAGGTAGAAGAAGCTATACATTCCCTTCTGACCAACAAAGCCCCAGGCCCCGACGGGTTCACAAACCTGTACTACAAAAAATTCAAATCAACCCTTGCAACACCCCTAGCACAGCTCTTCAACTCAGCCACCCAGGAGAAAAAGCTTCCTGAGGAGCTGCTGCTAGCACATATCATAACACTCCCGAAACCAGGTAAACCACCAAGCCACTGCCCCAACTTTAGACCCATATCCTTACTTAACACAGATGCCAAATTATTTGCGAAGATTTACGCTCGACGACTAAGCACCATCCTACCCTCCCTAATACATGACGACCAAGTGGGATTCGTAACAGGGAGGCAAGGGGCACATAATACCCGAAAAGTATTAAACCTAATACATAGTATACGGAGATCAAATGTGGGTGGCCTTCTCGTGTCCTTGGATGCAGAGAAGGCCTTCGACAGACTAAATTGGGGATTTCTGAGAGCAGTCCTGGTGAGAATGAGTTTCCTTAGCCAATTTATTAACATGGTGGAGGCCTTATACAGCCACCCAACAGCAAGGGTGTTAAACGCGGGATTTTGCTCCGATAAGTTCACAATTACTAATGGCTCTAGACAGGGCTGCCCCCTATCCCCACTACTATACGTCCTGGCACTAGAGCCCCTAGCCGCTAGAATAAGAGCAGACGCATCCATACACGGGGTATCATTACGCCAACGGGAATATAAACTGAGTATATTCGCCGATGATGTCTTCCTCACCTTAACACAACCCCAGATATCCCTGCCGAACCTAATGAAACACATTACAACATATGGACTCCTGTCATACTATAAACTGAATGTCTCTAAGACGCAAGCGATGGGGGTCAACATACCCAACAAGCAAATGATGATCCTCAAAGGATCGTTCCCCCTAGACCGGAGGGATGATTACCTAACTTTCCTGGGGGTAAAAATGACGAAAAACCCTGCCACATTGTTCAAAACCAACTACATCCCCCTAGCCAACACTTTCAAAAATACACTACAGTCATGGGAGGGGAAATACTTATCCTGGGAGGGCCGCATAGCTGCCATCAAAATGTCCCTACTACCGAAACTACAATATTTATACAGATCATTGCAAATCCCTATCCCAAGTACTTTCCTAAAAACACTATCGCAACAGCTAATAGCCTTCACATGGGGTAATAAGAAACCAAGGGTAGCAACAAAACTCTTACAAAAGACCCAAATACAAGGAGGTTTAGGACTCTCTGATATATCCGCATACCACAGAGCAGCGGCACTAACAATAGTGCCGCAACTGAGACCAAACCCAACATCACCACAGTGGCTCAACATAGAAAACCACTGGGCGGCACCTTCAACGCTGCACACTCTATTCTGGTCTCCCAAAACCCACAGACAAGACACTACACATCTACTGCCCACAACGCAGCACATACTGCAGCACTGGGATGCCTCCAGACACCACCTGGTCCATTTCCTACCAGTACCCTTAGCCACCCTGGTGGATATTCTAGCCACTTTAATATCAACATGGGATAAACAACCTTGGCGACAGGGGGGGATAACGGAAGTGGGACAGCTATACAAAGAAGGAAAACTTCGATCCTTCCCAGACATATAGAAAGAATACAACCTCCCCTCCAGACTGATTTTCCCTTACCTGCAGATCAAATCGTACCTATCTCAGAATAAACCCTGCGCCAACACCGCTAATACCCGAGAGCACCTATCTAAATTTGAACTCCTTTGCACACATAGAAAACCGTTAAAGAAATTAATATCCATAAACTACCGTTTGCTAATCCAGACATCAGACCCACCCAATGACACACACACACAGTCTTGGCAAACGTAAATAGGAAGAACCATAACTAGAGACAAATGGGACAAGGCTTACTCCTCACATAAGGGAATAACGTCCTGTGCCACTCACTTGGAGCTACAGCACAAACTGCTGTACCGTTGGTACCTAGTCCCAGCCAGAGTCCACCACATCTGGCCGCAATCCACAGATAAATGCTGGAGATGCGGACACCAAAGAGGCACCATGACACATATTTGGTGGACATGCGAAAAACTTCAACCCTTTTGGCGCGAAGTACAAAACATTACATCAGACATCATACACACACAGGTAACCCTCACCCTAGAACTCTGCATTTTATTCATCCCCCCTGATGGGACACCCAAAGCCACATGGACCGCCATGGACCACGTATTCATATCAGCAGCGACACTCATCGTTAGGTTGTGGAAACAGTCAGCAACCCCATCCAGGGAACTCCTTATACAGCAAGTCTCACTCAACTGGGTCTATGAGACAATGTTCGCAACCCAATTTGGCACTAAAAAACACTTGAAACAAGCCCATGATATGTGGACAGATTTCCTATCCCGCTCCAAGGCACAAGCCACTCCTCATGAGGGTCCGCTTACGACTACACAAGACAAAACCCCAAAACCCCAAGGGAACAATCACACTGACCAGATCCCAGCGAGAGTTACTCCCCAAAGTACAAGTTAACACCACCTCAGAGAGACCCCCCCTCCCCCGACAAGATTGAGTAAATGCAACCAACGCAATTATAGGGACAGGCTGCAACATAAAGTCCAATTATCTACCTTCATGTGACACAGAAGCCTACTGACTACTAAGCACTGTATATTGAGCATTGAGTATTGACTATTGTTTAAAGACTATATGCACCCACCTATGTAACCGAATACAATGCAATATCTATATGTACTCTGCTAATGTATGCACTGATAATGTGAATGACATGTACGCACCGCTGTCTATGCCCAATTTGTATGCATCTACTGACCACTAGCACCACCAGGGATGGTGTGAGAGTGCCGGTCACCCCCTTTCAGGTACCATCGTGCTGGCCCACCCTCCCAGGCTAAAGGTAGGAAGGGAGGGGGATATAATGCCTGTTTTTGGGGTTTTTTACCCCCCCCAACACACAATCTCTTCTAACATATACACACATGACTGTGTGTGTGTGTTTGTGTAGGTGTGTGTGTTTGTGTCTGTGTTTGTGTCTGACTGTGTGTGTGTTTGTGTCTGTGCGTGTGTTTGTGAGTGTGTGTGTCTGACTGAGTGTGTGTGTGTGTCTGACTGTGTATGTGTGTGTGTATGTGTCTGACTGTGTGTGTGTGTTTGTGTGTGTTTGTGCCTGACTGTGTGTGTATGTGTGTGTGTTTGTACCTGACTGTGTCTGTGTATGTGTGTGTGTATGACTGTGTGTGTGTGTTTGTGTCTGACTGTGTGTGTGTGTGTATGACTGTGTGTGTGTGTGTTTGTGTCTGTGTGTGTGTTTGTGTCTGACTGTGTGTGTGTGAGTGTGTGTGTGTATGTGTCTGACTGTGTGTGTGTATGTGTCTGACTGTGTGTGTGTGTGTGTGTATGTGTATTTAGAAGGTGGGGCGGGGGGAAGGGTTGGGTGGGGGTGGCGCGGGGGGAGGGAGGTGCCTGAGTTTTGTCCTGCCTGGGGCAGCACAAAACCAGGATACCCCACTGCACACACATCACCCTCACACACAGCCCCCACAGCACTCTCACACACAGCACCCTCACACACATCACCCACAGCACCCTCACACACAGCACTCTCACACATACAGTCAGGTCCATAAATATTGGGACATCGACACAATTCTAATCTTTTTGGCTCTTACACCACCACAATGGATTTGAAATGAAATGAACAAGATGTGCTTTAGCTGCAGACTTTGAGCTTTAATTTGAGGGTTTTTACATCCAAATCAGGTGAATGGTGTATGAATTACAACAGTTTGCCTGGAAGAGCATCACCAGGGATGAAACCCAGCGTCTGGTGATGTCTATGAGTTCCAGACTGTAATTGACCGCAAAGGATTTGCAACCATGTATTAAAAAGTTTGATTTATGACTGTAAATCTGTCCCATTACTTTTGGTCCCTTGAAAAGTGGGAGGCACATATACAAACTGTTGTAATTCCTACACCGTTCACCTGATTTGGATGTAAAAACCATCAAATTAAAGCTCAAAGTCTGCAGTTAAATCACATCTTGTTCATTTCATTTCAAATCCATTGTGGTGGTGTATAGAGCCAAAAAGATTAGAATTGTGTCGATGTCCCAATATTTATGGACCTGGCAGTATCACCCTCACACACAGCACCCTCACACACATCACCCTCACACACACACACACTTCACCCCTCACACTCACAGCATCCATCACATACACACATACTGAACCCCTCACATACACACTACACCCCTTACACACACCCAATGCACCCCTCACACACACACACACTGCACCCCTCCCATATACACAGAAGCCCCCAACACACTGCACCACACACACACAATACTTCCAAACATATATATATATATACTACAGCACCCCTCATACACATACTGCAACCCTAAACAAATTACATTCCAGACACACTAGATCCCTTACCCAACTTTGGATCATCTGCACACATACACACAATAGATCCCTATATACACTTTGAATCCGCTATATACACATACTCACTACATCTTCTATACACATTCTGAGTCCTTCAAACACACACTAGACTCCTATTTATACACACACACACTGCATCAACTACACACACACTACATTCCTAACATACACACTCTGCATCACCTATACACACACTAGATTCCTTGTAAGCAAACACATACTACACCCCTAAACACACACTCTACAACCCCTACAAACACTACATCACTTATACACACACACTATAGCCCGTATGCACACACTTGTTACATCCCCTATACACACATTCTTTACAGCCCTTAGCCACATATGCATTACATTACACCGCAAACACAACACGACTAAAAGCAACCTTACACAATACCACACCACAATCAGCTCACTCTCACACACACACAATTCATGGCCCTTTTTGTCTCCTGGTATCTCATTTATAGAGACACCAGAGACAAGTTGCAAGGAAACACAGTGCAAGCATGTTATTAAATTTGCTTGCACTGTGCAGAACAAATACAAGGCTTTTTTCTCATGCTAGAGCTCTTCAGCAGAACAGGACCACGGGAAATACCACGCCGCATGGCAGACAGCAGGGCAGAGCAGTCTCCTTCCACGGCAGGCTCCAGAAGCCCAAGGAGTGCTGCTAGGCCAGATTTGTTGATGGCTGCTGAGGGTCCTGCACCAAGAGAGTTGGGCCCCAGTGGTCCAATTCCTTTACTTATGGGAAAAGTGAAGACTGGGGTGGGTGGCCACTTAGGAATTGGGAGCAGCTCTGGAGGAGTTAGGCCTGCCACACAAGCATTAGGTTTTCAGGCCCAGGAACAGCGCAGCTCCAAAGGAATTAGGCCCAATAAGAGACTAGCTAGCAAGCTAAAGACAACGTCAAGGGCAAGTGGGGTGGCACCTAGGAAGGCAACAAGAACAGGTTGCTGAACACCCCATTAGGCCTGAGTGGACAGCCCCTGACACTGTGGAGGGGTCCGGGTGGGCAGGAAGAAGGGGTCATGGACAGCAGCAGTGGGTCCTCACCAGGGCGAATTACAGGGGGGGCCATTAGGGCTGACCGCTTACGGGTTAACAGATTGCGATGCTCCCAGGACCGTGACACCAGATTGCCTAGCATAATTTCACAAGGGGAGGCAGGCAGGCATGTTGAGCGCAGATCAAGGAGCAGCCGGCAATCTCGGCACAGGTCAATAGGCAGACTGAGCATTGCACTTGCCGCTGGATAGGGGGAGTGATCCCAGGTCAGATAGAGGGAGCTCCCCTGACAGGAGAGTCAGCGGTTTCTGATGGCCAAAAGGGGTATCTCAAGTAGGGGTAATTGTCGGGAAGGTGGGCAAGTCAGGATCCAGATAGACAGCCCAGCCATGTTTTCGTCTCCTTGCAGATCTTTGGTGCATTCTTCCACAGACCGAGCGCGGGTCCAGGAAGCGGGTCCCAGAATGTTGGCATTGACTCCTGGATCCTTGGACGACGGTGATAGGACTGCAGCCCCACAAACATTACTTGCTGGGGATTTGGCTGGTGAGTCCTCTTCTGCTCATCATTCTGATGATCTATTACAGGATCTCAAGACTTTTCTCCATAATTGGAGTGATGGGCAGGATCAGCCAGGGAGCTTTGGGCAAGTTTGGGAGCTAAGTTCTGGGGGTCCAGGTGCCGGGGCACCGCAGTTATCGCAGTTAGTAGGGAGTGAGTCAGGTGTCAAGGCCGTGGCATCAACATCAGTGGGTATGGACGTCGGTGATGAACGAGTCGAACTGGCGGATAGCATCTTGGATGCAGCATGGCAGAATGTACACATCTCTTTTCGCTTGGTTGTCACTTAAAACCTGAATTAAAAGAGAAAATCTGGAATAGTAAGTTTCTGGAAATCTATGCACTTCTCCCATTGGAAGAATACATCGTTTTAAACGAAGAGGATAAAAAGGACACAAAGAAGGAGGAAGAAGAAAAAATATGGAAGTATCGTGAGATACCAAAGTCTTTTGGTAATTGGTTGTATCCGTTTTGCATTTTAGCCAGTGTGCTACGTGAGAAATATCTTGATCGGTGTTCTCAACATTTTTTTAAAAAGTTTTTTTGTTGTTGTGCAAAGTGGTACATATGATTGTCAAGCGCCACAACAGCGTATGTATAGAGTTAAACAGGTTTAACATTGGCATGAGTGTTTGCACATTTTTAAATATAAACAAGTTGATAGAAACAGGCTTAACATAACTGATGGGTTACTGCTATGTAGTTAGTATGCATGTGGAGTAAGAGTACATTGCCTGATTGCCACAAATTAATGCAGTGTTGTACAACCTAGAGCATCCATATCTGCGGGGGAAACAAGGTAAGGGATTCGAAAACAAGAGGAATCAGACATGAAGATTAGTAAATAAAGTAGTTTGGATTACATAAACAAGCTCGTATATGTACTATATATCCACAGCATCTAGGCATGTTATAGCTGTACACTATTTTTGATTAGGTTAGGTAAAGCAAGATGGGTCAGCTTTAGGTAACATAATTGGTGTGATTACTCAAGGTTAAGGTTAGTAACATTCAAGCTGATCATGCATGTCTAAACGCTATACTGTGTATAGCTTGTCAACGAAGAAAAATATAGAGATATACAGGTAGACACGAATTCATTCTATAAACTTAAATTTTTCATGGTGTGATAACTGATAAGGTAGACTCTTGTCTCAGGCAAGCATTTATAGAAGATCATAACTGATTAAAAAAATGAGACATAACTGAGATAACATTATGACATGTCTAAGTATTTCCCACAATAACCTTTTGTTCTGAAAGATAGGAGTTAAGTGTGGAGGTGTAAGTGGGTATGTGCCCAGTAGGTGAGAGGGCATCAGCCAGAAAACGGCACTGAGACGTAGGCTGTATGTGTGGATAGCAGCCAGAGTTATGGAGAATGAGTCCACAGTCACCCGATGCCAGCAGTTGGTAGATCAGAGGGCAGGAGTATACAGGAAGATTTCAGGCTCCAGGACCCAGGTGAGAGCCGGCAGGTCTGGACAGAGACCCGGAACAGGGCTCTACACGATGTCTCCGGCTTGTTGCTAGGTGCAGGCTTGGTCCACAACGTCTGAGATCTCTGTTCTGCTGTCACTGCAGGTGAGTTCTGCCTTTTACGTCTCTGCCATTGTGGGACCCTCACTACCGGTGCTACCATGGATACCCGGTGGAGATTTGATTTCTGGCTCACTAGCCCAGTCGGTGCTTGATATAGTTGTTGGTTGGGAGGTCGAGGTGCTCCACGCAGAAGTCTCAGCCGTTCACGCTGGAAGTCAGGAACGGACCTCAGCAAGTGTTGTCTTGAAGGTAGGTGACATCTGACTCTCTCTTTCCTGGCTGGACGCTGACGCCTTTTTTGGACCGGCCGGGTAGCTGCGACCCAGACCCTCCACTTAAATTCGGGCTTTGGGACCTGAGGTGTATGGGTAGGTAATGTGGGAGGCCCAGCAGTGTGCATGCGGGCAGCCAGACTCTCCCAAAACAGTTGGAAAGTCTTATTTAGTTTGCCCAGCACATCCAACTCCTCACAACATGGATCCGAGAAGCACACAGCCGCCATTTTGTATGACCCTTAGTATTTGGGCTTGTGTACCGGTGTTGTGCCTCTGCAACGGCTACAGCTCCACTAGTGACAGACAGATAAAGCTCAAGTGCTGGTGCCGGGATAACCCCCAACGGCGGGGGGGGGGGAGGGGGGGGAACGGGAACCCTTATTGCATTCACTGTTTCCAGTAGAGTGATCAGCGGGGAGATCGGCCGCCTCTCCCACATCCGCACCCACAGGTAGGCCGCAACACCACTTCGGGTTCAGGCTGCTTGCCACGTGGCTAAAACACTTCAAAGAAAGACAGGGTTGTTTGTAGGGTGTCCCCAGCTTGTAGGATCTCAGGTTTTCTGTGGCAAAACCTTGCTTTATATGTGTTAAGCAGGTTTCTTAGACAAAGCTCTCTCTGAATGCAACCAGTCAGCTTCGTTCTCAACTTTTTTGTTATTTGGATGGTATATGGGAGGCATAAAGGACATATGGGGGTTTAGCTTGGTGGCGCTGCAACGAGCAATTTCGGCAGCATTTCTCGGCTAACCCAGCTACGTTGTGGGACCAAATGGACCTGCCTCTATGAATTAAGCTAATGATGGCGCAAAAAGCAGCCTCACCCTTTCAATCCGGGGCCGGCGCGTGCTCTGCCTCCACCTCGTCGGCCATGCACATAACAGGTTTCTGTTGGCTAGTCAATGAGGGGCAATGTAAGTGGGGCACAACTTTTAGATTTAAGCATGAGTGTTCCGGCTGCGGAGGGGCACACGGTCTCAACCATTGCTTCAAACGTGGGAAGATAGCTACAGATGGTGGGCTCAGTGTCAAGGTCAGAACGATGCTGCCTTGGCTAAACTACTACGTTAACCAGAAATATGCATCATTACTGAGGGAGAGTTTTACGCAAGGTTTCATCATTACATTTTGGAACAGGGTTTTGGAGCATTGTTTCCAAAATTTGTGATCAGCTGTGGAATTTCCGGATGTGGTAAGGGTTAAATTAGGTAAAGAGATCCAATTGGGAAGGATGGCGATGACCCCACTATGCCCAAACTTCATGTTTCTCCTTTAGGAGTTTTGCCAAAAAAGGAGCCAGGGAAGTTCTGTCTAATACATCATCTTTCGTACCCGAAAGGGTATTTAGTTAATGATGACATTGAAGCAGCCTTAAGCTCGGTGTCCTATTTACCATTTGAAAATGCTGTCGAGTTGGTTAGGAACACGGGTTGTGGGGCGTTGATGGCAAAAGCTGACATGGAATAGGCATTTCGTCTGTTGCCCGTTCATCTCGATTGTCTCCATCTTCTTGGCTGTTACTTTAAGGGTAAGTACTTTGTTGATCTTTGTTTGCCCATGGGAAGCTCCATCTCATGTGCTTATTTAAAAAAAAATTGTACTTTCCTAGAATGGGTGGGCAAGGTAGAATCTGGTAACAAGTTCATGGTTCATTATCTGGATGGTTTCTTGCATCGGTCCTTCCGGTTCAGATGCCTGTCATATAGGGTTATGGATGCTGGAATGGGTTGCCCATGTTTTTAGAGTCCCATTGGCGGCTGACAAAACGGTGGGACCGACCACGTGTCTTAGTTTTATGGGTTTTGAAATTACTTCGGTAGCAGGGGATTGTCGTTTACCGGGAGATAAGTTGGTGGTGCTTCGTCAGGTCCTTCGGGAGGCACGTAAAGTAACGCTGAGAACATTGCAATCATTATTCAGCTATCTTAATTTTGCATGTCTAATTGTACCAGTGGGGAGGATTTTTAATAGGTTCCTTGCAAAGGCGACAGAAGGGATCAGTTCTCCTCATCATTTTATCAGAGTTACTATCCCAATGAAGGAGGATTTGGAACTTTGGGATATTTCCCTGCGGGATTTTAAAAAGCGGGTCTTTTTTCAGGATGCAGTGGTAACCTCTCTGGAATTGGAACTTTTTACAGATGCTTCAGGGTGGGTGTGGGTTTCGGGGCTTTTTACGCTGGACAATGGTGCAGGGTTCTTTTTTGATGCATGATGATGGATCATCTTTATCGAAATATCAGTTTTTCAATTTTTTTCGCTTGGGTCTGGGCAGTTTGGGATTGGATCCATTACAGTTTGGCACACATTCTGTTAGAATTGGGGCTGCAACGGAAGCAGCACAGTTGAGCCTAGGGGACGATTTAGTAAAAGGATTGGATGTTAAGTAATGTTCCGGTCATACTTGAGACTAGACTGTTTGGCATAAAATGAAATTTTAAAAAACAACTTGTGGTTTGTTCATTGTTGGTAATATGTTTCCTTTCTTTCGTAGGTTGGGTTGCCTGGTTGGTGGGCCACTCATTCGTTCATTGGTCGCACAAGAGAGCCGCAGTTAGACATCAAGGAGGACAGCTGGGCTTTCCACAGTGCTTGGTCCAATTATATTGGTTTGGCTACCGGGGTTTCGGATGGAGGGAAGTTTGTTTGGAGATTTTTAGGCGATTAGGTTCTAGGTAGTCACCGGATTTTCTATTGATACATGCTGGGGGTAATGATTTGGGTCGGGTACCCCAGAGGGAATTAGTGCAATGTATGAAGCGGGACATGGATAAGTTGAGGGCTGTGGTTCTAGGTGTAGTGTTAATTTGGTCAGAGATGGTGCCCCGGTTCCATTGGCGTCATGCTAGGGATCCTTTGGCAGTAGCTAGGTGAAGATGGAAAGTTAACAAGATGTTGTCCATTTTTATTAGACGCACTGGGGGTATAGTTGTGAGACATGTTGAGTTGGAAGCCATGCTTCCTGGTTATATTAGGCATGATGGGGTGGACCTGTCCGATGTAGGTAATGTCTTAATAAATATGAGTTTTCAGGAAGGTTTGCAGCGTGCATTGTTTATGCGGGGGTGGGGCGCTCAGATAGCTTGAGGAGTCAAGCTCTGAGCTGTGGCGGGGGCTGGATAAGAAATTGGGGGGTAGGTAGGATTGGTAGCTGGTTGAATTTGTTAATTGGTAGGTTGGAGCCCATAGGTGGCTTTCATCCTGGGTGTGTAGGGGTATCTCGGTATACCCCTACATTGCTAAATCACTTGGAGTATGATGCCTGTTGTGGCTGTGTCTTGTGTTATTTATATTTTGTTACATGGATTATTGTTATTTTATGTTACGGGTCATTCTCAGTGGTTATAGTAGTGTTAACGGGGTGAATTTATGTGTCTATGTTAAAAGTGGGTATGTTTGGCAATGATCCATTTTGTCATTTATATATTTAATTATATGATGTATTAAAGCCGTGATATTTATCCACTTTAAGTCTGGTGTCTGTGTCTTTTTGTGGGGGGGGGAGGGGTTAAGGTTATTGTCATGAGAGAACCGGAGTAGTTTGCTTAAGAAGAATGGGCCACAATCCCAGTAGAAAAGTAGAGAAACAGTATTCATAGCTACAAAAAGCTCTTTATTTTTGTCAGGGCTATTCTCATTTGTCTTATTAAAGGAATATCTGAAGTCTGTTTTGTTACATTTGAAATAAAGAATGGTGGCTACCAAATACTTTTTTGGAAGTGGAAGGGTACCAATACTTTTGGCAACATCTGTAAAGATTAAATCCTATGCCATGTAAAACACCACCATATATTGAACAAGCAATTTAGGGTTAGGAAAACAAACATGTTTTCCTAGCGCTAGAGTGTTCTCCTCACTGTAGTGACATCGTCTGAAGACTGTCTCATCTTCGTCTTCATCAATCCAATTTTTCTCATAGAAAAGAATCATTGAATCCACTGCTTCCCTATTATAAGCATATTAGGAAATCTGATGTTCTCATGCAATGCATGAGGACTCTAAAAGTCACATAACCGAGTCTTGCAGAAGAAGCATCCTCTAGTGGCTGTCACAAAGTTACTAAAATAAAAATAAACATAAATGTACTATATCAAACGTGAAGTTTAAATGAATTTAGAAATACTGATAAGGTAGCATTTTCATTTTAAAAAGAGGGAACACAGATTTTAAATAACAAAATGCACAGGATCAAGTCACCTACACTTACAACCTATATGCATTTTACACATCACCTGTGACATGTTTTACATTTTGAGCGTGTTTTGCAAAATGCAGAAAAAAGTTTTATTATTAATGTCAATCATTAAATTAACAACACTTGGAACAATCGACTGATTGTCAAATAACCTGAGTACATTAATGTCCCAATGGGTATAGTGTCGTGTGTGTAGAGCTTCGGTAAATTTAGCTGGTGCACTATCAAATAGGAAGCAGTGTAGAATGATACATTTCTAATGTCGTATCGTACATAACTTTCTTAACATTTAGCGATCTCTTCAATATGAAAAATATACGTTACTTTTTTTTTTTTTTTGGACATTTGTGAGGAACTGTACATCCTGTAACGTTCTCATTAAAAAGCATTAGCAGGAATTTATTTTTTAGCTTTTGAGTGCTCTTCCATTGTTTGTACAAATTTGTGCCAGAGACAGAAAATCAAATAATACAGATATCAAACAAAGATTCTTACCTGAATTCCTTTGCTGATAAACGTTTTTCTTGTCCTTTCCGACATGGTATTGCTGGGAAATCGTTGATTTGCTTTATTCACTACAAATCTTGTTGTTAGTCTTACATTGTGAATCCCCAGACCAAGTCCATCAATGCTCGGCAGACTTCCAGACTTCTGTATTTTATTTGAAAGAAATGACTGTGGTGCTAGGAGCCGTGAAAGCTCCTTTTCTTCCACATCGTTTGCTTCTAAACTTGGGATTTTCTTCATCCTTGTAGACATTTTCCTCCAGAAATGGCAACTAAATTAAACAATCCAAAATTCTTCATATTCCCATAGAATTAGAAATGATTGTTGCTGAACATCCATTATTAACTGGCAAGACAAGATAATTGTTTCAAAAAATTAAAGTATCTAACAGCACTCTCATTTACATAAGGAGGAAGTGCCACTTTCTTTTTTTTTAGTAACATGTTTTTTTTATCCCTTATATTTATGGGACACTATAGTCACCAGAACAACTACAGTGTTTTCAGAGAAAAGGCAGTGTTTACATTGCTGCCTAGAACCACCTCCAGTGATAGTCACTCAGGCGGCCACTAGAGGTGCTTCCTGGGTCAGTGCTGCGTTCAGCAGACGCTAACCATTTAGGGATGCTGATTAGCCATCGGAGATACTGAGTGGCCATCGCAAAATTTGGCTCCACCCCAACCCAACCAACTTGTCTGAGATCAAGAAAATTGACAATTTCAGCCAATCCAATGTTTTCCATCCTTTACCAAAAACAGTTTTATTCCATCAGGAAAGCATTGGATTGGCTGAGATCGCCAATTTTGATGATCTCAGCCAAGGAGACGGAGGCGGAGCCAGTGCCAACGCCAACGCCAAGAAGACAGGGGCGGAGCCTGCGCTGGCGGACCCCCATGGCAAGCCACCTAAATAATGTTTTTAACAGTATAGGGTCAGGAATACACATTTGTATTTCTGACCATAGTGTTCCTTTAACAAATATGTGTTTGTGAAGTGTGGAAATAAAATCACAATTACTTCATCCTGGGTGTCTCCATAATAGTTCCATGTCAATCACTGGTATAGGTTCTGTCCTTTGCACCTGGCCATCAGGACAGAGAGAGGGAGAACTGAAACAGTGGAGGAGATTTGTCAAAATGTGTTCTGTTCTAAAAAATGGTGCACAAAAGCAAAGTGTAACAATCTCCCCCAATGTTTCTGTTTCTCCTCCTCATTTTCAACGTGTGCACTGTGCCTGGATTGAACTGGACTATCATGTATTTTACTAAATCTTTAACATAATTTTAAAAGAAAACATCATGTGAAAAAACGATCAACAAGTTATAGGTGATTTTCAATGGTTTACTCACTACTGTACTTTCCAGAGATGAGACTGTTTTAAGTCCTTACTTTTATTTATAGTCCTTTTGCACCTCCATACCACAACACTCCTATTCATTTTTTCTACCCCTTCAACTAATCATCCACCCAGGGCCCTTATACCTAAGGCCGGATTTTCCATTAGGCAGAGTAGGTAGCTCTCTAAGGCACATGTCCACTAAGGGGTGCCTGTTTTCAGCACCTATACTGCCTTTTTGGAACTTAACTGGGTGGCGGTGAGATAAGTGCTAGGAGCCTAGGCCAGTGTCCTCTGTAGTCCAGTCATGCTTGATAGCAGAGCTGCAGGGACAGTTTGATAGAGGGTGTAAAACTCGGTATTGTCCCAGGTCCTCCAGTGTCTGTGTGTTTAGTGTTTGTATGTAGGGCTGCCATCTGGCCAGTGTTTAACTGGCACCACCAGTATTTGAGGCAGTCTGGCCAGTGCCAGTATTGCAAAAATACCAATAATGCAAATGCCAGTATTCTTCCCTGACTAGAATCTGGGAGAGTGGTAAGAGAAATGGAGCCAAAATATCCACCGCTATTATACATGGTAGGTACACACATTGCTATATAGATACAATAACACAGAAACAGTAAACACACACTCACAATCTCCAGACACTGACACACACTTAGATAAAATATACACACAACAACACATTTAGACAACAGTAGGCACAAACTGCTATACACACTAATTTAGACAGTATATACACACATGCGCACACACTGTTAAACATACACATTGTACATGCACAGTCAGACATAGTATACATATTGTAAGTAGTTTTTTAGTGGTTTAGGGATTTCACCCTTCCAATTTGTAATTCCCTGAGATGTTACGCAATATCAGGCGACGTTGTGTCCTGTGATGTTGTGCATATCAAATTAATTATGTAAATTAGCATGGATGGTATTTTTTTTCAAAACGTTGGCAACCTTATACAGGACCACCATACCCAGCACACTTCATTGAGATAAAGTGGCCTGAGTGACGCTAATGGTCCTTCAAAGATTTAGCAGATTACATCTTTATACTCTTCAGAGGTGGCAAAGCCACAGCAAACATCGCAAAAAAGGAGAAGAAATAAATACTGTATACTTCATCTATGCTGACTGCCAAGTGCAAAGAACATATAATTTAACAATGATTGGCAGAGAGCTGAGATGCAGGAACCCTGTTGCTGGATGGAGAGTTTGAATTTCTTAAATTATTATTCCCCCCATAGTACAGATACATATTTGTTAAATATAAGGATGTGTAAACCAAATTTTTATAAATTCTAGAAAGTGAGAGTTCCACTTTAAGTTTATATTGTTATGACATCATAACCTATCATTGGTCCTTTAATAAAAATGGCATCACTGCTTCTCTTTTCAAAAGTCATCTGACCCAAAACAAATAAGAATTTGATATGAAAAGAATAAGGTTTACATGCAGCTGTTTTTATTCATGCAGTTTCAAGCATACTGTTTGAGCTACTCATCTCAACGCATTTTCTGTGAACGATGTTAGGTCCTACTACAAAGCATTCTGGAAACGTGATGCACATTTGCTGAGAGATGGACAGAGATGACAATACTGACCCTCCCATCCGTCCTGCCAACATGGGTTCAGGTGAAGTCATAACATTCAGTGGGCTTCAAGCTTGGTCATATGCTCACCAATTCCAGGAAACATGCTGGACTCTCCAGACATGAGCACATTGCTGTAAAGGGTGTTACGAAGATCTATGTCACACTTCATTATGCTATTAAAATACATTCTATCAATGCCTGGTGTCTCCATTCTAATTTTTGCACGATGAAATGGTGTTTCTGGACATTTATACCTCTCTTTGTGGACGGTGATAATCTTTCCATCAGGAAGTTTGTATTTTTTTTCCAATTCTTCCTTTGATCTCAATCTCTCCAATTCTTTATCAACAGCTACATAACATTGCCTTTCTTTCATACCGTTAACAATTTCTCTTTGCGATATACTTATAAAGGAAATACCACTTTCATTAAGTATTCTCATCAGATAGTTTGTCAGGTCTTTTCCTGCTAGGTCATGCCTTAGCACAGCATGTTGAAGACAGTATCCTTCAAAGACAGGAACTGTGTGTGTCACACCATCACCTCTGTCAACCACACAACAAGTTACTTTTCCTGAGTAGAGAGCTGAAACTGCTTGGATTGAAGCATATGTTGCAGGAACACTAAATCCCTCAAATAAAATAGTCATCTTCTCTCTGTTGGAACGTGGATTGAGAGGTACCTCATCAACCAGAACTGGTCTATCACATGAGTTTTTCTTGAAATTATTGTTATATCCGTACCTCCATATGAGTTCCATGTCATCCCATGAAGTCACCACACCATGCTCCACAGGATAGTTTAATGAGAGGATACCCCTTCTTACTTGTGCTTCTTCTCCAATATAGTAATCCCTTTGTCCATCTCCAAGAATGATAGGAGAATATTTTGGGCTGCCTACTATGTTTGAGTACACATATCGTGTTTTTTTCTCTCCTGAAAATCCAATCTTAATTACTCCAGAACTGTTGTCTATAATCATTGTTTGTTGGTCAGCCATCATGTTTGCTATCCCACTGGTGTCACCTGAACTGCTATATCAGCAGCTTCTCTGATCAAAAAGGACTACACCTACTGACCTGTTTGTATTTAAGTGAGCAAGATATGATGTAATAATGACAGGTGACACAAAGAGTTGCCTTGCTATAACCTAGTGTCATACAAATTTTCATTGTGGAGGGCTTGCCTATCACTATAAATAAAGAATGGGTTGCTGGACACTATTTTATTATTTATGTCATATATGTCTGGAGGTTTTCAGTGAGAATGGGGACCATGCAAATATTCTTGATTGTTGCATTCATCCTGCGCATTGTCATTTAAATAATATTGGTGCAATACATGTATTAAGCCTATTTCTTTTTAAATAAAAACATGTCATTGCAACTGTTAATTAATTTTATTTTAAGAAATAATTTTCAGTTTGACAATCTCAGATGAGTGAGCCTTGGCACAACATATAAGACAAAGACCCAAATAAGGCTAATATTTGATAGCTTGCCCTATAGTTAGTTACTACCCTCCCTTTTAGGATTACTTTAACAAGATGTAGTTAATGGTTCTCGAATGCCAAATCATAGAACCTTAACCACTAGTATAATGCACTGATCCGAATCACAAGGACAGAACTGGACTGAAATTCTAGGCAGACCCATCTGTGTGAGAGATACTTCATTTTATACTCTCATGTGCCCTATCAGTGAAGTCTCAGTACTATACTGCCATACAGGCGGGTTAAGTATGATGTGCTAATGATATAGGCTTCCTCTGTAATGGCATAGACCAGATAAAACTTGTTTGAGACTTTTTAAGTGGGATTAGAAAAAGTGTTTGACTTTTGGCCTATTTATTGAGTGTTGTGTGGAGGAAGAGATAATTTGACAGGTAGCATGGATGAGGAGAGATTTTTAATTTAATTGACAATAATTTTTGGTATCTAATCTGTTTGTATTTATAAAATTGTTCTAAAATGGTCTAAAAAGACTTTTCTCTGCTGCATCACCAAACAAAGAGACACACTTTTTTCTTCCTTTCCCTACCTTTCACATCCTTCCTTACCCTCTACATTCTATTTCCCCTTTCTTTGTAAATAAACTTACAAAAGGACCCTCTAAAAAGTAATTTTCCATAAACCTATGTTGCCAACACAGTGAGCCAAAACCGCACTATGAAAGAACGCTTTGTGCACTTAACCCCTTAAGGACCAAACTTCTGGAATAAAAGGGAATCATGACATGTCACACATGGCATGTGTCCTTAAGGGATTAAAGGGACTCTCCAGTGCCAGGAAAACGATTCGTTTTCCTGGCACTGCAGGTCCCCTCTCCCTCCCACCTCCCAATCCCCAGTTGCTGAAGGGGTGAAAACCCCTTCAGTGACTTACCAGAGGCAGCGACATGTCCCACGTCGCTGCTTCTTCCTCCGCCGCCGCTCCTCCTCTTCATTACGTCGGCCGGTGTGCGAGACTGATCCCGCCGGCCGGCTGGGGAGACCTAATGCGCATGCATGGCAATGCCGCGCATGCGCATTAAAGCTCTCCATAGGAAAGCATCATATTTGGATACTTTTCAATGCTTTCCTATGGGGAATTGAGCGACGCTGGAGGTCCTCACACAGCGTGTTTTCTGTGCTATAATCCAGGAAGTGCCCTCTAGTGACTGTCTAGTAGACAGCCACTAAAGGTGGAGTTAACCCTGCAAGGTAATTATTGCAGTTTATAAAAAACTGCCATAATTACACTTGCAGGGTTAAGTGTAGTGGGAGTTGGCACCCAGACCACTCCAATTGGCAGAAGTGGTCTGGGTACCTGGAGTGTCCCTTTAAGATATACCCCGTTTCCATTATCATATTACGACCCCACATTGTTTGCTGAGTTACACACAAATCTTATGCTGGTAATAATCGCAAGCTTTTCTTTTTTCCCTTTTTGCGAATAAGTACAATGTAAGGGACAATACTGGAACTCAGATACATTAGCACAAATGCAATTATGAAAAGAAGTGTGTCTTTATTAGGACAAATGCATCTCATATTTCATTTAATTCTGACAGGCGTGCGACTATTACTGCAACAGTTCTGCACCGGCATGCCACAAAAAGCGCTGTGCCTCATTCTGGCATCATTTCTGATGCAGACCAATCAATTTTGGGCTCTTAAAGGACAACTATAGACACCCAGACCGCTTCAGCATAATGAAATTGGTGATATAGGTACATAAATAAAAGAGGTATGACAGTGTCCACAGACACTGTCATACCTCTTTTATTTATGTACCTATATCACCAATTTCAACTTTTGTAAATATACCAATTGCGATTATATTTTCTTCACTTACATCATCTCTCTTTGTGTACAACATTATAATAGATGCTCATTTTACTATTTGAAACTGACAATTATCTTAATATTGCATTATATAATGCTTTTACATTTCAATTTCTTACTTTTAAATCGTTTTTAAATTATGCATATTGTAAGTGTGACGTCATTTTGGCGCCAAAATTCAAATGTCTATTTGTATTTTCTAGCTTATAAAAGCAGCTTGTGTACCAGGTTTTTCTCTTTTCTAAATGCCATTTGATAAAGCCCTGTGTGGTGAAACGCGTTTTGGCTATTTCAAAGTCTGTTATATATATTGATAAATTATATTTTAATAAAGGAATACTGGCCCTTATTTTTTTGCCTATATACTTTTATTCCTTTTATTTTATATTTCTAATTTGAATTACCTGGTCATCAATTTGGATTGAAGTACGTCAATTTCCAAGAATCCTAAGGTGGGGATTGTACCACCTGCGCCATCATACTGAGCAGTATTTCCTGCTCATGTAAATGTGAGTATTTTACCTTTTTTTATTTGTTTTTATATACATCAGTGAGCACTATATACGTCTCTCATTTTTTATATACCGAGGAATTGTCCAGATGACGTCGGAAGAAGGAGAAGAGTCCCCAGCGCCGAGGGAGCCCTGCGCTGGAGAAAGGTTGAGTTTAACCCCTTTCTCCCCCTAGATCCTGGTGGAAATTGGACCCTGAGGGTGGGGGGACCTATTAACACTATAGTGGTCCTTTAATAAATTATAGCCAAACTAGTGCAGCCACTGCATCATTTCTGCATTAACAGTCACATGTTCTGGTGCAGCTTTGCTGAGCTATCTCATCTGGACCAAATAAAAGCCACCCACCTGCAGTGATATGGAAAGCCAAGCGGAGGGTGGCTGAAATGGCATGCACTTTAAAGACCACTTAGTTACTCGTGTATAGAGGGTATGGGTGTCTGCTTACCTGAATCTGTAAGTGTGTCTATGTGAATTTGTGTCTGTGAATCTAGAATATGTGAGTTTTATGATTTGTGTGTGAATCTGTGTGAGTGTGAATAATCTGTGTGTGTATCTGTGAGATCTCCCTGTTACATCTCCCCCATATTTAACCTATCTCTATACCTATCCGCCCTCCACCCCCATTTTGTGCAATTGTATCGTGTTTTGTTTTATTTTTATGTACCATAATAACGTTTTTCTTCATATTTGGATACTAACTATACTGTCCTTAACTAGTTCCCTGGAGGGTCTGTGGTTGTTTATCCTACCAAGCTACTGTAGATATATTGATTAGCTCTTTTATTTTTTTATTTTTTTTTATTTTTACTTATTATTGAATTTTCAATTAATTTACCAGTCTGGAACCCCTCACTCTTGCTGGGTTTGGGATTCTGGACTACAGAAGACACAGGACAGTGTCTTAGAGGGACATGCACCAATTTGAGACAACAGTCTCTTTCAAAAGCTTTAGCTGTGACCTTACTCTGCATGCTAAAAAAAATTTGGTGAATCATTTTTTGATATTACCTACTTCTTTTTAGTGCTTTCAACAGCAACTCAGGTGGACACAGATCTAACCAGCTGGGTGGAGTTAAAGGGATACCATAGTCACAAGAACAACAACAGCTTAATGTAGTTGTTCTGGTGAGTATATTCAGTCCCTGCAGCCTTTTTGCTGTAAATATTGCCTTTTTAGACCAAGTTTATACACTTTTACATACTTTTCAAAGTGTTTCTTATTTTATTTTGGTTTGTATATTTGTTTAAAAATGTTTGCTTGCTGATTTAAAAAAAAAATAAATTGCTAGGTAATACATGTCCCTTTAAAAACTAAACACCTCCTGTACCCCATACTAAATTTCACCCACTCTAACCCTAAACCCAATAATCCTTACATTCCGTATAGTACAACTATAACCCCTCTCAAGCTTTTAATCATCTAAACACCCTATGCACTCTTACTCTGAAATTAGCCTATCTGTAACCTAAATCAACCTTATACTTAAACATTTCTAAGATTATCTTTGGCCATGTGTGCCTTTACACCAGTGTTTCCCAATTGGTGTTCCACGGAACCCTAGAGTTTATCGAAAACAAAATTGGGGTTCCGCAGAGATTTGCCTATCGGGGGGCCAAACTATTAGGGCCACCCCATTAGAATCGCTGAACAAGGGCCCGGTCAGGCGCCATGGCCGTTTAAGACCGCGACCGGGCCCCTGTGGTATCGGATGTTGGGAGGAAGTGACAGCCTGTCATTTCCTCCCAGACAGAGAGCATGCCGAGCGGGACAGTGAAAGTAAGCAGCAGCCAGCAGCACACCAGCTTCAGCCAGCAGTCTGCAGCACTCACTAACAGGAGGATGACTGCACATATAAACATAATGACCTGTGTGTGTATGTATCTGGGTGTGTGTGTGTGTGTATCTATGAGTCACTGTGTGTATCTGTGTGTCAGTGTGTGTATGTGCCAGTATGTATCTGTGTTTCAGTGTATCTGTCAGTGTGTGTATCTGTGTGTCAGTGTGTATGTGCCAGTATGTATCTGTGTTTCAGTGTATCTGTCAGTGTGTGTATCTAAGTGTGTATGTGCCAGTGTGTGTATCTGTGTGTCAGTGTCTGTATCTGAGTGTATGTGTATCTATGTGTCAGTGTATTTGTTAGTGTGTGTATCTAAATGTCCCATTGTGTGTATCTGTCAGTGTATCTGTTCGGGTGTGTATCTGAATGTGCCAGTTTATGTGCCAGTGTGTGTATGTGTATCTGTTAGTGTGTGTATCTGAGTGTGCCAGTATATGTGCCAGTGGGTGTGTATCTGTGTGTCAGTGTGTGTGTTTATGTGCCACTGTAGGTGTGTATCTGTGTGTGTATGTGCCAGTGTGTGTATCTGTGTGCCTATGTGCCAGTGTGTGTATTTGTGTGTATGTGCAAATGTGTTTGTCAGTGTGTATATGTGTGTGTGTATATAAGGATGTGTGTATGTGCCAGTGTGGGTCTGTAAGCCAGTGTGGGTCTGTGTGTATGTGCCAATGTGTTTGTTTATCTGTGTGTATGTGCCAGTGTGTGTATCTTTGTGCCTATGTGCAGAGGCAGCTCTCTAATTAGGTGGTTTAGGCAGCCGCCTACGGCCTCGCGCTGGCTGGGGCCTCGCGGCCGCCTAAACGGCCTGTGGGTAGACTGTGTCAGGTCCTTGGTCAGTGACAGAAGACCTGACACCAGGAGGGGACCCGGCGGCTTGCCCGGTATGCCGCCGGATGCGAGGCCCCTCCTGGCTGCCCAGCCAGCCACCGCAGACACCAGTCTGCAGCTTCGCAGTGAGCATAGCTGCAGACCATGTGTCTCGCGTGAACTGCCCAATCAGAGAGTTGCTGCGGGTTACCACGGCAACGCTCTGATGGCCTTGCGAGATTACACCGGACCACCAGGGAGCCCACTGGACCACCAGGGAAGAAAAGGTAGGTTCTCTCTCACCCCTTCTCACCCTCGGCCTCACCCCCCCACCACCCTCAGCCTCACCCCCCACCACCCTCAGCCTCACCACCCCCACCACCCTCAGCCTCACCACTCTCAGCCTCTCCTCCCCACACAACCCTCAGCCTCTCCTCCCCACACAACCCTCAGCATCACCACCCCCACCACCCTCAGCCGCATCAACCCCCCACCACCTTCAGCCTCACCCCACGCTCCCTCAGCATCACACCCCCACCACTCTCAGCCACTCCGCCACTTACACACTACCCTCACCATCCGCCCCCACCACCCCTCAATGCCTCACCACCCCACCACCCTCAGCATCACGCCCCACCCCCACCACCCTCAGTTTCACTTACCTCACCCCTCCCAGCCTCACCACTTCCCCCACCGCCCTCAGCCCTCACCCCCACCACCCTCAGCCTCAGCTCCCCTTTTCCCTTATAAGCAGCATCTTCCACCTCACCAGCATCCCACCCCCTCGCCATCACCGGCCTCAGCATCACCCTCCCTCACCATCACCCACCCTAAGCATCCACCAGCCCTCCTCGGCATCACCCCAACCACCCTTCCCTCAGCCATGCCCCACTCTTCTCAAGGCTTCACCCCCTCCTTCTCCGCATCATCCCCATCCTTCTCCATCTTCACCCTCTTATTCTCCACGCTGACCCCATCCTTCTCCATGACCCCCATCCGGCTCCATCCATCCCCCCTCCTTCTCCACATCCCCCGCCCCCTCAGCCCCCTACTCATCCACCCCCCTCCCTCTCATCACCCCCTCCCTTCTCCGCATCCTCCCTCTCTGCCTTCTCCATCCACCCCCCCCTCCCTCTCCGTCCTCCCTCTCCCTCTCACCATCACCCCCTCTCCCATCACCCACCCCTCCCCATCCTCCTATCCTGCCATCCATACCCCCCTCCTCACCATCACCCGCCTCTCCCTCTCACCATCACCCCCCCCCCATACACACAACACACTTCAAGCAGCTACCCCATACACATAGGGTCTCGGACAAAAAACGCAAACATGCTCACAGAGACATACATTTACACACAAGGATACTCTCTGTCAGACACACTTAGGCACATACACAGGTAAACTGCATCAATGTGTATATGTGACACTTTTGTTAGTGGGGCCTCATGTTTGGGTTTCGCCTAAGGCCTCGTAAAGTCTAGAGCAGCCTCTGCCTATTTGCCAGTGTGTATCTGAGTGTGTGGGTATCTCTGTGTCTATGTGCCAGTGTGTGTGTATCTGTGTGTATGTGCCAATGTGTTTGTCAGTGTGTATCTGTGTGTATGTGCCAATGTGTTTGTCAGTGTGTATCTGTGTGTATGTGCCAATGTGTATGTCAGTGTGTATCTGAGTGTGTGTATCTGAGTGTGTGTATATCTTAGGGTTTTACACTAAGGTAAGAATGGAAAGTGATGTTCAAATTCAAGGTAAAAACAGCTGAATTGTAAAAAATCTCTGTCACATATGTTTCCACTTTGGCCTTAAATTTGAAATTCTCTTTGGATTAATTTTGAATTCTCCCTGTTAGTAAATAATCCTATAATATAAAATGTGTTATCCAGCATTAAGCATTAATAGAAGTCCCACTGTGAGTGTTTATAGCCATTTCCCATGGCAGGTCTCCTATTAGTGACTATGGCAATGTTCCTCAATGCATTTTATTCTCCATATATACATACACAGTGGGCTCTCCGGGTGTGTCAGTCCTGATCGTACTGCAGGTCTCCCCCAGCAGCTGGCAGGCCGCAGCCTCCTCCCTCTGGCTGGTTGCTAGGAGACCAGAAGACGCTCAGCTCACACCCGCTGCACTGCGGCAAGGCAACCGAACGTCTGTGCAACCTCCCTTCCCCGTGACGTCAGAGCCCCTCTCCCCAGTGCCTGGCCACCCTTACCAGGCTGGTGGGTAGAGCTGGCTTCCCATTGGTCGCCTCCCAGCGCTCATTGGTCGCCAGGCTGATTGGTCGCCACTGAGGGTGGTTGAGCGGCCCCGGCTCCTGGGATCTTCCCCGGGGTGTGTTCGCTGGAGGAGCGGCTCTGAACACAGTGTGCCAGCAGGTAATAATCATAATAATACTGATACTAATAATAATACTGATACTAGTAATAATATTGCTGATACTAGTAATAATATTACTGATACTAATAATAATACTAATAATAATACTGATACTAGTAATAATATTGCTGATACTAGTAATAATATTACTAATAATACTGATACTAATAATAATACTGATACTAATAATAATACTGATACTAATAATAATACTGATAATAAAACTGATACTAATAATAATACTGATACTAATAATAATACTGATACTAATAATAATACTGATAATAGTAATAATATTACTGATAATAATAATACTGATACTAATAATAATACTGATAATAAAACTGATACTAATAATAATACTGATACTAATAATAATACTGATACTAATGGGGGGTCTGAGCAGTGAGCCCCCATTGAGCACAGTGTGCAGTGTATGGGTATCTGTATGGTAACCATGGGAGGTGTAACATGTACTGAGACCTGTTATAGGCATTGTATGTCCTGACTTATAACAAAGCTCTGGGTTATATGGCTTGATTCAAACAAAGCAATGCCACTGTGTGTGTTATACATTATATATATATAACATTTATTTTAAATAGAATTTATTAACCATATTTAGAGAATGGGTAGTAAATATTTCTTGTTTCCCAGTAGTGAAACATAATAAATACAGTATGTACTATAGTTTACTGTATTGTATAGACCACTGAGCAACATCACCACAAGTGTTAATGAAAAGATTTAATAACGCAGAACAACTTGTAAAATAATATATTTGATACATTAGTATCTGTTTAATATATATGTTCTGGATTATTTCTCTAATATCACCATACTTCTGGTGGTTGCTTTCAATTTTTTTTACCAAACAGCAGTTATGGGAAATAATATGTGCATGCGCACCAATGGTTGTCTGCTTAGAGTGAATTTAGTCCTGTTCACATGTCATTTTTGCCAGCCACACCCAAAACGCATCAACAGTTATGTCTACACATGTTGGCTAATCTGACTACGCTATGGACACTGTTCCCACTCTTCATACCATTATAGTTCCAACCACTAACATTCTATTAGACAATTTCTTTTAAGTAATAGTTTTGTAAAATTGTATTAAACTAGAAGTGCCATTTTTCTGGAAGTGACATTTCTTTGTCCCCTCATCCCCGTAAATACTATTGAAGCGTATTTTCAGTTGAATAAAGCAATGTAGAAAAGTTTTAGAAAAACAACAACTTACTTCTGCTGCACTTTCATGTTCTAGGCAACATCACTGCCCCATGATTCCTTGGAAGCGCTCATGATTGGTCAGTTATCTACAGAGAAATGCTGTATGAATTCATGCATGTGCTTAGGCATTTCTATAGTGGTGACAATGAAAAACAAAAGTAAGAATGTGATAAAAGAAGGTGCTCAATAATCTGTGTGGATCACTCTAAAAACACACAACATAGTGAAAATATAAAAATACAAAAGTAAGGGCACACAATATTGCATAAATACCACAGATAAACTATTGATGTGGAGTCTAAAAGTGCAAATATAAAAAGACTGTAGGTTAATATAGTTATTAACACAGTTAAAATATATATACACTCTACTGGTCCAACTCACATGGTTCTGGGCCACTTAACAAAGCTGGCTCAGACTAGTAGCCTGAAATGGAGGCTACAGAGGATGATAGTAGTGGGTCAGGATATTTCTTTCGCCAATCTCAGTAACATCGATCTTATACCATAAATGCTCCAGGATGCAGGAAATAGGGTAAGAAAAAAATGATTAATTGGACAAAAACAATAATAAAAACAACCGCACATGTAACATAAAAGTCCGCTGTCCACGTGATGCGTTTCGGCTAATGCCCTTCTCAAAAGTGGGTTGCTGCCGTTATCCTTCATAGTCTTTGCTTTTAAACCTTTAGATTTGGCGCCATTCCCCAACATCCGCTAGTAGTTCCGGTCCATAGTTCCGCTTTGGTCATTAAAATGCATCTGGGCGCTTCCGTTCTTTCGTGTCATAGCGTCCTGATGTCATAACGTAATGACATCACTATACGGATGTCGGTTTCGGAGCTATAAACTTCCCATTTGAACATCTTTATTCTGGGGCAGCCTAGCACCATTTTATTGGAGTCCATTATGTATATAGCCTGCTAAAAACGCAACTTATAAACAAATAAACAAATGCACACACACACAAAAAAAAATGGTTGACACAATACATATATAAAATAAGACATTGTCACCATTAGTACATATTAATAAGTAAAGGATTGAAAGGACATTTAAAAAGCATCCTGATTAATATTATAAAACCAGATTAAATTGATAAAACCTGTATAAAAACAAAAGATCCCAAAACATAGTTAGTAAATATTTCATATAAAAGAGTTTATTTTGAAATCGTCATTTAAGCCGTGAGGTAATAAGGTATCAATGTTAAAAATACACCTCATCTCTGACTTGCTAAGGAGGCTATTAATATCTCCTCCTCTCCAATGAATTGTAACACTTTCAATGCCCATAAATTCTAGTCCACTGGCATCACCCTTATGGACCTCTAGAAAGTGTTTAGATACGCTGTGTTAATAAAGTTTTCTATTAAACTTATAAATATGTTCTCTTAGGCGTATCTTGAGGGCTCTTGTTATTTTCCCTATATATTGAAATCCACAGGGGCATGTTAAGATGTATATTACGTTTTTATAAGCTGCTTTTTTGGAGCATTATTGCTATTACCCATATTTTATTAATATTGGTCTCTAAGGAAGTCCCAGAGGTGAGACGAAACGCGTAAGACCAAACCAATTTTTATTGTTATCGTAATAAATCAATCTATTTTATACCCATCTACCTATCGGAGTCCTGCATAGTTCCTGATATTGGGTGATACCTTGATCCTGAGAAGCAGCCATTAGCCCCCCACTTACTTCGGGGGGGGGGGAGATTTTAGAGCAAATTTAACTTCATTTTCTCATGAGTGCAATTTATAGCAGGGAATATTATTTTCTATCAAACTGTTTTACACTATGTTTTGTTTATTTATTATTTTTTAGGAATATCATCTGAGTCCCACATGTATTGTACATATTTCTATGTACTCTTATAGTGTTCGAAGATCACTTTCAATGAATACTCACCTCATTTGGTTACCAGCAATCTCTAGGCTGTATTCAATAGGGGCACAGTAAACCCTATAGCCAACACATGGCAAATAGACAGCTTGAGATGATTCTGGTAGTCTTATTGGGGCACGGTAGCCTTGAAATATGTTTTGGCTGTTGTATTTTACAGCTACCATGCCTCCATACCATGAGTATTTTTATTTGTAAAGTCATCTTGACTTGCTTATGCTATTTTTTGTCTGTAGTCGAAAACTATTGTTTGGAGTACTAGAACAAAAAGGAAGCCCAAATAAAAAGTGGGAGTGTGAGGTTTCACTCTCTCTCTATAAGAGTTTATTCTCCAAATACCTGATGGTGATAGATGATGTAGAAGGTTTCTTGGCACTAAAAAACAGGTCCAGATTTTTTCTGCTCCTGTGTCCTGTTTCTTCTTAGCGCTGTAATACAGTAAGTTTGTGAATTAGTTCTTCTATTCTGAATCCCAGCTATTTTTTTATATTACCTGTGCTGGTTTGATTATCAATGCTTGATAAACCAGACCAGGTTATACCCGTTTGTATCTCTATTTACATTGAGAAAAAGCACTAACTTTGTATATTTTTTTTTTCATATCGACCGATACTAGGGATCTAATATTAATAATGCTAACCTGATTATTATGATAATGATCTAAATGTTGTTTTATTGACTTTTATATGTGCAGGTGCTAGTAAGATTCATACCGAAGTAAGTCCTGCACTTAAACACCCACTACTCCTGGGCAGCAGCAATGGCTATAGTATTCGCCCAAATTCATAGAACAAAACAAAATCCCCGCAAAACGTTTCCTGCTTAGTATCCCATGAATATTTAATAACAGTTTTTTTTTTTGTAGCATACCAATTGTCTTTAATGTGTAATCACATCTGCAATGTGAAGTCAAACCTCTTCTCAGTTCTATTCTAACAATTCACCTTCCTGCTTTTAGCTAAAATCTCTAACAAGACAGAAATAATTCTTATGAGCACCCAGACGCTTTCTGGGCAGCAACACTGTGACATACCTGGTTATTTTTATTTAGTAGCATTCATGTTGTCAATATGTTTCTTTTTACCTTTCTGTGTAGAAGTGCAATGTTTTGGGGCCTACAAAAGACTTCACGCTATTCATGTGCGTATGCATTGCAACTTGCGATTTTTGCAACCGTGCATGCATTCACACAATAGTGAAGAGAGCAGAGTGAGTAACATATTCAAAAATAACTAATTGCAAATGAAGTGGAATATTGCGGGTTTTATGATAAGGAGTCAAAGCAAATAAATGGGGAAGCTCATGCCAAATGTCTATTTTAGTTACCCCTGTGAAGAAAAAATGTGTGAAACACGAAGATCTTATGTCTAGTAACGAAAATGCAAGGTGATATAAATTAACTATTAGAAGACTGCTGTTTTGTTTAAGACCCCACAATGACCTGTATATCAGTTATCAGAAGTACTTTATCTTATTGTGGGGGATAGAGATAAAATTTCCCACAAGTTATCTAAATAAAGTAGAAATTGTTTCCTAAGGCAGTTAAATCAACAGGGAATGCAGGGTTACTGGAAAAAAAGGTATAAAGAAAATCATTAGTCAAACTAAAGAATTAGCAGCAAAACATTAAAACCAAAGTTGCACATCACTTGTAGAGTTATTTGAGGTAACAGCCCAAGTCTGCCGTAGCCTGGTTGGCAGCTGGGACCTTGTTTAGGCCTGTCTGTGTGTTGTACAATTTAAATAAAAAATATCTTAAAGAACACGATAAAATTAGGAATACAAAACTGCATTCCTAACCCTATAGTATACCCCTTTCCCTATTACTTTAGGTTCCACACTCCCGCGTGCATAAAAGGGTTAAAACTCTTTTTAACACTCGTCTTAATTCCAGCAAAGAGGTCCAGCTGCACTGGATCGCTCCACTCCTCCAGCACCCATTAGATCTTCCCCATAGGAAAGCATTTAATCAGTGCTTTCATATGGGGATTTTGAAGACTCTGGATATCCTCAAGGAATGCATGAAGACGTCCAGTCTTGATTCACAAAGTTAAACTCTGTGAGAAGCCTGGAAGCACTTCTAATAGCCACTAGAGGTTGTAAACATTGCAGGGTAAAGAGGAAAAGGACAATTCAGCCAGACCACGTTAATGAGATGATATGGTCTGCGTGCCTATATTATCCCTCTAAGGGAGCAATCAAATGAACTATGGCGCATCTTTCTCGCTGCTTCCGTTCCTCTCTGCACTGAAATATGAGTAAAGGTTAGCTGGAAAGCCGCTGAAATCATATTATTTTTCTCAGTGGACACCCATCAATAGTCTCAGTCAGCAGCTGACTGTCTAATTCCTCCTCGCAGTTCAGAGGAGAACGGAACGGAAGTCATGAGGCTGAAGTGCCAGGTCGCTTTGCCATTCACACAAGGTATTACTCCTGAAGGTAGGAAAGCCCTCTGGACACCGCTGCCACATACCAACTTAAATCAGTTGACGTTTTATTGGGGTGGAAGTGGCAAAAATTGTGAATAGACTTTTTAACAATGGGTAACTTAAAGGACCACTATAGGCACCCAGACCACTTCAGCTTAATGAAGTGTTCTGGGTGCCAGGTCCAGCTAGGGTTAAGCCTTTTTTCTATAAACATAGCAGTTTCAGACAAACTGCTATGTTTATATAAGGGTTAATCCAGCCTCTAGTGGCTGTCTCATTGACAGCCGCTAGAGGCGCTTGCGTGCTTCTCACTGTGATTTTTACAGTGAGAAGACGCCAGCATCCATAGGAAAGCATTGTGAATGCTTTCCTATGAGACTGGCTGAATGTGCGTGCGGCTCTTGCCGCGCATTCAGCCGAGGAGGCGGAGAGCTCCCCGCCCGGCGCTGGAGAAAGAGGTAAGTTTAACCCCTTCCTCACCCTAGAGCCCGGCGGGAGTATGTTTTCCTGGCACTATAGTGGTCCTTTAAGTTTAAGGCTAATAGAGACAAAATGTATTGCCATGTATAAATTTATTCCCATGAAGAAAATACAGTTTTGCTTCTTCAGTAAGATCTCATGTTAAATACAAAGTGTAATATTGGGTATAAGTGTTCAAGAAGTACATTATTAAACTGGCAAAATTGCGGAGCTACAAAATGAATGTGGCTAATGTTTCAACAGAAATTTTGTTTTCTGAATATTTAGTTTTATAATGAAAGGCTAAGGAATAAGTAATCTTGGAGGGAATTTGACAAAATGTATGCAAGCATCTACAGGCTAATACAAACTGCTCTAGTGACCTGTTCATTAACAGAGTTTTTCAAATGACAAAATGTCCTCTATTGACTTTAGGAAAGGAGATTTCACCCAAAGCACCGTTAAAGCCTCCATGACCAGTTATATTTTTAGAAGTTGTCATAGAGCAAGCCATCTGTATTTGCAGCTTTTCAGCTTAATATGTTGACAATATAGAGTAATGTGCGCTTTTGTGCTAGGATTTAGTTACTCCCCTGGCACACAGGCTGACTTTCTTTTTTTTTTTTTATTCTTTCACCCCCTTTATGAACCTACTTTAAAGCTAATTTTATAGGTTTTTCAATACAAATGGTGGTTTGGGTGGGTGACAAGTGTCCAGTAGGACATTCTACATTTTAAAAAGGTTTAGAATAACCCTTTAAGGATTCATGAAAGTAAAGGCAAATATATTTTCTGCCCAGGATATGTTTAATTCAATTTAATACATGCCTTTTAAAGGGATGCTCCATAAATGATATACACAGACAGCTCTTTGTAAAGGTTATGGTGGCACCAATGGAAAAAAAGCCCCACTAATCGCTCCCCCAATAACTCCCACTAAGTCAGAGAATAGCACATACCCCGATAAAACATACACTACAAAACAATCAGGCTGGGAACCCCTAATAACGGTCATAAATGGTCATCTTCCGTCCTGTTCTTCTCTCTGCATGTGCTTTTGGTGGTTGAAGGGTTAACGAGACATATTATAATATGCCAAGTTACTCATCCTGCAGACATCAGCATATTGCACACATGAATGACAATGTATGACTAAGTAGACCTATTTCAGATAAAGCTGCAATCCAGAGCAAGATATTTGCATTTTATTACTTCACTGAATGTCAGTTCTTCTTTGTATTTGATTGCCTACATTGCAGCCCTAATTGAGCCAAAAAGGGTTAAAATCTGTCTGGCAGCATGTGCTGGATTTAGGAGCACTAGCTCTGCTGTCCTGTCACTACATTATTTATGAGCTCTAAATGGAATTAAACAGTTTCTTCCCTTTCCCAGACCTTAAGAACATAATGGTCTGATTGGATCAACTCGGCAGGAGGCCCAGCCTCGCAGCATCTTCTCTCGCCTGCTGCAGGTCTGCTGCCATACAGCCAACATCATATCCTTTCACCGGCATTAAAGAGGACATTATCACAGATTCTAAACCTACACGAAATACTGTTCCTGTAATGATTTCATTTATATTTATAGGTAATATTTGGCATGTATAAAAATGGAGGTTAACTGTGGATTTCTAATCCTTTTACCAAAGTACTCATCAGCTAATCATAGCATCCCAGATACTCGTAAACGTAGCCTCAAGGCTGGGTGACAATCATGGGCAATGTCCATCATGTTGGTGCAATATTAATAATAATAGTTGAAGTTCATAAACAAATATCTGCATTATTATTCCTTTTCATTGATTTTGTTTTTTTTCAGTTTGGATATAGACAATTGGTATTGATAATGCATCTACACAATGATTAATAAATGACTCCTTTTAATGTTCTTTTATTCATTGCAGGAACCAGCCGACGACATGAGCTCCGGATATTCAGAAAACAATAATTTTCCGTACGATAACAACCAAATGGTTTTGGACATGATCCTCTGTTCTCTTGTGACTGTTCCTCAGCCAATTAATTGGGATAGTGTTGCCAGACTAGTCCCAGGATATACCCCAAAAGAGGTAAATTTGTAACAAATTAGTATTCTAAAAATATCTGCTATTCTCTGCTTTTAGAAATGAGTTTGTATATATTTAGAAGGGAAATTCTCATTCACTCTGCAGTACTGTTGATGCCACTTTGTATATATGGATTTCACACAGTGCCTCAGTTTATTACCATTGATATTTACTAGATATTCTTCCTTTATGGGTTGGGTCATGAAGCAGCAAATTATCTGTGAGATTTAGCAGTTGTTTGACATCTCTAAAGTAATATATGTGCAATTCATTTTGCATGCTCTGTCCTTTAGACATTGGCACATGTGTTTTAAGTACATTTGAAAATATTTAATCACAACTTGCCGGTCAACAAATAATGTTTTATATAACACCACCAGAGCAAATGTATTCCTGGATTTTACATTATATTAGGCTTATGAGTTAATTCAATAATGCACATTTTAGGAGGGATAGCGGGTGCTAACGCTTTAATGACAAATAGGACTTTTTTCTATCCGTGTTCTTTTTATTACCCTTTCTGGATGTCCTTGTAGATGTACATGTTATTTGGTATGCTGCATTTAAAATGGGAAGAAAAACTAAACCATGATCTTAATGATATTTGAAAAACAAACCAGATTCACTATCTAGAACAGTGACCACTTTCCATGTGACTCCAGTTATTAATGAGCTCCTTTCCCTATGACTTTGCAATAATACAGATATAAGGTAGATTGACAGAATTCTATACAATATCCCAGCAGGAGCATTTTGCAACAACTGTGTACTGTGACATAGGTAGCGGGATTGTAGGTTCACACTTGTTTTTCTAACAAAGTACCATTCATTTTCATAGTTTTGTTATCTAGTGCTATATATTTATTTTTCTATATAGATTGCAAAAATATAAGGTTTTTTTTTTATTATTAAATATGGCACAATGTGTGTATTGTAAAATGTATGTTTTGGACAATCTAGAATCATGCCAATTTTTTGCACATCTAATAGTGTGCCAAACGGTATGAAGAACTGAAAAACAATGGGACGTCTCCTGTAGATAACCAATATAATCCACTCATGGCAACTGGAGGAATCCCATTGGAAAGCCTTGCCACATATATCAAATCCTCCCTGCTTGATCCGGCTGAAGATCAGGAAGAGCTGGAAGTGGGGCAAGGTATGTGAATGAAACTCTGTATGGTTTTAATTTTATAATGCAATACTTTATTATGTTTATGACATTTTGTGCTTTAGGACTTTGTAACTTGCCTGATGGCAATCTGTCAATGAAAAGGCTAAAAACCACTGCATATTTTGTCTAAAGGGTTACTCCAAGCCTGCTGTAGTAGTTATGATTCCCAGGAATACCCTGGACCCTTTTCCCTGTAATAGGGCAAACTATCTTACAGCAGCTTGCCTTCTTTCCTGGATACTTCTTTCTGGCCTGTGTTGACATCTGGCTTCTATAGAGCTGCAGAAGCTGGAAGTCGATCCCGGCAGCCATTCATTACCTGAGAGCGTAATCTGAATGCTGTCAGCCAGTTAATCCAATTCTGGTCATAGCAATGTGCACAAAATTGATATTAGCCAGCTGGAACACCAAACTGGCTAAGGATGCCCCAATGATGCTGCCGGTGCTCCATGAAATTTCCCAACCCGGCAGCCGAGAGGTTGAACTAGGCAAGTGCAGCATTTCACAGTGAAACATTGTGCATAGAGACTCCAGGCACCATGACCACTTTAAAACACTGAAGTGGTCATGGTACTTGGAGTGACCCTTTAAAAAACACAAATTATTTTTGTTAACCTGCTTTTCACAAATTGTGTGGATGGAAAGGGAACATTCAAAAATTGCCAGCAAGTGTATAGTTTAATAGATATAATTACTTGTGTGTGCATCCTGCACTGAATGAAGCTGCTACATATTGATCCACTCTCCCCAAAATGGTGTGATTGGCATCCCAAAATTCCTAGTCTTCAAGTGCAAACTATGAGTTTTAGAATGGCGATCATGTCATTAGGAGGCATGGCTACTGTTTGCACAGCCACCCTTACCAGTGGCAAAGCCATAAGGCCCATGTATGTAAATAAATATATATAAAGCTTCAGCTATTTCATATGCTGGCATAAAGTGCAGATGATTTATTATGACTGTTTACATGGCACAGAGTTATATTTTACATGCCAGCTGCTGCCAGAGCAGATTCTGAATGGTATGTGTGACAAACGCTCCTTCTCACGTACGTTTGCCATGGACTCCTGGTGGAGTGTGGAAGCCGGCCTCATGCCCACCTACTATGGTCCAGGTCTGGGACACCTTAGGGAGTTACCCTTCCCAGCTGCTATTAGCAGCTTTCCCTCTGTGCCCCTGGTTCAACACTTTCCTTTCATGCAAATGGAACCGAACGCTGACTCCCTGGCGACCGTTTGCATTAACCAAACTAACGAATAGTCCTCAGCGGTACTTAACCGCGATCGCTATGGAACTAATTTCGGCATGAGGACTTTGTGGGTCCCCGGTCACCTCAGCCGTGAATGTTATGGAACTGTTTTTGGCATGAAGTGACCGTGCGGTTCACAGACAACTTGGTTTGCAGTTTTGAACAACTTTGAAATCCGCCAGGAGAGAGCTTTTTGGAAGGAAGGAGACAGGCGGAGCACCCCGTATTGTGGCCGCAGGAGCTCCCGAAAGTTGCACAGCAAAAGCACCAAACTCCCAGGAACTATTTTGGGCATAGGACCATGTGTGCGGCTGGTCCGAACTTTAACACAGTGGTGTTTCCCCTACACTGAGTGCTATTCGGAGAACTTGGGCATAGATATTTTGCTATAGATGCTCTGGACTGGGCAAGAAATCACATTTAATGTCATATAATATATATATACACACACTGATTAGTCACAACATTAAAACCACTGACAGGTGAAGTGATTATATCATTGCAATGTCACCTGTCAATGGGTGGGATAGTTTAGGCAGCAAGTGCACAGTTTTCAAATTTCATTTGTTGGAAGCAGGAAAAATAGGCAAGTGAAAAGATGTGATTAACTTTGACAAGAGCCAACTAGAGATGACTAGATGACTGGGTCAAAGAATCTCCAAAACGGCAAGTCTTTTGGGGTGTTCTGGTATGCAGTGGTTTGTACCTACCAAAAGTGGTGCAAGGAAGAACAACCGGTGAACCGGCATCATGGTCATGGGCGCTCATTGATGCATGTAAGGAACAAAGGCTAGCTAGTCTGGTCTGATCACACAGATTGACTTCTATAGCTCAAATTGCTGAAACACTTAATACTGGCCATGATAGAAAAGTGTCAGAACACACAGTGCATTGCAATTTCCTTCGTATCTGCATATCGGTCAGATTGCCCATCATGATCCCTGTCCACTGCTGAAAGCCCCTTCAGTGGGGATGTGAGCATTCGAACTGGACCATAAAGCAATGGAAAGAGGTTGCTTGGTCTGATGAATCAGGTTTACTTTTAGATCAGGTGGATGACTAGATGCGTGTGGGTCATTTACCTAGGGAACAGATGACAGCAGGATGCGCTATGTGAAGAAGACAGGCCAGCACTGGCAATGTTATGCTTTGTGCAATGTTTTGCTGGGAAACCTTTCCTGGTATTCATGTGGATGTTACTTTGACATGTACCACCTACCCAGAGATTGTTTCAGACCACGTACACCCCTTTATGGCAATGGTATTCTCTGCAGGCAGTGGCCTCTTTTAACAGGATAATGCACACTGCCACACTGCAAAATTGTTGAGGAATGGTTTAAGGAACATGATAAACAGTTCAAGGTGTTGCCATGACTTCTGGATTCCCCAGATCTGAATCCAATTGCGTATCTGTGCCACTTCGCAACTTGCAGGACTTAAAAGATCTAATGCTAATGTCTTGGTATCAGATACCGTAGGACATATTCAGAGGTCTTGTGGAATCCATGTTTCATTGCATCAGCTCAGTTTTGGAACCTATATGATGTTAGGCATGTTGTTTAAATGTTGTTGCTGATAAGTATATATATATATTCCTTTGTTTGCTCTCATTTACTGACAGAACTCTATTGCCCAATTCTGTTGTTCTGTTGAATTGCTGTGTACAAGACCATAAATACTAGTTGCTTATCTCTGGGATTACAGCATCCATCATAAAATGCACAGATCTCAGAAGACTTCCATTTAATTGCATTTGCGCATCTGTTCCAGCCTGAAATTGCACATGTTTATAATTTGTGTGTAGTTTAAAGACACGTGATAAAGAGTGAAATCCCTCTTTATTTTGATTAAGGAAGAACTGGTGCTGTTTCGGCCAGGAAGAGCTCTACTGAATATGACAAATTACCGTTGTCTATGAATGGTGAAAGCATGGAAGGAAGTCAGGGGTAAGACAGTAATTGCCATTGACAAATTTTTTACTGCACATGTCAGTGAATGGGTCTCTGTGTGATCAGTAAAAGAAGCTACATATGACCTATATGGCTTAGTTTTTGTTAAAAATATTTCCAAGAAATCAATTCCCGACCTTCGTTATTGAGACGCAAGATAGCAAGCCTCCATGCTTCTTTTAGGTACTAAAAGGAGCACATTATGGACCGCTTCCGGGTAACATGGAGCAATACAATACATTAAAAGAACACTCAAAGTGTACTAACCACTGATCCTTCTTACCTGGCCTCCTATGTCTGAGATTAGTTTATAGTCTACAGACTGTTATTTTGACTTTAGATTTTTTGACTTTAATGGTCTACCTCAAATGCCAAAACAACACTATGGTTAGCCTTTAAATCAGTGGTGCTAGGCCTCTTTATGTGGAGAGCTGCCCTTCCTTAAAAAGATTTGTAAAAATAAAATGGTGCAATGATTCATGGGAAATAGACCATGTAGCCATGTCTTACCACAACATATTAAAAGAAGAATTAGATAATACTAGTTTATAAAAGACACTCTATCACAAAAAGTGGCTACAAGTCAAATGTTATAGCCACGGAACTAATTCAGGTATACTTTAGCTAGGAAATTGGGGGGAAATTGGTATGCATAATAATGAGTTTAAAATGTATTTACTTGGAGGTTACTGAAATTCAACGCACCTTGTAAGTAAATTGTGTTCTATGTAAACATTCCAGTAAATTGGTATCACTTTGCCATGTAATCCCTATAGTGTTATTCGAAGTCTCAATAGCTGTAATATGAAACCTCAGTGATTAGTTTTTGTAAAATAGAATAGCATTCGGAGGTATAAAGAAATTATAAATTTTGTATGAAAAGCACATAAATCCTTTCATTAGTATTTTATTTCTATAGCCTTAAACAACCATTTTCCTGTATATTTTTCAAGCTAGATGCCAAAACGGAGTAATTTAACGTTGTTGTTTGTTTTTTTACCTAATTGTTTCAGGGTTGGTAGCAAGTGACTAGCTACTTTTGATAAATATGCAGAATTAATATTATATCCACTTTTTCCTTTTAAAGACCAAACATGGTAATCCATGTATGTGATGAAGCAAAGAATCTAAAGGAAGACTTTGTGTGCCCACGTGATCTTCTTGTATCCGAGATGAAGTATTTTGCAGAATATCTGTCCACGGATGCCCAGCGGTGGGAGGAAGTGGACATATCTGTTCATTGTGATGTGCATATATTCAACTGGCTTATGAAATACGTGAAACGTAATTCAAGGGAAAGCGACAAATCAGAGGCTCCAAAGCTTGGTGGGTAGCTCTTCCAGCATCCTCCTTTATGAGATTGGTAGCAATATTCCAGTACTATTTTTTTCTTTCTTTCTTTTTTCTTCTTGCTTAGTAAGTCTTTTTTTTCTTATAGTTTATTCATGAATTTGGCGGTCACGAACCATTTATAAATTAGTGTACATTAATTATGAAGCGTGTATATGAATACTTGCCATCCTGAATACCTTATATCGATTAGGTGAATTTACATTACAGTAATACACTAGATAAATAGCATTTTCTAGAGGCAACCTTAAGATCTGTGTAGTTTTTAGTTACGTGGAGATCTGATTTTGCTCAAAGTGCGAGAATCTGATTTGATATTTTTACTCCTTACTTATGTCACCATAGTGGCCCTTTCTTAAATAAAGATTATATTTTGTTTTATGTTATAGAACCTGCGAATGTAATTTCGATCCTGATTTCCTCAGAATTTTTGAAGATGGATTCATTAGTGAGTATAATATTAATTATAACTTTTGATTATTGATTTCTGTATGGCTTAAAGCTGCCTCGATACTCTATTTTTCTATGATTTTCCATTCAGTTATTGAAATTGAATGGTTAATACATGCATCACCCATATTTTGTTCTGTTATATTAATTTATATAATAAAACAAAACATGCCAACGTGTTATAGTAGTATATTGACCTACTCGACTGTTTTTGTGTGCTTGTATTCAAGTGTAATTGTGCAATGCTCATCAGTTTTACCTTTTTTATTTTGGTGGGGTCTGGGGTTAATTTTATTCTCAAACTCCATGTGACTTTCCTACGTGCCTTGATTTACATGCATTGTTTTTAATTATAAACCGCGTGCTTCCAATAAAATAATAAGTCATTAGCCTGTTGATAGAAGAGGATTTTGAATGTAAATTTAGTGACCTGTTCTTATCCAGCAAACTGACTCAATCGCAAAGGCTTTGAGTTCGTGTCATCTATAGTGAGAATTGTTTTAGAGTCACTACTGAGATTATACCCCTTGAAACATTTGGTAAAATAAGAAACTGGGATTTGCTAAATTTAGGCCAAAAAAATTGAATTCCGCTATTTTGATCTACATTTTGAGACCAGACACACTAGTGAACAAGGAACAGGGGGTACAGTTGGCGGTAACAAATCCTTGATAGATTAACAAGCTGAAACATAGTTGGAGTAGACCTGCCACCAGTGTGTTTTACTAAAAACTACAAATGAGAGATGCTGTGATTTCTTTGATATTAGGGCACATAGAAAAATACTTTATAAACCAGAGGACAAGCAAAGACAAACCCGCATAATTTACTGGTAACTACTTCCCCCTTAAATCCTTTGATATTGGCCATCAATCACTGACTAAATGACCATATAGTGCAACCATATCCCTATATGTTACACTTAAGGTAGATGGTTTTAACTAGCTGTGTAAAGACTGAAACTTGTGTACAGTGAATTCACAAGCAGGTATTTATTTTCTTTGCATAGCTGACTAGGCTCGTTGGGTTGTGCATTATCTTCTATGTAAAAAATAAGGTTTAGCACCTACTAATAATGGGATAATTTGCCGTAGTGGTGGGCATAGCACAATATGGCCATATGGTTTTATCTTTCACTTGAGATGGGTGATGTTTTAGAAGCAGTGAAAGATCTGAAAGTATATTTTGTCTGTGTGTTGATTCATTTTGGTATATTTTGTTTACTAACTGACCAAAGTTTTTGTCTGTTACAAAGTGCATTTAAGGTCACACTCCAGATTTCTAAAGTGCTTGAAAGGACACTCCAGGCACCCAGACCACTTCTGCCCATTGGAGTGGTCTGGGTGCCAACTCCCACCACCCTTAACCCTGCAAGTGTAATTATTGCAGTTTTTGTAAAGGGTTAAAAGGGTTAAGTTCTCTTCTAGTGGCTGTCTATCAGACAGCCACTAGAGGGACTTCCGTGTTCTTAGAACATGAAAAGTGTTTAAATGATGCTGGACGTCCTCACGCTATGCATCCCCATAGGAAAGGGAATCCCCATAGGAAAGCACTGAATAATGCTTTCCTATGGGAAGGTCTAATGCGTGCGCGCGGCCATTGCCATTGCGTGGGAGGAGCCTGACCCAGCGCGGAGGGACATCAGCGCAGGATTCGGGTAAGTCACTGAAGGGGTTTTAACCCCTTCAGCAACATGGGATGGGGGGTGGGAGGGAGAGAAGAACTGCAGGGTCTTGCAGTGCCAGGAAAATGGATATGTTTCCCTGGCACTGGAGAGTCCCTCTAAACTTAGAAAGAAATTGTCACTTTTATAAAATAACCTGGTTACACGGCACCCCCTGGCTGTCAGTCAGATAAGAGGTCCTGTTACTTCCTGGTTTCTTTAGCACTGTGGAGTTTAAAGGGACACTGCAGGCACCCAGACCACTTCTGCCCATTGGAGTGGTCTGGGTGCCAACTCCCACTACCCTTAACCCTGCAAGTGTAATTATTGCAGTTTTTTTATCAACTGCAATAAATACCTTGCAGGGTTAAGTCCTCCCCTAGTGGCTGTCTACTAGACAGCCACTAGAGGGCACTTCCTGCTCTATAGCATAGGTTTTCTGTGTGAGGATCTCCAGCGTCGCTCAATTCCCCATAGGGAAGCATTGAAAGCATTTTCAATGCTTTCCTATGGAGAGCTCTAATGCGCGTGCATTAGGTCTCCTCAGCCGGCGGGCGGGATCAGTCTCGCCCACCGGCTGACGTAAGGAAGAGGAGGAGTGGCAGCGAGCAGAAACCACCGCCGAGGGACATCGGCGGGGGTCTCAGGTAAGTGACTGAAGGGGTTTATATCAATGGTATTTAAAATTACACTGCCACCCACAAATCATAGGTAGGTATCAAACCAGTGTTTACAGTGTGCTGACATAATCACCAGCAAGTATACTGATATATAGTAAAGGATATTCTTACGTGACGATCCATTACTTCTACAGGGAGTGCAGAATTATTAGGCAAGTTGTATTTTTGAGGATTAATTTTATTATTGAACAACAACCATGTTCTCAATGAACCCAAAAAACTCATTAATATCAAAGCTGAATATTTTTGGAAGTAGTTTTTAGTTTGTTTTTAGTTATAGCTATGTTAGGGGGATATCTGTGTGTGCAGGTGACTATTACTGTGCATAATTATTAGGCAACTTAACAAAAAACAAATATATACCCATTTCAATTATTTATTATTACCAGTGAAACCAATATAACATCTCAACATTCACAAATATACATTTCTGACATTCAAAAACAAAACAAAAACAAATCAGTGACCAATATAGCCACCTTTCTTTGCAAGGACACTCAAAAGCCTGCCATCCATGGATTCTGTCAGTGTTTTGATCTGTTCACCATCAACATTGCGTGCAGCAGCAACCACAGCCTCCCAGACACTGTTCAGAGAGGTGTACTGTTTTCCCTCCTTGTAAATCTCACATTTGATGATGGACCACAGGTTCTCAATGGGGTTCAGATCAGGTGAACAAGGAGGCCATGTCATTAGATTTTCTTCTTTTATACCCTTTCTTGCCAGCCACGCTGTGGAGTACTTGGACGCGTGTGATGGAGCATTGTCCTGCATGAAAATCATGTTTTTCTTGAAGGATGCAGACTTCTTCCTGTACCACTGCTTGAAGAAGGTGTCTTCCAGGAACTGGCAGTAGGACTGGGAGTTGAGCTTGACTCCATCCTCAACCCGAAAAGGCCCCACAAGCTCATCTTTGATGATACCAGCCCAAACCAGTACTCCACCTCCACCTTGCTGGCGTCTGAGTCGGACTGGAGCTCTCTGCCCTTTACCAATCCAGCCACGGGCCCATCCATCTGGCCCATCAAGACTCACTCTCATTTCATCAGTCCATAAAACCTTAGAAAAATCAGTCTTGAGATATTTCTTGGCCCAGTCTTGACGTTTCAGCTTGTGTGTCTTGTTCAGTGGTGGTCGTCTTTCAGCCTTTCTTACCTTGGCCATGTCTCTGAGTATTGCACACCTTGTGCTTTTGGGCACTCCAGTGATGTTGCAGCTCTGAAATATGGCCAAACTGGTGGCAAGTGGCATCGTGGCAGCTGCACGCTTGACTTTTCTCAGTTCATGGGCAGTTATTTTGCGCCTTGGTTTTTCCACACGCTTCTTGCGACCCTGTTGACTATTTTGAATGAAACGCTTGATTGTTCGATGATCACGCTTCAGAAGCTTTGCAATTTTAAGAGTGCTGCATCCCTCTGCAAGATATCTCACTATTTTTGACTTTTCTGAGCCTGTCAAGTCCTTCTTTTGACCCATTTTGCCAAAGGAAAGGAAGTTGCCTAATAATTATGCACACCTGATATAGGGTGTTGATGTCATTAGACCACACCCCTTCTCATTACAGAGATGCACATCACCTAATATGCTTAATTGGTAGTAGGCTTTCGAGCCTATACAGCTTGGAGTAAGACAACATGCATAAAGAGGATGATGTGGTCAAAATACTCATTTGCCTAATAATTCTGCACTCCCTGTATACCCCTCAAATGGTCATGTAGAGAGATACAGGTTGAGAACTCCTAAGCTAATCTTATGGATCCTCATAGGCATCTAGTCTGTTTATGTGAACATAAAACGAATATAAGTTTTCAGTAATATTAAAAAGTAACTCAGTCTTTAGAATGTTTAGATTACAAAATGCATTTTTAACTGCAATTTCGAGTTTTTCAAAAGTCAATGGGGGTTTTACTGTGTAGTGTAAGGTTTAAACCTAGAATCCACCTAATGGACAAATCTTGCCAAGAGGATCCAGCATCTGGCTTTTAAGTTGTTGTTTTTATTTTTTAAGTGTGCAGACAAACATCTGAAGGACTTCAATTTATGTAGTTGCATTGTAATATAAGCTGAATATAGACTAAAATGCTAAAAAAAAATCATCTTTTCAAAACTCTTTACTTGTACATTTGTTCCAAATTTTTATTCTAAAATGGCAGTCAGATTTTTTGTTCTTGAGAGTGAACCTTCACGTTTAATATTTATATTCTTAAATATTCCGTTTTTGTTTGTTATTGAAAGACATCCATGATGTTGTTTAAAAAAAATCTGTACACAATCTGATACAGCATCCTATTAGGTTATGAGAGCCTGAATCTATGTTTAAAAGCACGCTATTGGCACTGTAAGTGCTTCATCTCACTGAAGTAGTTTTAGTATCTGGAATCCACTGGTGCTGTCCTTCCATTCAGTGTTAAACTGTTTTTATTGGTTTAATTCTAAATGAGTGTTCCCAGCTGCCCTTCCCCTCTGTGCTGCTCAGGTTAATGAGGAAACATTCGCCTGAACAGGACTGGGCAGAGGTCATTGGCTGAAAATGTCAGCTGACCGCATTCAGCCTATCAAAGCCACCCTTTGCTGGTTGAAATTGGTATGGCAATGGAATGTTTAATTTCTACATTAGCCATACCTCCAGTGAGGGCTAGGATGTGGACAGTAAGAGAGACTCATTCATTGGTAAAGGGACACTGTAGGCACTATAACAATTTCCTCTCATTGAATTGTTTAGAGTGACTGGGGTTCCCAGGCTCTGTCCCTCCAAACAATTTTTTTTGGAACAGTTTAAAGCGGCACTATCATGCCGAACTTACCTTTCCTCAATCTCTTCCTCTTCTCCGTCTCTCTCGGGATCTGTTCTTCTTTTCTTCCTGTCTTCTTTAGTTTTCTTTAAAATCATAAGACAAAGTAGAGACTCTTTGCCTTATGGAGGTTTCCTCCGCTTGACTAGCTTTGACCAGCGGAGGAGCAAAGTGTGCTTCATTTCCGCTGGTCAGAGCAATATTCCCATAATTCTTACCTTTCCTCTGTGATCTCGCGATGCTTCCTGTCATTTTAGACGAAAATGCTGAATTGCATTCTAACTGAATGAGAACAGTATGTTCGTTTGTTTTAGAACTCAATTTGGCACTTTGTTCGTATCGGAATTTCATTTGAATGAATGAAACTCTGAATCAGTTTGTGCCGCGGCTGCATCTTGCAGCCGCTTAATAGATAACTCCCTAATTCCCATGGTATTAGGGAGTTATCTCCCAAAAGGCTGAAAGACCAAGTAAAGCCAAGATTACTTAGTATTAGTAAATAATATGCCCCTACCCGCTATAACGCGAGTAGGGGCATGTCAAGTAAACAGTGAGCAGCCTGTACTGCTCACTGTTAAAAAAACAAACAAAAAAAACACAATTGTCCCCCCAGCCCCCACCTGTGCCAAGTGAGCAGCCACAGGCTCCCTCCTTGTAATAAACTGAACGAACAAACGAACACTGATACACAGTGTTTGTTTGTTCGTCTGATTTTTCTATTCATTCATTCGTCTTTCTGACGAATGAATGAATAGATGAAATTCCCGTTCGCATGCCCATGTGTTTAACTGGGCATGTGCAGGAATCTCACAGTGCTATCTAGTGTGGGCAGATGACGTGTCCCACAGGGACTTCCTCTACCCACACAAAGATGGCAGGGCAGAAAATAAAGAATAAAGAATAACAAATAGGTAATCTGGGGGGCTTAGGGGCATTTGGGGGTGACTATGGGGTCAATTAGAGTCGGGAGGGGGGTTAAAAAAAAACGGGATTTGGCCATGACAGTGCCGCTTTAAGTGAGGATCATTGGCTTCCTACAGCCTCTCTCCTTCTGGAAATATGGCTAAGGCAGAGATTACACACTTCCTTCAAACCATACCAATTTATACCAGCAATGGGCACTGTAATAGAATGAAAGCATTCAGCTGACACAATGCTTCTTCATTAGCACAAGCAGCATAGAGGAGATGGGGTGCTGGGTACTCCTGTTTCGTGTTGAACTATTAAACATTGTTTAATGCTGAATGGTAGGACAATACCAGGGGACTCCAGACACTATAACCACATCAATGAGATGAAGCAAATATAATGCCTGCAGTGTCCCTTTTAAGCTGCTTAAAAATCTGAGCACTATAATCAATTTAACCCCTTAAGGACCAAACTTCTGGAATAAAAGGGAATCATGACATGTCACACATGTCATGTGTCCTTAAGGGGTTAATTAGATGAAATGTATACTGCCTATAGTGTTCCTAAAAAAGATGTAACTATTTCTAAACATAATACAAAAAAGATTGTCCAGTATTTTAAGGGTCTTCAGGGCCTTCAAAATAAAGTATATAATTGACTTTGTTGCCCACAATATTCTGAATGTGTGGCACCTTTTCTTGCTTCCTAACAGTGCTGGACCTTATAAACGATACCTCTCTGGGAAGGTAAGCATGGAATCACAGATTGGGACATTTTGTGTCTTGCTGGGTCAAACATTCAGCGTCTTGTGACGACCATGCACAGCTCGATTTATACTTTGTGTCTTCTTTATATCAGAAGCTATTCTAATTACCAAACATTACTTCATTCTTGCTATATGTGTCTTATTGGCAGACATTTCCTGCACATATATTTTATAACCCCTTTTCTTTGGTAGGTTGAAGAATGCATTAATTATTGTCACAAAAACATGAGTGCTATCGTGGCAACCCCATGCAATATGAACTGCATCAATGCAAATCTCCTAACTCGGATAGCTGACCTCTTCACGCACAATGAGGCAGATGAGGTAAAGGACAGAAAAGATAAATTTAAAAGGTAAACCATTGTTTATTGTAAGTTTGACTGAAGTGTTTTTCAATCTCTTTTTTTTTTATGTTATTCAAATTTTATTTGAGAGAAAGGAATGAAACATACACAGTGGTGCAAAGTAAGAACCAGATATTTAACAGGTAGAAAAACAGAAAAGAAAGACATATAATAAATGAGGTCCCATAGGTATATACAGTATATGATCATACATTGCATAAGCCTGCCCAGATGCCAATGTACCCCATTGACATGCTTATGCAATGAATGATCATATAATCTAACGAAACCCCTGTTAATTTTGCCTAGGTTAAATGTTTTTATTACAAGTGCACAGGGGCAGTGAGAAGATTAAAGATCTCCCTCACTGGGCCAGTGCAGACTTGTGGAGTAGGGGTGGTGGGGCAGGAAACTCTAGTTTGCATCTCTGCTAAGTACAAACTAACAAAGTATTCCTAATGCAAGCTCTGTCCACTCAGAGCATTGCTGTGAGTTACCAACACGGTGCTGTGCTTGGAGTGCCTTGTTTTTCCTCTTCACTTGTCTGTAGGGAGTTAATCTTACATCCCAATTAACTAACTGTTGGGTTGAACGTCTAAAAAATATTAAGTACCACTTGGCACGAAATGCGTTAGGCGGCTGCCTACGACATATGTTTATTTTTCTTGGAGTTCTTTAGACAAACTTGCTACGTTACCCCTTTTTGTATATATTTTTAAATAAATGTTATGTTTTAGTGAATTTTTGAACCATGGACCATCTTCATTAAAAATACTCCTACACCTTGGAACAGTGTTAGCAGGCATAACCATCCTTCTACTTCATTTGCCACTGCAACACTCCAATACTACACAGTATACTCAGAAGAGTATACTCTGTCTGCACCCGGCAGAGGTACAGGCTAGAGTCACTCACCACTGACCCGGATTATCGAGTACCTACATCCTGGTCAGAGGAAGCAAGGGGAGGGAATAACCTTAAATAAAATAGAGTAAATTTATTAAAAAAAAATAAATATATATATATATATATGTAAATGTATTTAAATTTTTTTTATATATATACTCCTCTCACCCATACACAACACAACACAGCCCCTATCCAACCAGACAAATCCACACACACTGCTTTCCCTACATCCATTGCATCCCTCCCACACACACATACATTCCCTAAACACAGAAATTACATCAAATTACAAATTTACAAACACATTATATACACGTTCCCTAAACACAATGTCCTCTATACACACATACATACCACAGCCCCTATACGCTCTCTCATTACATCCCCTATGCCAACACACAATAAATCCCCTATACACAAAACCTGAAAGCTTCTATAGGGGTTCTGGGCCATAGACACTTTCCCCACACTCTCAGCAGTGTAAATACTGTCTTTTATGATAAAAAAAAATGGTTTACAAGAGGTGCTGATTGGCGCAATTTGTTGCACATTAGCACTAGCCCTCCAAAGCTTCCCTGTGGGGAAAGCAGTGGATTGGTTAGTCGGAAGAGGGGGGGTGGGGGCAACAGCAGCAAGACAGGCACATCAGGAGAGTAAAGGTTAGCATTTTAATTTTATGCCTATGTTTGTATTCATAATGCTAAAGTGTTCCTTGAAGTTTACTGTAATTATGATACTGGTTATTTTGTTAAAAACTTTTCTTTCATTTTTCTAGTCAAAATATAAGTCTCCTATTTCAAAAGATACAGTATGTTTGCTTGACAAACATGCATTAAATAGTATTCTCTGGGTGCTGTCCCCAGTTTTAGTCAAGCCATTTTGGAGCGGTTTGAAAAAAAAAAAAACAGGGCTCTTCAAAATAGCCTTCTTCTGCTTGGCCACATTGATTATGCAGAATTTACTTTTACGTATTCTCAACGTCCATTTTGTTCCACCTGGACAGTGGTGATTGTTAGAGTCGTGACTCGTGAGGCCAGTACGCCCAGCTTTTTCAGTGGGGAAAGCATTTCTGTTTTTTCAAGCTCTCTCTAAACAGTTTAACAAAAATCCATGCTCCAAAAACCATCTGAACTAGTGACAAAAGTGCAGGCAAATTGTTAATTAATTCCGATGTAGGAATTCTTGATGTTTCTATAAAAAAAATTAACATCAAAATACCTATAAATATGTGACATTTAAGGGGATTATATTAATCTTTTTTGGTGTTTTAGAAGTGTTTTGACTGAATTAATTTTTATGTGATTTATGTATTTTAAAAGTGTTAGTATTACCATAGCATTTTCAACATGTTCAGATATTGTATCACCTAATAAAGTTCTGAACACTTTCTCAGTTAAATACAATATATTGTGAATGATTGTACGTATTGATTGTCCATGAAATATTAGTCCAAGCGATGCGACAGCAACAGGCTACATATAAGTAAAGATAAAGAAGTATTTAAAGTCAATATAATTGTATAAATATTGTGAAAGTAATATGTTATGTTTTCTAACATGGCCCAGGGCTTGTGAAATGAAGAAAATATTTAATGAAGATAAGAATAAGAGAAAAGATAAGCGTTAAAAATATTGAAAAGGAAATAATTGTTTTAGAAATAAATTATATCTTTTTGGCTTTAAAAAATATTTTCATTTATTATTAATATTAGCGAAAGCTGTAGACATAAATGGAAAATAGAAATAAAATAGTTTACGCTGTTTTGAAACTTGAAGGAACCTTCCAGTGTAATAAGTAAATGTATTTAATGTATAATATTGGAACACAGCTGAATCCTCAATTACAATACTTCTTTGTGCTGGAGAATAAAACAATCACCTTTCTACTGCATTTCTCTCAATGGGTGGTCAGTTGACTCTCCAAACTTAAGTCTTCTCCTAGGGCCAAAACGTTGCTGTAGCACAATGAAGTCTTCTTTGGATCCTTCTAATTTACAAATCAAAATAAACACAAAAAAGTACAGCAAAATAGATATCCAGTTGACTTTTACCAACTAGAAAATAATAATTATTTTTTCTAGACTTGTTCACTTTGTGTGGGTTTGGGTGAAAAGGTGATGTTTAATTGACTACATTTACCCCATGGACTGGATGCTATAACCAGGGAGATGTTTAACTCTGGTAATTATATATCTGCTTTCTCAGTGGACCTAGAAGTGAATATTTCATTCATTTACCAAAGCAATGTCTCTCTAGTTATATTTTAAGATATTTAAAGATTCTGGTTTTCATTCAGAAATTCCAACAGTATGCTACGGTATACATTTCATTGACATCCAGTCAGATAAACTATAATATTCTTTTAGAAAGCATTGTTTTTCATGCTAATAAAGTCTTTATTCTTAATTTCTTAGCAAAATATTTTGTAAGAAAATCGAGAGACTGTTTGATCCAGAATACAAGAACGCAGATTCTCCAGCAAATGCTTCAACACTATACAGGTAACAAACTACATAATTGCAATAACACATAGGTATAGATTTATACTAAGCATCACTATTACGATGTGCAGAAGGACAGTTATACATGGATGGATCCACATCAAGCAATAATCCATAGGTACCATCTAAAAGCAATGAGATAACACCTCTGCAATATTATATAAGTAGAAGTCTAATGCCATGCAATATTACATAGGTTGAGTAGCAGTACAATACAGATGGGGATCTAAAGCAATACAATACTATACAGGTTGATATCTGCATCGTTGTAAAACTATATAGTTGGAGATGTACACCAGTGTAATGCTATACTGGTAGATAGTGACAGCAGATTGTGAACATTGTTAGGGAGAGCTGACCTAGGCTAGAGCCCAGACATAGCTTCTGAAAAGCCCTAGGTCTGATTTTTAACAAGATAATTTGCAGCTAGTGGAGGCTGATCCATAGGGTTTTTGTTGCAAATTAAAAAAAAAAAAAAATCTATTGCCATTGAAAGGACCACTGATTACAATTATTTACAGGCATACCCCACTTTACATACACTCACTTTAAGTACACTCGCGAGTACAGACATTCCCGCGCCTCTTCTGTCCGTGAGTGAACAGGAAATGGAAGGTTCTATTCTCGCCCAGAGCAGCTCAGTTCAGTGTCTTTGGGGCAAGAACTTTTCACACCTTCTGACATGGCACAGGTTAATCATCTCAAATTTATAATGCTTACTCCTTGCTGAACATATATATATATTTTCTGCACATACATTGTCCATATTCTGCAATCTGCCATCCAGTGAAAGAGTTTACCCTGACATTTTCTATAACTATGACTATGAGCTTAGCTGCTTTAGCCAGAATTCTGAGAATTCAAAGTTAAACAATAAATGCTTAAAGTGATGAAGAGGTGTTTCTAAACAAAGTGTGCAACTAAGCTGCTAACAAATACTGACTGGCACTGTATTGACAGTAAATGGCCCAGTGGGTAGGTTTATTTATCTTTTCCTCACAGTTTAAGGTTGTCAGATGAGTAAAACATTAAAGATAAATGGTACAATATGGAATTAGATTTTTTTTTACTGTTTGTTTTAACTGAATAAAAGCCCACTGGAAATCACTAAATAAATCACTGAAAATAAAATCACTGGAAATCTGCAGTTGCAGTATCAGGTATGCCTGTAAATTACTATTGCAATGCCGTACATGCATTGGGAAGTGAAAAAAAGTATTGCTTCATTTTAAGTACATTTTCGTTTTACATACATGCTCTGGCCCCATTGTATACTTAAAAGTGGGGTATGCCTGTACTAAAGTGAGAATTGTCAGAAATTCACAGTGAATCTTTTACGGCCAAATTGTCCTATTTGGAAATATTTAGATTCTCTTTATAGTCTTTGTGATTTAAACTGCTAACTGTACCAGTAACCAGTGTTTATACTCCTGTCTTCTCTAGGTGTTGCTTGTGTAAGAGACTACTGACAAAGGAAGCCGAGCAAAAAATTGCTTGTCTGCCTGGAAAAATCAACATAGACCAGTATGGAAATATTGTGTATTTTCACATCAGGTACATTCATTATAATAAGTGTAAATAGGTATATTGACATAAGCGTAAATATTTAAGGAGCTGCTATTAAAGATCATGCTGTAAATGTATGACCAAATGAAATAATATTAAAAAAAAAGGCCTGTTTATATTTTCATCAGCATAGGGTAATCTTGCTTATTTGGGACTGGTTTTAATTTCTCATACAATATATGATCTATTTTTATAGAAGAAAATTAATTAAAAGTAATATGTGTTACTGTATGCTCAGCGTGGCATTCTGGGAGAGTCGTGGGTACATGATTTCTCATAACTGCTGTTTGTTTTGTGTTTTTAATTGTGTAGGGATATGAAGATTATATATAGAAGTACATTTCAGATTTGACCTAAAGCACAGTTTTTTTTTCTTAATTTTGATCCTGCCTCACTTGTAATAATGTTGGCTTTTCATTTATGGTATAATTAATGAATTTGGGCATATATTTTTATGTGCCAATATTTCTTTATTAATTCTGGAAATTAAAACTTGTAAAATTAGAATTTCATGGATTTTATTTTCAAAGAAAAACAGTAGCAAATAGTAACTTCAGAGTTATTCTTTCTAATTTTTACCAGACATAAAATTGATCCAAATTTAATTTGCACTATCTATGTGCATTTCATTTGCTTAAATTTAAATGTGCATATGTATTGCTTTCTGTGAATTGCTTTTTTTTTTTAGTGGGAGGGGGCGGGTTAAAATTTTGAAATCATTCCTAAATCCTAAATAGTGCTAAATAATTGTTCCACAATTAAATTTTTTTTGTACCCAAATCACAGAGACAAAACATGGGACATTCATGAACATCTGTCCAGTCAGTTTGAAGAACTGAAGTCCTGGCGGGATGTATATTGGCGGCTGTGGGGGACTGTTAATTGGCTAACCTGCAACAGGTGTAAGCAAGTAAGTCCTGCTGCTTTCTACTCTTTATAACGGGAATGGGTGCGTGTTGTCGCAGTAAATTTTCATTTGTACATATTTTTTACATTTTTTTATTACAAGCAACAGTCACTATACAAATAAACAAGATAAAAGGGAAAGCTGGGCCATTATCATCGTGTTAATGAAACTCTTGTGACTCACTATATTTTCTTCTATTACATTTGTTCATTTTGCTCTTTTCAGTCATTTCTGTGCAATGAGCTGTCACATTGCCAATATCATCCAGAACCTGCAGTTTATCCTGGTGCAGCAAGTTCCCTTGGATCAACGGGCACAGGCATTTACCCCTGCTGTAACCAAAAAGTGCTTCGATTTGACCCCACACAGCTCCCAAGGGTAACAGCTCTCATGTTTTCTGATAATCTTCTTTGAAATCGTTAGGATGTGTCCATCACTTTTTCTTTCTTTGTCCACCAGGGTTGTAAAGTCAAAGACCATGTTATAGCTTTACCCGAGGGAGACGATGGGCTTGAAAGTCCATCGTCCAAACTGCTTTATGATCTCGTGCAGCATAGAGACCTTATAGTTGTGCCTTATTCCAAAGACTTGAATGGGTAAGAATTACTTAGAAATACATTTATATTAGAAGACATTTCTAGGCTCGTAGAACTTGTAAGCTGTATAGTGGTTTTCTTTCTGATGTCTTTTTGTTCAGATTGTTTTGACTGACTTCATTGGTAAATATTGTACTTATTTCTCATGTCAATGTTGTTTGTTTTTGCAGAGAATCAGGGGTTATCATAAATGACGATAAAAGTCCTGAATGCAATGTGCATTTAGAGCCAAATCCATTACATGGACAAAAGAGTGGAGAGATCATTGCAGTAAGTGAATAAATACGATTGTTGTATTCAGGTGAGCTGGTTCTCCCACCACTTATTAGAAAATAGCTTTTGGAGGTCCAACCAGCACAGCTGCAAATAAGTGTGACCATTAGGGAGCAGGTCAAAAATAGGAAAAAGTATATTCAAAAGACAACACATTGTATCTATAAAAAAAGAGTGGTGCTAATTGCTGTCCGTTATTACCTTCTTGCATGCCTTTTTTTTTTATAATATTGATCAGAAGATAATAATCCTTTCACACGTTGGAGTGCAGTGCATAATAGATGTTCTATTACTGTAACTAACATACATTTACAACTATAATCTATGTAACATGTTACTCTACCGCCTTGCTTCTTCTCATGTAGTGTTCATTCTTTCTTCTCTTTCTGTTGGGTAGTTTCTTTCAGTAAAAAACTTCAGTCTTCAGTTGGTAAGTAACCGTAGGCTATACACTATTCCTTGCCGGTTGATAGCATATTTAGAAATGATTAATTTCTTCTAAGCTGTTTACAAAGGTGCCCTGTAAACCATTTTACTTTTTGGCAAGGACACCCTTGGCACGTAAGTGGTAAAGTTCATTACCTGCACCTTCATTAAAGTGGGCAGGCCATTCTTTGCATCAAATAAGATTTATTGGTTTAATTGTATTACTTTCAAAACAACAGCACATGGAGAGACAAAATAGTATAAGAACATCCAGGTGCAAACCATATAAACACTCCCTCAAGTGCTTTAAATATTCAAATGTATATAGAATATAGAATGCACACTATAACAATCTCAAAAAACTTAGCTTTATTATGTACAAAAAAAGTACCAGAGTGAAAACATATAAGAAAAAATAAACAAAGTGACAGAAGTAAGGGCAAATACAATAAAATAATAATAAATTACCACAAAAATTCTTACAAGCCTCAAGACAGAAACACGAGTCACCAAACCCCCCAATGTTTCGGCACCAACTGGCCATCAATACCCCTCTCCCCCACTCCATCAATACCCCCACTCCATCAATACCCCCTCCCCTTACACCATCAGCACCCCCTTCATGCCATCAATACCCCCCTCACACCATTACCCCCCTCACACAATTAATACCCTTGATAAAGGCAGCCAGTTGGTGCCAAAACGTTGGGGGGTTTGGTGACTCGTGTTTCTGTCTTGAGGCTTGTAAGAATTTTTGTGGTAATTTATTATTATTTTATTGTATTTGCCCTTACTTCTGTCACTTTGTTTAGTTTTTCTTATATGTTTTCACTCTGGTACTTTTTTGTACATAATAAAGCTAAGTTTTTTTGAGATTGTTATAGTGTGCATTCTATATTCTATATTAATTGTATTACTTACCATGTATACTTTATGGAAATAATAAATATATATATATATGTATGCACTGCATTAACAAAATCCTTAACAGATATGTAGATTAAATGTTGCTTAAAGGGACACTCCATGCACCATAACTATTTTAATTTATCAAAGGGGTTATGTTAGCATGGTACTGTCCCCTGCAGCCTTTTGTTAACAAGTTTGTAGCTCCGCCTACCAGCCTTGTCCCTGTAACAGAGCTGGGAATAGCACTTCCTGGTTCACAAATCAACTCATAACAATGAGTTAGTATGTCATTGCTGGCATAGAGGGAGCGCTGCCACTCAGAGAGCCGGGAATAACACCTCGTATCCCTCCTGGAGGGACATGCAGGAACTAACTAGAAGCAAGTGCTTGCACGTCCACAGCCTATCCCTGGCACTCTGCTGATTGAAATTACGTTTGGCTGTGTTCACCCAGCATAAATCATCTCAGATAGGTACTGTCTTTTTTTGCTCCTGGATGTCTGCAAAACCCTCCATGAGACACAGGAGATGTAATTCCTAGTTCTCAGGTTAAAAGGCCTATAAAGCCCTATCTTATCAGTGTGACAAATTAGTGAAATGACAGGCTGAAAAAACAGTTAGCTGAAGTGGATATGGTTCCAGAGTGTCCGTTTAATGATGTTTTTGACCCAGAAAACCTGCATGCAATGCATTGTAGAAGCGCATGGACGTGCACCCACCCACTGCAACACTTGACACTTTCTTAGGGTTAAAAAGGAAAACGTTGTCTAAATTGCATGTTACGTATTTCATAGAACTCTTCTCCATAAATTGTGATGGATGTGCTGTATGCACATTAATAAAAGTATTAATTATTATTTGTAAGTGTATTCATTTTAATTATTTTCTATTTAAACTTGTCAATAGCTTAATTGCCTGTGTTTTCTTCCTCCTATTCCAATGTACTATTAGTAAAGCTCCTGTTTCCAAGTACCAGATTTCATTCAGCTAACATAGAGCATATGTACAATGTTGCAGAAAACAGATGTTGGACCAAACCTTTCTGATACAGTGTTTTCTTTTTTCAGAAACAGCAGTGTTTGTTGTCTGAAGAAGATGACTACACAACGGGTTCCGAGGTGACAGAAGATGAAGTAGGGGATGAAGAAGAAGTGTCAAGGAAACCAGGTGATTATCCATGACTCTGTGGCTTGATTTTAAAAGGGATTATCTAAGCTCAATAGCTACTACATCTTGTTGGAGCAGGGCCGGACTGGGAATTCAAAGTAGCCCTGGAAAAAAAAATGTATGCCAGCCCCATAGGTCCTTGTGCCACGTAATATATGTATGTGTGTGTGTGTATATATATATATATATATATATATATATATGTATGCATGTACGTATGTATGTATATATTACAGACATACATATATATAAAGTTGTTCAATCATGCCTTGCACTTCTGCTTTAATATAATCACTGTTTTAATACCGGGTGCTAGACTGTGGTCAGAGTCGGCTCTCTAATTAGGCCATTTAGGCTGCCGCCTAAGGCCTAAATCGCCTTAAGGCAGACTGTGTCGGGTCCTCAGTCAGTGACCAAGGACCCGACACTAGGAGGGAGCCCGGCGGCTTGCTCTGTATGCCGCCGCGTGCAAGGCCTCTCCAGTCTGCCTGGCTGGAGAGCGCCAATCGCAGACACAGGTCTGCAGCTCTGCATTGTGCAGAGTTGCAGACAATGTGTCTCACGAGATCTGGCCAATACACCTACTCCATCAATACTCCCTCCTTCACTCCATCATCACCCCCTCCCTCACTCCATCAATACCCCCCCTCCTTCACACCATCATCACCCCCCTCCTTCACACCATCATCACCCCTCCTCCCTCAGCTCACAGACATACAAGATCATTGAAACACACATGCTCCCTACACACAAGATCACTGACACACACACACACTCACTACAGACACAGTATTTAAACCTTACCTGGCACTGAAGGCTGTGGGAGAGGAAGTTTTCTCTGGGAGGCCATTTTCAGGCCTCTTCCTGCAGCAAGGTCCACTGCTTGAGTGCAGGAGGCTGGTTTCAGAACGGGGGTGAAGCTTCCATGCGCCGCACCAGCCCCCAGCACCTGCCTGAATTCCCTCGGACTGACAGAAGCTGTCACAGTCCGAGGGGAAAATTATTAAAATAAAACATTAGGGTTTCCTGCCGGCCCCAGGTACCGCGGCCCACCGGAAAAATTCCCGTTATCCCGGTGGGCCAGTCCAGCCCTGTGTTGTAGTGAGTGTGGTGGTAATTTCCCCCTCCCTTTTTTTTTTTTGGGGTGTTGATGATGTTCTTCAAATCTTCGTAAGTGGATTGACGATTTCTGGGGTTCTAACAGCACCCAAATATGATATTGTGGAAGTTTCCAAATTCATCCAGCATTGGGAAGCTTTGAAGGACTCACAGCCATTAATTCCAAGAATGGACCTTTTGGATGGATATTGTGGAATTAACAGCACTGCATCAGACTTTGTGTGTAACGAGATAAAAAAAATGAAGGTTCAGCCTCGAAAACCCCCTTACAATGTAAACACTATTATAAACTGAAGTAGATATGGTGCTTACACTGTCCCTTTAAAGTCCACGTGGCTTTTTATGATTCCCAAAAATGTATTACGTTTTAGTGATGTTTAACAACAAAATTGTATTCCACTTTTATGTTAAGACAACTTTCTTTGGTTCCATTGCATCGAAATATTTTTCTACACTTGAGAATTTCACTGAAAATGCTTTTGATAAACAAAATAATGAGGAGAAAAAAAAGGGACAATGTAAACAACTAATGCGACAAGTTTTGCATTTGATGTTAACTTTTCAAAATAGTTACTGCAGGAATTTCAGATTAAAGTGTAATTTCCATTCTCTAAACTGTTTCTTAATCTCTCACCCCAGTAAATTAAGGGAGTATTGCATCCTAGGCATGTTTAATATATACTTACCTCTGCAGTCCTTCTGTGTACTTTGCCTTCCATACTTCCATAAACCTGCATACTCCCGCTACCTTCAGTGAAGTGAAAGTAATGTTTTTTTGGCAGGTATATTCTCAAAACTTGACATCTCTGGTATTGTATGATATTAACTGAGAGACACACACAAACTTCACCCACCCGTTGTTTAGTATGCCAGGGCCGGAATTACATCATATTCCGGCTCACGGCATCACAGAGGGCGCGCAAGGGAGGAGTGAGAGGCTGCAAGAAGAGCCTCCCTCGCCGCCTGCATTCTCCTCCAGTCACCGACATTTGATGGCAGAGCAGGCACCTGTCATCAAGATAAGAAGGTGCATACTGCATACTGTGACAGTGCTCCTGAAGGCGCCCCCACTTCCGGGCGCCTGGAGGAGCGGCCTGGCACTGAGGGGGGGGATGGCTCTAGAACCTCTTGCCCAGCGCTGCGGTTCAAGACAGCGGGAGCCCACGAGGAAATATCCTGACTAATGGTGGCGCCGGCCCTGCATTGACGATATATCTCTGTGGTGAGATTTTACATAGATCGCAACGATCGCAAGAATTAAATACGGAAGGGCCTCTAGTGTGCGGCTGAGTGGCAGCATTTTGAGGTGTTACTAGGGAACAATGTAAGCAGCTTTGACATTATAAGGACTGCATGGAATGTTTGTACTATGGCTCTAGTATTCCTTGAAGAAGACAGAGAATGACATTAGGCACTTTTATGTTATACAACACATTAAGAATAGAACTTATTCAAATAACCCAAGTCTGATGTCACAACAGTTGTAGAATATGTCCCAACAATCTATGGAAAATCAATTAAACATTTTGTATTTGTAACCTGCTCTAATGGGGGGTTCTTTTTGCTTGTTTTTGTTTTTTTATTAACTGTACCTATACATTTTCTATACAGATGTATATATACAGATGTGCTGTCATTGCATTACTCTGTATCTATAATGTGTAATGTCTTTCTTTTCAGTAGGAAAAAAAGAAAAGTCAAAGAAATCTGCTAAACTAAAAAAGCACACGTCCTCACCTAGTATGCACAAAAAGGAAAAAACACAGGAAAAGGTAAATGTTTTCAGAAAAAAAGTGGTAATGATCTTGTCTACTCCTGGCATTACCTGCTTTAGGGAATTGACCACTTCGGTATAGATATTGTAAGGTACATTTCCTATGCCCCCAGCAGCGGGAAATATTAGAACCTTAAGTAGATTGGTTGTAGACATAGATGAAATGCATACAATAAAATATATGGATGCACTTATCATCTAAAGACTCTAGTTGTGTAATTTAAAAGAGTTATGCTTCTGGCAAATGCCTTTTGATATAGACTGATTATTTTATGAACATTTCCCTTTTTATCTGATTCAATGGTTGTAATTAGACTGATTAAAATTAAAATAATTATTTATAAATGTAATAATGCCCATCGTCACCTGTGCCATATCTAGAGTTACACATCTATGCTCCTGGTTTTTTTTTAAATTTTTTTAAAGTTTTATTCATTCAGTGAAATTAATTCTATACATTAGATAAGAGTTGGTAATCCTGGGCTATGTATACCCCCTACTTCATTTTAGAACCTATGAGTTTCTAATACTAAGCACTTGCTGGTTAGGGGTACTTATAGATTAACATGTTATTAGAGAGTAATCTTGGTAGGAGTAATCAGTTAATTGTGTAAATGCACAAGAAACCGTTTACTAGGAGATGCTACATTTAATAATTGTTATTTTTACTCTCTAGTCATCCCGTGATTCTTCACCATTCACGTGAGTATATTTCGGAGACACCGCTATCTGTTAAACATAGAATTCCTGTCTAGAAATTTAATGTTTGTTTTTCAACAGAGTGAGCCTTCAGAGGAATAAGTGGGATGCCTCTCGTTCCTTGAGATATAATCAGGATGCTCAGAGAGAAGAAGGTGTGTAATGCTTAATTAATATGTAATTTTACAGATATCCTATAGTGCAGATATTATCCTATAATTAAACTGATCAATAAAATATGTTTAGATGTATAAAAGTGTAGACAATTGAAGTGTGTTGTTGCAAAATTTAAAACATGGCACAATCACCATAGAAACCATTGGAATTGTCAGGAGCATGCTGCTGGCTTCCATGGTGATTGCCACACTTTTAGAACACTGCGACTTATATAATAAATTCCTCACTTGTGATGTCCTCTGCAGTTAAATAAGTCTGTAAAAGTATTCTCTATGTGCTAGAGCAAAGGATTGTGCTCTTTATAGAACATTCTAATGCCATGCATGTTCAGTTTTTCTTGCGATCGATTACACTCTGCTCCCTGTGTTTTCCATTTCTTTGTAACTTGTATGACTTCCAAGCACACGGTAGTCAGTGGCGGATCCAGAGCCTGATCTCGGGAGAGGCACTTGTAGATTATTTAAATAAATAATCCTGGCACAATAACCACTACAGCTCAGTGTAGTAGTTATGGTGCCAGGATCCCACCCCAGAGTAAGTAGTCATACAGTTTAAGAACAGTTTGACAACTTACCTGGGGTCTGCTGGGATATAGGGCATAGGAGCAGTTGTGTGTGTTAGGGGTGCAGTGTGTGTGAGCGGTGAAGTGTGTGTGTGTGTGAGTGCGTGAGGGCGGCAGTGTATGTCAGGGTTGCAGTGTGTGTGTGGGGCAGTGTGTGTGAGGGTGGCAGTGTGTGTGGCAGTGTGTGTATGGGGAGGGAACTTTATGTATGGGTGGCAGTGTGTGTAAGGGGGGCAGCAGTGTGTGTAGGGCACTATATGTGTCTGTGTGTGTATGGGGGCAGTGTATGTATAGGGGCAGTGAATGTGTGTGATCGGGCAGTGTATGTGTGTATGGGGGGAGTGTATGTGTGTTTGGGGGAGTGTATGTGTGTATGGGGGGGAGTGTATGTGTGTATGGGGGGCAGTGTATGTGTGTGTGGGGCAGTGTATGTGTGGGGCAGTGTATGTATGTGTATGTTGGCAGTGTATGTATGTGTGGGGGGCAGTGTATGTATGTGTGGGGGGGCAGTGTATGTGTGTTTGGGGGCAGTGTATGTGTGTGTTTGGGGGGCAGTGTGTGTATGTGTGTTTGGAGGGCAGTGTATGTGTGTTTGGGGGGCAGTGTGTGTATGTGTGTTTGGGGGGCAGTATATGTGTGTGTGTGGGAGAAGAAGGAGGGTATGGAGGCTTTTTTTTTTTTTTTAAAGTATTTAATAAAATATATTGATGTCCCCCCTCCCTTCTTACCTTTGTTGAGGAGGAGGGGGGACATTTCTCCGTCCCTGGTGGTCCGTGGTGAATCACTGGTGGTCCAGTGTGGAGTGGACTCTAGCCCGCGCTCCAGGGCTAGACTTCACTATGGTAACCGTGGCAGCGCTCCAAATCTCGCGAGAGGAGGACCCAGAGGAGCTGCTGTTAAGAGCTCCCGGGTCCTCTCTCCCTCCACCGCTGCTGTCAGCAATGTGCCTGCGGACCGGGGAGGGAGATCACTGATCTCCCTCCCCGGTCTGCAGGCACATAGCAGGGCTGGCACTTGGACAATGCCAGCCCTGCATTAGCCGGCAGGGGAGAATCTCGGGGGAGGGGGGCAATTGCCCCGTTGCCCCCCCCCTGGATCCGCCAATGACGGTAGTAGTTTCTGGTAGTAATGAAACTAAAATGATTTGTTAGAGAAGTAGCTTCTTAAAACCTTGAAACCACCAAGATATGTTATTTATAAGGAAAGAAGAAAATTGCCTTCTTTAACAGAGAAAAAGCACCCTCAAATTATAACCTAGCAGTCTGTAAGATTCAACATATACAGGGTTATACACTAAAGTGAGAATTGTCTGGAATTCAAAGTGAATTTCAAATTTCAGGCCAAAGCTGGCTTGGAAAATGTATCCAAGTCAGCTATGCTTCCAGTTTGATTATTTTGGTCTAGATCTTGAATTTCCCAACAAGTCTCACTTTAGATCTGAACATTGAGTAATTGTACATAAATACCAAACATAAGTTCATAACATCCAGGTACCGGGCTGGAACAATCTGCAAAGTTCCAGGCTCAGCTGAATAAAGCAGGTACAGGTATACCCTGTTACCTAAAAAAAAGGGGAAAAAACTAAATGGAAAATCTCATTGTTCTGAAGAAGTATACATTTTTAAAAGACATATTTCTTACTGGATCTTGGCTTGTGAAATACTGACTCGTAATTATGGGAACCACTGAACCTGATTGTGAGAAAAAGCAGAACCTGGTAGAGGATACTTCAGACCCGATCACTAAAATTGGTACACCCGGCTATTCCCCTTACATATGTGAAGTTTACTGCATCTTCAGGGAAAAGAGGCTGAACCTTGACTGAGTATTATGCACCACACATACCCTGGTCATCTCCTGAAGGAGAGAGTTTCACTAACAGAGGTACACGCAGGGAGCAGAACCATGGCTGGTCTACAAAAATTGGGGCTTGGTGAGCAGAAGGTCAACTCTTGGCCTGCTAAAACTCCTAACTGCTGTAAGACAGGGAAAAAGACTGGAAGGTGCAGCTCTATTTATACTAAGCTCAGAGATCTGCTTATTGTCCTTTTTGCTTCAAGGGTGTTGGCTAACCCATTGGTTAATGCTGCCATGGGTTGCTCAGGTATACTATGGTGCTTAATGTGACATCATGTACTGTCCTGAGCGATGCAGAGAATTCCAGTGTAGTCCGGGGCAGATTTGTTAATGAGAAAGGGAACAATACCACAGGAGCATTAGGTAAGTTACATTAGTATTGATAAAGGTGAAAGCAAAGCAACCACAAGTGCAACATGTTTGTGGGAACTTGTGTTAGGAAGAATTTTCTGAACAATTATTTGTTTAATTTTTGAAAGAATGCCACAAGTATGTTTACTATTGTATCTGCAAAAGGTGTCTACTTTGAGGCAGAAATGTACATTTTCTTAAACATAGTTATTTGTTTATTTTTTTTAATTTTATCTAGTTGTTTATTTGTTCTATGCTTTAATCTCAAGAACATTGAGACACTAAACTTCATGAATTTTAATAAACACTTGAAAATGGCTGTGTGTGAATATATACACAGATACCTAACTGATTGTGTTTTAAAAGTTTTCCTTTCATTCGTGACAGATCAGCGAAGGATGACTGAAATCACAGGACATCTGATAAAAATCCGATTAGGAGACCTGGAGCGTGTCAGGGCCAAGGATTGCAAAGAAGTAAGTGCTGCCCTATACCTCTCTGTCTTTCCTACTCAGGCATGGAACTACAGGTGGGTGCAACTGGTGCGATCACGCCGGGGCCTTTGCAGGTCAGGGAACCTGGCAACGTAGAGTATAAGAAACCACAGTGCCCTTATTGCCTGCGCTAGCACCCCTGGGTTTTCCCGCTGCAAAAATATAGGGAAACAGGGCTGTGGCCTGCAGGGACGCTCATTTGGAACCAGACTCATAAGGGCCTGGGGGAGGGAGATCTGGACTCTGAGAGCGAGTCCATGTGTGTGTATCTGTGCATGTGTGTCAGAGTGTGGGTTTTGTGCATATGTTGTTATGTGTGTGTGCACAAATGCTTGTGTGTCAATCTGTTGGAGTGCATCTGTGTGTTTCCCTGTGAAGCAATCTGTAGGTGTTTGTGACACTGTCAATATGTAGATATGCTTCTGCATGCAAACTCCAACATTACACACAAACACAATTGCATTCAAATTCTAACGCTACCCACAAACACACCAACATTTCTAACGCTACCCACAAACACACCAACCTTACACACAAACAAACCACTGCATTAACACAGCAACACTACACACAAACACTCCACACACAAACACTGCACTGCATTTACACACCAACACACGTCTGCATTTAAACATTAACACCACGCACAAACCCAACTGACCCCTGCAGTCAAACTTTAATAATACACAAACACACATACTCCATATAAAGGCACCCATATATTCACACACAGGCACTGCTCACAAATACAACCCTGCAAGGATGGGTAAAGAGTAGGTCGACAGTGGCAAAGCATTGTGGAAGTTGTATGGCAGTTAATACAAGTTAGTACATTTTGTCCACCCCAAACGGTTTGGCTTTTTTCTCAGCATTCATTCTGCCACTGTTCCAGCCACTCCGTTGCATTTTATTGTTTATTCCTCTTGTTATCTATTTTACTTGTCTTGTTATCTATCATGCTTGTCTTGTTTTAAAGTGACTTGGTGTAACTTTAAATAGCATTATATTCAATCTATATGCAGTTCTATTAGAACTAAAAGGAGGTGTCATAGTCTTACCTCTCCCTTTTCAAACCATCTTTGGCATACAGGGCTATACCAATAATGCACAAAAAAGAGAAAGCTAGGGGTAGCGCCACAATTTAGTAAAATATACAGTATAGAATAATGAATAAATAGAGAAACTTAGGAAGCTATAATATAGCACACAGGTTTATATATTGAAGTCCAAAGAGGAGCAAAAAAGTCCAATATATGAAAGTCCCCGTTTCTAGTGTAAAAATACACTTACCACTTACTGCCTGCCCAGTAGTGATGAGAGTGAGCACAGGACTTATCTTTTTGTATTTGTATTTACTTTGTATCACACAGCCTTGTTACAATGCTGCCGCCCATCCCATGTGTTCCCTATTAAGGGTTAATAATTATATGGGGATGTATAAAAAAAATACCCCTCTCTGTCTCATTAGAGATATCTTTGCCAGAAGCTCAAGGAATCAGGCTGAAGGGTCAGTGTAGGACCCGCCTTAGGGGGGTCAGCCTTGACGTTGGCAGGCAGGCATTCCCTCCAATGGCCATTGGAGCAACTAAATGACCTCCATTTGTCTAAATATACATAGGGATTAAGGAGAGAGCGCAGGTAACTTTTTCTTTTCTTTGGTTTTTACTATATATTGGGGCTGATGTGTACTGTAGTCATTGCTGCTGGCCCAGTAGTGATGGTAGTGAGCGCAGGACTTATCTTTTTGTATTTGTACTTACCAAAAGTGCTTGATTTAGTTATAGTCCCACTCACGTTTTATGGAGCTGTAACTAGCTCCAGTATGAATGGCATACAGTGGTACAATCCCCACTTGCAAGGATATGTGAGGGTAGTGTCTTTGTAGTATAAGAACCATAAAATATAAAAAAAGAAGTAACAATAGTGTTCACTGTATAAAATACCAGGAGTTAAAAAGAACAAACTTACATTTACCAGAGCAGGCAAACTGCTCTATGGATAGAGCATGGATGGTATAATCCCCACCAAGGATGTCTTGAGATTAGTACTCACTGGAGGTAAAAATCAGGTGCCATGCAGTATTAAGTAATAATAATAATAAAATGTAGAAAAAAGAGGAAAGTGGCCAAAATACCTTTATTTTTAAAACTATAAAACCGTATAAAACAGCATATGAAGTAACCACAGCGCGTTTCGCCTCAGGGGCTTTTTCAAATGGGGATAGCCACCTCCATACATACTACCTTCCCTAGCCAGATATCTTAGCATTTATCTTTCCCTTCCATTCCTATGCCAATAATGAACAGACAGGTAAGAGCAGGAGAATCCGTCTCTAGGTATTTCTCATTCACTGTATTTGCATTTTCACTTTGCCAGAAGAATGTAGGATCATCACATGCATTGACAATGAAGTTAGTCTTTTGACAGGTTATGGGAGGAATGTATTGTTTTGGGCTACTTAGGAGATGTGCAGGGAGTGAGAAGAAACTGGTGGTGTGGTTTAAAGTAATGTAGAATTAATGAACCTGGATTCTGGCTGCCACAACAAATCCGAGGAGGTAACTATTTAATCAATAGATCATTACGCAATGCAATATATTGTTAGGTAAGTTACATTAGTATTGATGGTACAATAAAAGTGAATGTCATGACAGATACTCTTCTAGAAACCTTAGCTTCAGTTTGAACTCATTGGAAAATATTTGCTATATAGTGCGTACAATTATTACTGATGTGTAGTAGTACTATATCACGTGTCTTTGCAAATAAAATAATCTGTCATTTAAATATCATACATTTAGACTGGTTTCACCTTGTAAGAGATTTGATAGATTTACATTTCTTTCTGCAGCAGGCTGCAGGTATATACTCTAGATTGGAAGCTCAAGTCAAGGCTACTGCTCAAACGAATGCCCGTCAGAGTAACGCAGAGAAGAACCCCAGGTAATGTGTGTGTGTGTGTGTATTTATATCAATGCAGTTTGATTCTGTATAACATGTCTTCAATATAAACCAGGTGATAACGGTTCTAAATAACCAGTCATAAAGGTGTGCACTTGCTTTAAAAAAAAAATAATAAAAAAAATGTTAAAAACATTACAAATATATAGATTTTCCCCCTTTTCTAGCTCTCCTGTGATGCAATTCCATGATGATTGCAACCGTCTGCAGATAGCCAGGTCCAATTACATAACTCAAATTTACACTTCCATTGACTGATTGCATAGCTCTTATGGATTAGGTGTCCCATAGTCCCATATGGATTAGGTGTCCCATAAGTCAAACTGCTCTATGGATAGGGCATGGATGGTATAATCCCCACCAAGGATGTCTTGAGAGTAGTACTCACTGGAGGTAAAAATCAGGTGCCATGCAGTATTAAGTAAAAATGGAGGCTGAATGCAATTGAAATTGACATCCAGAATATCAGCTAGAACATAGTGTTTTAAGTAATACCATAAAACGTATCTCTTTAGGCAAGCTTATCATATGCCTGACTAGTTTTTATCCATTAAACCTGTCTATACCATCTCTCCGAACCTATTTCAGTCTCTCAGATTCCAAATACACAGCTTTCCTACAAAAGTCTATTAGTTTAGCAATACTATCTCTAAACCTGGTGATCGTATTCCCCCACATTGTTCTCTTGTGTTCTTTGCCTCAGCTCCTCGAGATTGTAAGCACATTTGAGCAGATTCTTCATGAAAGGACCACTAAAGTCACCCAGACCACGTCATCTCAATGAAGTGGTTCCTCAGTAGTTTTAACCATGCAATGTGAAACATTGCACATTGCGGTGTAAAATCCTAGTAAAACTCTGTCACTGACATGGAAGCTTGTAGGAAAGCATTGAATTCAAGGCTTTCTTATGGAGAAGCTTGGATGCACACGGAGGACGCTCCACGCATTTGCGTCAGGTCCCCAGTGCTCCTCTTAAGGAGCATTAGATTGGACCATCGTGGAGGAAGCCATGCTTTCTCAATAATGTCACGGGAGACAGAAAGGTGAATAGCACAGATGCAGTATCAGTGCTGGAATAATGTGAGTAAAATAATTTGTTAATTTTATGGCGATCATGGAAGGAGGGGGCACAAAACTAGACAGGGACAGGTTTGTATTGCTAACATTGTAGTGTTCCTTTAATTTCTTCTTCCTGTTATTGTTTGTAATAGTTTGCTGTTCTATCCCCTCTTATAAAATTCTAAAGCACTGCAGACCTTTTGTCATTAATTAAATGATTTATCCGAAGATGCTACATTTTGTAGTTGTTGCGCAATATGTTATGGTATATGTTTCCCATGATAGTCATTCAGAATAATGATTAGCCAGATATTAGTAATTATTTGCACAATATGAAATAGTGTCTTGTGACAATCAGCCAGGCTAATGGCCTTTAACATTCTACAATCTGTAATCTTAGATTGTTACTATGTTAGATTTAGCAGTTTGCCATCTTTTTTGCTTGTAAACATGTGAATGCCACGAAGTATTAAAACTAGATTGATTGCCTCCGTTACTCTCTTCACCTGTTGTATTTATTTTCTTCTCATTATTTTGCAGGTCTAAACCTCGTTTTGGCCCTGGAAGGCCATTATAAATAAAGAATTGATAGCTTGACAACTCTTACAACAGTACAGTTTGGAAATCTGCAGAAATTTATTTGTCTTTTCCAAACTGGGTTATTTATTGAACTTTGCAAGCCTGGCTGTTTGGGGAACTGCATATATTTGGTCTCTAAAAATTATTTAATCTGTAAATATTCTGTTTTTTTTATTAAACTTATTTTAAGATGTTATTACAAAGTAATGTTTTATGTGCAATTATTAAAATATTTGTAAAGAGAAAAAAATATATACATTTTAAAGTCCCTGTGATTGCAACAAATCCAAATGTACAGTTGATTCAGTACCTTTGTCCAAAGTTGGAAGTACCGCCTCATTCCCCTGTGAAGTATAGGAATGAGTGCGTAGACTTGTGGAGCATTTGTTGCAGAATTGAAAGAAGCTGCCTGATTGAACACACTATACATCCTGACACAGCATGTGGCACCCTGGGGCACCGTGACAGACATACAGGGGTGCCGAGGAATGACCCATCGGATGACCCATTTACTTAGAGCCATCCGATGGGTATCACGGTTTTACTGCTCATCAGGGGCCCGGTCTGGTGCTGTGGCCCTTTAAGAGCCTGACCGTGCTCCTGTGATATTGGCAAGCTGGGAGGAAATGACAGCATGTCATTTCCTCCCAGCTTCACAAAGCATCGCGAGAGGGGGAACAGAAAGCTGGATGAGGGAGGAAAAAGCTGAAGGCAGTGCATCCAGCTGCATGAAGGCAGAATTGAGGCTGCTGCACGCTCACTCCAATCAGCCTCAGCCAGGACCCCAAGCAAACCATCCTCCACAAGGTGAGCTAACAGGAGGGTGGCTGAAAATATAAAAATTATAACATGTATGTGTTTGTTAGATTTTGTGTGTGTATCTGTGTTAAGGTGTGTCAGTGTGTGCATATATGTGTGTGCATCTATGTGTGTGTGTGCATCTGTTTGTCAGGGTGTGCATATTTGTGTGTGTGCGCACATCTGTGTGTCAGGATGTGCATCAGGGTGTGTGTGTGTATGTGTGTCAGTGTCTATGTAAATTTATGTGTGTGTCGGTGTCTGTGTGAATTTGTGTAATCTACCTTTGTCAGTCCTTGGCTTGGCATTTTAGCCAGTTCTATTCTGCTACTCTATAGCATTCATTCTATCAACTGTCTATCAACTGTCCGTTAAACGAATGCAACAGATATAAACAAATACAGTTATTACTAGATCTAAATGTCAATAACCAGTATCCTCCAATCTAAACACAGATGGAACTATAATAATTTACATATTATTATTACTACTTATAAAGCACCAACAAATTCAGCAGAGCTGTACAATAGGTGGACAAACAGAAAAGTATTTGCAACAAGACGAGTTGGACACACCGAAACAGAAGGGTGAGAACTTAAATTTTAGAGGGAATGGGGTAAAGTGGCACAAGAGGTAAGGGTGGGATGTATTTCATGTATGGGAAAAAGTAGCTCACTGGAATAGTTTATAACAGGGGTGCCCAAAAGGTAAATCCACAGATGTTGTAGAACTACAACTCCCTTGATGTTTTGCATGTGTTTAGATGATGCTTTGAATGCCTTTAGAATGGCAAAGCATTGTCAAAACAGTAGTTTTGAAACATCTGGGATCTACCTTTTGGGCACCCCTGATTTACAATGAAGGGTTAATTGTTTGTCTGACACCATTGCAGGAGAGGAAGCAGTATGGGTTATGAAGGTGCGGGAAGGGAAAGAAATGCTTTCCCAAAAAAGTGAGTTTTTCATGATCTTTTGAAGGAACTCCAGTGTCCTCCTGACAGTTCCCACTCCAGCTTCGGGGTGAGTGAAGCGCTACAAAAGATGGCTGCATGGTTAAAACCATATTCTGTAATTAGGCCTTAGAGCTTAGAGATCTTCCAGTGTAAAATATAGTTTTATCGCATGGTCATTTAAAAAACAAATGTTTTTATGGTATTATAAAATTACCTTTTAGGTTTAAGTAAGGGAACTATCACTTCACTTGCAATTACACTATTGATTAAATACCACCTATAACATGAGTTAACCTTTTGTTTCTTTGGTAAATGACATCACTATTTAATTCAGATAAGGAGGAGAAAGAGGAATATTGTTCTGTTTCTTGTCTCTCTGTTTCCTGTATGCTGACTGTCAGGTGCAGAGGACAGCGTTTAGAACAATGACTGACAGATGGAGTTGCCCAGTTGCAGGATAAAGAGGTGTGGATTTGTACATTTATTTTTCACACCTCACTAATACATTATTTGTTAACTACAGAGCATAAGTAAACATAATATTAAAATCCTGGGAAGTGACAATTCTCCTTTAACCCCTTAAGGACACATGACATGCGTGACATGTCACGATTCCCTTTTCTTCCAGAAGTTTGGTCCTTAAGGGGTTAAACGCGGGTATTTATTTTGACGTACTGTTTGGGAGTGACTGTACTCAAGTGCAAAACCAATACGTTCCTTGGAGAAGATGAATATCTTATCTCTCACACACCGGAGAAATGTTCATCATTACTTTTCCATCAGGATTACTAGCAGTCTGCCAACCACCACCACCACCACCTGATTTCTCAAACAATATATCAAACTAAGGAACTCAGAAGTGCCATCGTATTTGACATTTCCTCCAATGGATTGCATATTGGTTTTCACTTTTTTGGCTGTTTATCATCTTATCACTGTCAGTAAGTTCATTTTAATCCGTTAATGTAAACAATAACCATGTTTGGGTGGATTTAGTTAAATGATGAGCCCAGTAGAATTCTGAAAAAAATGTATATGTGTAATTTCTGTGTTCACACAATAAAGTGTTCGGCTATCCTGCATTTAGGGGGCATTAGATTTATCTATACAAGAATAAAACTATAGCTTAAATGAAGGATCTTTGTGTACACAATTCAACATTTTATTCATTAAACCGCCAGATAGAGGATTGGACATGCTCATGTAAATATCAATGATGCAGGAGCAGAGACTGACCTTCAACATTAAGAACAGGGGCTTTGAATGGACCATAATGAAAGCATATTTCTTTTTTTGGGAAGCATAATCAATGTGTTTTTGTGTTTTCTTTAAGTTGACCACATTATGGTCTCCCTATTATTACAATGGGCAAATGTTTTAAAATTTCATACTGTATCGATCTGTTCAATTATTCCCAATAATGGATGATGGTTAATGAAAAAGTTCACTATTATGCGAATCCTAGTCGGAACTGGGAGAATTCCCAGTGCTGTCTGAGATTAGAGATTAGTTACTCTCCCAAGTGACAGCCACCATTGCCATTTTTATGCAGCTTTTTCCTGAGCTGAATTATTGATGTCAGCTGAAAAACCTGCCACCCAGGACTGTAACTTTCACTAATCTCAGGCGTCACTGTGATGTGTAACCGTTTACTGACCGTACACGTCTCCCCTTAATGACTACACAAATCTTACAGGGTTATTCACTAAATTGAGAATTGCAGGGAATTCAAAATGATTTCAGTTCAAAAGAGTAGAACTGGAAAAATTCTCCTCGTCCGCTATGCTTTCAGTTTGGCTACTTTGGTCTTTAGTTAGAAATTAACTTAGAATTCCTTGTCATTTTCACTTTAGTGAGTAGCCCTCTAACATATCTGCTAACCCTAACCTAATATAACCCTGTAATATAACTGATAAATGAAAGCAAAGTGTTCATCAATATAAAAATAATGCAAACCGTTCAATATGCAAATGTGACTTTGGGGTAGTGATGGCTATTTCTGGAACCTCATTACTGTGAGCTGCACAAGAAGTAAAGGAGTTTAGAATCATTTGGTAACCAGGAAGTGGAATTCCTGTGCATTGAAATATTTGTAATTGGCATCCTGGCACATACAGATACCTAACTTGACACCTGAGGTCACACGCACAAACTATCCACATTCACTGACCCACACATGCATAACTAGCCACATTCATAAACCCACACATGCATAACCAGTCACATTCACTAACCCACACATGCATGACCAGCCACATTCACTGACCCACACATGCATAACTAGCCACATTCACTGACCCACACATGCATAACCAGCCACATTCACTGACCCACACACGCATAACCAGCCACATTCACTGACCCACACATGCATAACCAGCCACATTCACTGACCCACACACGCATAACCAGCCACATTCACTGACCCACACACGCATAACCAGCCACATTCACTGACCCATACATGCATAACTAGCCACATTCACTGACCCACGCATGCATAACCAGCCACATTCACTGACCCACACACGCATAACCAGCCACATTCACTGACCCATACATGCATAACCAGCCACATTCACATACCCACACATGCATAACCAGCCACATTCACTGACCCACACACGCATAACCAGCCACATTCACTGACCCACACATGCATAACCAGCCACATTCACTGACCCATACATGCATAACCAGCCACATTCACTGATACCCACACCGCATAACCAGCCACATTCACTGACCCACACACACATAACCAGCCATTCACAGCCATACATGCATAACTAGCCACATTCACTTTATTGCATGCATAACGCCAGCCACATACATGCATAACCAGCCACATTACGCATAACCACACATGCATAACCAGCCACATTCACTGACCCACACATGCATAACCAGCCACATTCACTGACCCACACATGCATAACCAGCCACATTCACTGACCCACACATGCATAACCAGCCACATTCATACAACCCACACATGCATAACCAGTCACATTCACTAACCCACACATGCATGACCAGCCACATTCACTGACCCACACATGCATAACTAGCCACATTCACTGACCCACACATGCATAACCAGCCACATTCACTGACCCACACACGCATAACCAGCCACATTCACTGACCCACACATGCATAACCAGCCACATTCACTGACCCACACACGCATAACCAGCCACATTCACTGACCCACACACGCATAACCAGCCACATTCACTGACCCATACATGCATAACTAGCCACATTCACTGACCCACGCATGCATAACCAGCCACATTCACTGACCCACACACGCATAACTAGCCACATTCACTGACCCACACACGCATAACCAGCCACATTCACTGACCCACACATGCATAACCAGCTACATTCACCGACTCACACATGCATAACTAGCTACATTCACCCACCCATACATGCATAACT